CTAAAGAACCCTTAAAGAACCATCTTTTTTAAAACAGTAGCTGTCAGACTACCAACAATTTTCATTCAGTTTATCATTTTTTACACACCTGAAAAAAGAGGTGTACTTTATATTATGAGAATATTTCATGATGAATGAACCAACAGAAATTGTTCAAAATGTTTTTAAAAAGATCTTGTTACATTAACTTTAAGTGAATGTTTTCAAGGCATTTTTTTTTCTGTCTACTGAAAAGTTACATTTTGGAGAAATGTGTGTTCTAACAGTGATGATATGAATGGAACTCTCTATTTGTAATAATAATAGATGTATTACATGTATTTAACTATCAATAATTATAATATGTCCCATGTGTACAGTGTTATATGTAAGACAGTAAACCCTAACCTTAACATTAACCTCAGTAACCAAATACAAAAGCAGTTTAAAGTCAGGACATTTTTGTCCTCAAATCTACAAAAATCAAACACACAAACACACACACTGAGGGCAGCTCAGTTAGCAAAGATTTGATCGCTTAGACTATATGAACACTGCCATCAGTTCTCATTACTTGCCTCTAGTCACCTGCCTCAACTCATTTCAGCAGTGTTTCTTCCCCTCTCGGAATATTCCATTTCTCAAAGGTTAATTTCATTTGTGACAGTAGATATGAATACTCGGGACAGCTGAAGGCACAGAGGCGCTAAGTGTACCTCGCGGGGGTTTGTGCTATCATCCTGGCAACTTCTCAATAATTTAAGAGCAATCCTCACAAAGGATTAGCTTTTATGAGAGGGGAGATTTTGGAGGTGTATAATAGCATAATGGCATCAAAATCATTACAGCCTGTCTTGCTCCTTACAATCTTCCCCAACCTGTCTAAATGAAACAGCTTTATGACTGGAGCATTATGCAGCAGGGATGCATGTTCAGATTTGCTTGAACGTTCTCAAGCTTGTCTTTGTGAGGATAAATACTGCAGCGAACAGATGGAGGAAAGGCTTAGATTTATGAGACAGGCTCTGCACAATGCTTTGGTGAGAAACTGCAGATTTGCACAAACTCAGGCCTGTAGACTGTCTAATCGATACAATATCATAGGCTAACTGAAGGCTCCATGGCAATGAAAGAATGCAAGTGTATAAAAACCCCAAATTGCCTTATTTTATTTTAATGTAAGTTAATGTAAAGAGATTATTATTGTTTCTTCATGAATTTGTCATACAAAAGGGTGGGCTGCTGGACTCACACAATGTAGAAAAATAAAAATTAAAAAAAGGAGATGGCTGTTTTTTGCACAGTGATATGTTTATAGGAATATACATGTTAATAAAGTGTACATACATAAACTGTTTGTGCTAAGAAGCCAAGGTCAAGTGACAGAAATCCAGTATAGGTAATACAGCAGCATAGTAGTGGTTTTGAGCATTAATGCAAGTGTCAGCAGAATCACTGCAGCAGCAGTTTGAGACAAATGCAGTATTGATAATGCAGCAGCATGCTACTGCATTCTAACTCTCTTCAGCCCAGCAGCCCCTTCTGAAATCTCAGTTTTGAGGCTTTGGTAGGTCATTGAGCTCTTAATGCAAATCAGCTATTCTACCACCTCTCAACTGCTCTTTCAGCACAGTGTCTCTCCTTCTCTCTCTCTCTCTCTCTCTCTCTCTCTCTCTCTCTCTCTCTCTCTCTCTCTCTCTCTCTCTCTCTCTCTCACTCACCCTCCCCATTCTCACCAGGACTTGGCTCTTTATTTGAATGAAGACTCTGTCTGGATCTCTCTGAAGTCTCATTCCTTTTAACCTTACTGCCTCTCTAACACCTCACTGTAGGTCACCTTCCAGTCCAAACACACTGCCAAGTATGTCTTTATGGAACAACTGTACAAGTTGTGCAACTGTGCAAGATTATCTTTATAGACAGTACTGTGCAAAAATCATAGGCCACCTGTGTTTATGTGCTGGTTATAGTGAGCTATGCTGCCTGTCAGTGCAAAAAACGATAGTACCAGACAGTTAAAACAGAAGTTACGTCACCTCTGGGGTTGTCGTAAAGTTAGGACAGTATTTAGGATTTCTGTAATTCTGTTTTCTGATCTCAAGTTAGGATAAGATTATGCCCTTAAGAACTGTTGTTCTGTAATAGCTTCTGTCCTATAAATGAATGAATAAATTCAGTCCTGACTTAAGTTGTTGCAGGGACTAAACAGATAAGATTTCAGAGTTATGATGTTTCTGTAAAACGGCCCCTTAAGTCAATTTTGTAGTCAACGACATGCCAAATAAGGAACAGTCTTAGCTGGTCTATAAAGGTAGCTTTAAAAATTGCTCCAAAACCTTTGAGCTGATAAGTTTTGCAGTGTGCACTGAATTGACATTGCATGGATGTAAGTCTACTACTATTACACAGCAACCCCAGCTATTTTAATTGTAGACTACTTCCAAAGCAGCTTAACTACCACATGTGACAAAGCTTGATAGTTTTTCAAAACATGAAATTATTGCTACTTTTACTGTATTGTTTATTTGTACTGTAATGTTCCTGATATTATGCAGCAAAAACACACTTACCTCCCAGATAGTAAACCATTTTCTTTGCTGCACAGGTATCATTCATGGTGGGAACACTCATTCTTATTTTCTTATTCTTATTGTCTAAAAGCTGTAAACAGACCATTAAGAAAGGTGTCTGGTCATTCCTCACCATTAAACTGCAACCTCGATGATAATAACCAGACTACTGTGTTAGTCCAAAGATACAGTTTAAATATATCTCCTCAGTAGGATTTTCAGGGCTTTATGATAATGCTAGTGAAGGTGGATTCATGAGGCTGAGTGAGCGCTGAATCCCGCTCAGCACTGACTACTGCACTGTGCTGAAGCGCGCGCTCTCATTTCAAATTCAAATTTCAACGGAAACTCAGCCGATCAGCCCGAGTCCAGTTCAACGGCCATTTGAACCGCTGAGGTAAAACGCTTAGCTGGTTTTATTCATAGAATTATTTAATATCACAAGACGTGCTTTTATTGCACGTATAATGATGAAGTGTGACGCGTTTTGATAATCAACTTAAGATTTTCTCAATTTATCGCGACCTAGTAACAATTGCAGTTGACTCCTTGTCGGATTAGTTACTCATAATGAGACGATTCCGTGAGGAGACGGTTAGCTAACATTAGCTAATATTGGAATTAGGTGTGATATTACTTCAGGCGTTTGCAGCACAGTGATAGCAAGTAGATAAATCTCAAATATTGAGCGTTAACATTGAAGGGGAGTTCCACCGACTTTTCGAAATTTTAGCTTAATTTCATCGTTGTGATTCAAAGTCATTCAGAGTCGTTTGATGTAAAACGGTTCGCTGTAAGGAAAGTTAGCGTGATGATAGGAACAGAGCAGCCAACTTTTACATTTTTGTTAGAGTGAGATTCCAGAGGACTTGGCCTGCTGTGGGGGGGTTCCTTAGTGTTTTTTTTATTTAATGATTTAGTTTATTATGTTTGTTTATTGTGTCCTAGTTGCACATTAATACTATTTCCAAAATAGTGCTGCTCTTTATGCTCTCTATTATAGGTTTATGCATGTGGCACGTGCCCAGCAATACACTTGCTTTGTGCGCGCGCCCACGTAAACCTACAGTGATAAACGTAGGAGCGAAAATCAGCAATCAGCAGCGCAGTTTCTTCTAAAACATCGTTTTGTTGGCTTTATAAAAGTTATTTAAGCTTTTCATGCTCATGTTTAGTTTGTCTCAGGGGCGGCGCTGTTTGTGGTTTACTGTGTTTAGGTTTGTCATGGTATCCACGGTATGGCAAAATTCATATCGTGAGAGAACTTTTGAGAGACGTAAAAATGTGTCAAGTGTGGCGTGAGAGCGTGGGATTAGACATAAATGAGTGAGTTTCATGGCCAGTGTGATGTGCGAGAGTTATCAGTCCTGTAGGGAACAGTGGTCAGTGTTCAAATGGAGCAATGTAGCAGCTAATTTAGCTAACTTAACTAGTGCTACGCTGCCATTAGTATTAGTGTGTGATGCTTTGTAACGGTAGCATGAAGTAAACTAGCATGTGTGGCAGATCCTGGGTAAGTTGGCTTCAAGGTCATTTCTAGCCTTTAATTTAGTTTGACAATGTAGTCGTTGTTTCTGTTGCTATAGATTAATGAAGTAGTGTTTCAAACTATACACTGGTTGACTGGCAGTCACTTGATGTCTTGACTGGCAGTCACTTAAAGTAACTTGATGATGGACAAGGACCACACAGAGCACCAAACATCTGAGCAAAAATAAGGATAAATATGTGATAGTGTGCTCATTTAGACTCATCTCATTGAGGGAATATTGTTTTGTTACTGAATATTATTACATATTATTATATCTAAAATTTTTAGAACTACTTCATAAAAATGGAACCAAAACACTAAACTGTGTTATTATTCTATCTCTGAAGTGAATTCAAATGTAATGATCAGATGCAGTTTATTATATTTATTACCTGCTGCTCATCTTCTAAACATGGGTGTAGCTCATATGCAGAAAGCTTAACACTCCATCGTTAGCCATTCATAACAATCATAAACAGTAATGGAAGACAGGCTATGCATCTTCCTTAATGACAGAGCAAACACTGAATAACTGTACGTCAGGTGACCCACGCTAGCAATACCATGAATTAAATATAGAGTCTCTTGGACATAGGGTCAGAGTAACTCCTTACTCAGTGTATGTTTTTTAAATTTTTAATTCAAATAAATAAACAGTGATAGTACAAGTATGTGAACCTATTTCTTACTGATAGTTTGGCTGACTTTTGCACAGTACTGTACATATACAGTGGTTTTACAGGAAAATGGAACATCCAGGTGTGAAACTGGGCTGACTCTGGTGCACATCTTGTCTCTAAGATTCAATTGAGAAGCATCTTGTAGATTAATCAAACACAGACTTGGACCAGGTGACCAATTAAGGGATGAAGTCATGTTTAATCTGAATTATAAATTTGATTTGTTGTTTGCTGTTTCAGCTTTCTGCTGGTGTTCTCCTGCCTTATGCTCTCCGTGTTTGCTACTATAAAAGAGTTCAAAAAAAGCTCAGAGAGTGCCTTGTACATTCTGGTGAGTATCTAAAAATAGGTTTTATAAACAAAAAGATGTCTTTTTTCTGTAAATGCCTTGAAGTTCGAAGTTCTAGTAGAGCATGCACACTCGCATATTAAATATCTTGCCATCATTTCACACCTATTGATTGTAAGCAGATACCGTATCACATTGTAACAAGTGGTGACAGCTAGGATATTGCATCTCAGCTGGTGTTAAATGGTGTGAACATGACACGATATGGATCCGTTTGGGTCTCTGCTGGCAGTGCTGTCCATCATAGTCTTACACTTTATACCACTTCAAACAGCTTTTTCAGTATACTATTATATAGAAGAATAGACTTTTTGAAAAGTGCTACTGTGTATGTGCTACTAGCCTACATTGTAAAAAGTATATGGATGTATATACATTTACCTTTGACTTTATTAGAAACACCTACCGTTCACTGGGGACATTATGAGCTCCATTGTTTTATAGGTCCACAATATAGGTCTACAGTTACTGACTGTAGCCCTTCTGTTGCTATGCAGAGTTTGTCAGCCCCACTCTATCCGTTTCATCACTGGTCAATTTCTGGTCGCTGTTGGCCAGACATTGTGTGGTGGACCATTCTCAGCACAGCAGTGACACTGACATGGTAGTGTATGTGCCACTGTTACAAGTGTATCAGACACTGAGTCTTTGCTGGGACAAACATTAGTGGTCTGCTACCCAGAATACCCGACCAAGAGCATCTCTGTGGTCAGAGACTGACCACTGATGAAGGGCTAGAGGGTGACTCACACAAATTGTGTATGGAAAAAGATAAGCTGTAGTCTCTAACTGTACACCTACAAAGCGTACCAACTACAAAGTGTTTCTAATTTTTTATGATAACTGTATTTATAAGCTAATTTATTTAGAAGTGTCAATTTATCGTCCTAATGTGAAAGTTTACAAAACAGCAAGGAGTTACAATGTACGCATTATTATTGCCTTATAAGTAGATAAATATTTACACCACCTAATGGATTAACAAATTTCTGAAAATCTGACTTTCTTGAAGAACTTTTAGTATTACTGCACTTTTTGCCCTCATTAGTCTTCTATATGCAGCCTGTTATTGGTCTTATATTGCTGCCACTAAAGAAGGGCTGCAGTTTTTCATAATATAGTATGCCTTTATTCTCTTCAGGAAATAGTGACTATCGTAGTGTTTGGTGTGGAGTATATAGTGCGGATCTGGGCCGCTGGTTGCTGCTGTCGGTATAGAGGATGGAGAGGGAGGCTGAAGTTCGCCCGCAAGCCTTTCTGTGTTATAGGTAAGACCAGCTGCTGCCATGTCCCTTTGTGATATTCTTCTGTTCTAACAACGTCTCACTTCTGATCCCTCGCTCCCCTTCTATGTGCTTTCTCTCTCGCTGTACTTATGCTCTTCCTCTTTTCTCTTATGCTCTTCTCTCCTGAGAAAAGAGAAATGTGCCTTGCCTGCATTTTTGAGGTAATAAACGAGCAAAGCGGTTTGGCACGCTCTAAATTGAGACACTTGAGCTGTCAGTTTTGTATGAAGCACAGCAGAATAAGGCTGGTATGTTGTCGTCTACCTCTGAGCTGCTGCATTTGTCATGCTGAAAAACTGCAGTGGCTGTCAGACAGGTCTCAATCACAGCTTGCTTTCTATTCATCACTTACTAAAAATGAGAGAACCTGCCCTTTTTTGTTTATGTGAAAAAAAGACAAAATACTGTATCTAACTTTACGCAAATGCACATGAAATGGTTTGCCAAAAGCCTACTTTACCCTGTGAGGTCCATCATAGTGGCTTACATGTATTTAAATAACTATGGAGTTTCTATTTATTTATAACCCCATTTCCAAAAAAGTTGGGATGCTGTGGAAAATGTAAATAAAAACAAAATTAAATGATGTGCAAATCATTTAAACCCTATATTTATTTGAAAATAGTACAACAACAACTAATCAAATATTGAAACTGAGAAATTTTATTGGGTTTTTTTAAATATATGCCCATTTTGAATTTGATGCCAACAACATGTTCCAAAAATGTTGGGACGGGGAATGTTTACCACTGTGTTTCATCACCTCTTGTTTTATCAACATTCTGTAAGCGTTTGGGAACTGGGGAGTTTTGCTGTAGTTTAGAAAGTGAAATGTTTTCCCATTCTTGTTTGATTTCAGCTGCTCATCAGTTCAGGGTCTCCTTTGTCATGTTTTTCATTTTATAATGTTCCAAATGTTATCAGTGATGACAGGTCTGGACTGCAGGCAGACCAGTTTAGAACCAGGACTCTTTTAATATGGAGCAATGCTGTTATCATACATGCACAATGTGGTTTGGCATTGTCTTGCTGAAATAAGCAAGGTCTTCTCTGTAAAAGATGTTGTCTGGATGGCAGCATATGTTGCCAAAACATGTAAATATCGTTCAGCATTAATGGTGCCTTCACAGATGCGCAAGTCACCCATGCCATGTGCACTATTGGACCCCTTTACCATCATGAATACTGGCTTTTGAACTGTGCACTGATAACAGGCTAAGTGGTCTTTAGCCCAGAGGACACAGTGTCCATGATTTCCAAAAAGAAATTCAAATGTTGATTTGTCAGACCACAGGACACGTTTCCACTTCCCCTCAGTCCATTTTAAATGAGTTCAGGCCCCGAGAGGGTGGCAGCATTTCTGGATCCTGTTTATTTATGGTTTCTTCTTCGAACTTGCATTTTCGTTTTCACTTGCATTTGTGGATGCACTGATGGACTGTGTTCACAGACAGTGGTTTTCAGAAGTGTTCCTGAGCCCATGCAGTGATTTCCACTACAGAATCATGTCTGTTTTTAATGCAGTGCCACCTGAGGGCCCAGAGATCATGGCAAGCAAATATTGGTTTTTAGCCTTGTCCCTTGCATACAGAGATTCTCCAGATTCTCTGAATCTTTTTATGTTAGTATGTACTGTAGATGATAAAAAGTAAAAGTCCTTTGCTACTTTACATTGAGAAATGTTATTCTTAAATTGTTGCACTATTTTTATGTGTCTTTCACAGAGGGGTGAACCCCTCCCCATCTTTACTTCTAAAAGACTCTGAAAGACCCCTCTCTGGGAAGGTTTTTGTACCCAATCATGTTACTGACCTGTTGCCAATTAACCACCAGGTGTTTTTTTTAGCATGTACCAGCCTTTTGTTGCCCCCGTCCCAACTTTTTTTTGGAACGCAGTGCTGGCATCAAATTTAAAATGGGCATACATTTTTCAAAAATAAAAAATTTCTCAGTTCAACATTTGATATGTTGTCTTTGAAGCATTTTCAATGAAATATAGGGTTTAAATGGTTTGCACATCATTGCATTTTGTGTTTTCACAGTGTCCCAACCTTTTTGGAAATGGGGTTGTATTACAAAATTCCTGTTCCTGCTAAAAAATGTTGGAGGAACCTTAATACATAAATAAATAAATACAATTTAAAATGGAAAATCGAAGATATGCAAAACTGAAAAAAGAAAGTTAAAGTGAAAATAAAATGTTAAAAATTAAATTCACTAAATTTTCCCTTTACCCTAAACATGTTTTACTGCCATATTTGGTGTCCAAAGTTTGCTCCTTTATCTGTTTATTTACTTCTTTTTTCCCCCATCAGTTAGTATCATGCAAGCAGAATGCGTAAATCATGACACATTTGCCTCAGACAAGGTTTTAAAGACTTGGTTGTAGTCTTACTGATGCTGTGTAACATACTGTTCACTGTAAATATGGTATAGGTAACAAGCCTTTTATTTGTACTATTATCCCTCTGAGATTCATTCTTGTGCCTTAGCTTTACTTTGATAACTTGTGTTAATTGGTTATTTATTGCTTGCACAAATTTTAGTTTGTACTGAAAAAAATGTATATTATAGAAATTTTCAAACATAAATGTAAGTATTATGTAATATAGGATGTATACAAGATGTAGAGCAGTATCTATGATACGGGTCTATTCTCTTCAGTACAATTGCAAAATTTTATTGAACTCTATTCAGTATTAACAATTATACATTTAAATCTCACACAGCAGGCCAACATACATAGGATTTTAAGAAAGATTTTCTATGTAAGTCCACAGTGGGACCCAAAGTTTCCAGAATTTGTCCGTCTGGTGACGTAGATCGTAGGTCAGTTTTTCCAGGGGAAGCAGAGTTGCAGCTTGGGAAAGCCACTGCTCAATAGATGGTGAAGAGGGGCTGGCCCATCGAATTAGGACACATTTTTTTGCCAGAAATGAAAACATTAGAAACAAAAATTTGCCATCAGTATCAAAAATTCTGCTCCTATTCCCAAAAGATACAGGGCAGGGGATTTCTGAAATTGTGTCTGAAGGATATTTTCTACCGTGATGTGTACTCTATCCCAGAAAATGCCAATTTTTTTACACTGCCAAAAGGCATGAAAAAACGTTCCTTTTTCAGTTTTACATTTAAAACACAAATTAGTTCTGTCTGGGAACATCTTCTGTAGGCGAACAGGTGTAAAGTATATCCTATTCATGAATTTAAAGTTAAGCTCGTGAACACCAGATGAGGTACACCTGGGAAACAGACCTTTACAAATATTGCACCAGTCCTCTTCTGAGATAGGTTGGTCTAAGTCCCTTTCCCAAATTCCCCTCAGAATGTCTGACGATGGTTTAACACTCTTTAGCAAAATGCCATGAATTAGTGAAATCAATCCTCTAGTCTGGTCCTTCTTAGCTAGCAACACTTCAAGATCGGTTAATTCCTTTCTAAATCTCCCATCCTTAATGGCTGAGGTGATCAGGTGACGAATCTGAAGATATTTGAAAAAATCTGACCTAGGTAACTCATATTCTTCTTGCAATTGTGTAAACGATTTGAGCAAACTACCAGAAAACATATAAGAAATGTTTTTGATCCCTCTGTTAAGCCAAGCTGAGAGTCCAGAGTTACTCAGCTGAGAAGGTAAATCTGGGTTGTGGGCCAGAGGGGAGAGTAGTGAAAGACAATGAGGAATCTTAAGATATTTCTTAACATCTGTCCAGGCCATAAGGGTATTGTGTAAAATAAAATTCTCAGAGACACACCTCACCTTTGCAGCATCATTAATAAACGGTAAGCAATCAAGAGGAATAGGGCTACATGCCCCTGTTTCCATAGAGACCCAGCGAGAATCCAACCTATTTGTACACCAGCTGATCATATGCTTTATTTGAGATGACCAATAATACAACTGCATATTAGGCACACAAGCACCACCTTCCTCCTTCGCTCTTATTAATCTAGAAAATTTAAGTCTTGGCCTTTTATTATTCCATATAAATTTTGAGAAACTTTTCTCTAGATCCTTGAAGAAAATTGTGGATAAATGGCAAGGGATTGACTGAAATAAATAGAGTAAGCGAGGGAGGATATTCATTCTTATTAATGTTTACCCTGCCAAATAAGGAAATAGGGAGAAAGTTCCATAATGTAAGATCATGTTTTATATTATTAATAAGTGGAAGGTAATTTTTGTCAATAAGGTTATTAAGGTCTGGGGTGATATGAACACCCAAATATTTAAAACCCTCTAACGCTAATTGAAAGGGGGATGTAACTACCCAAGGTGTGTTAAGGGATATATTTAAAGGTAAAGCTAATGATTTTGAAAAATTGATCTTATAACCAGAAAATTTACTGTATTCTGAAATACACTTCATTATAGATGGAATAGATTTTTCTGGGTGGGCCATATACAACAAAATGTCATCCGCATACAGTGAGATTCGATGGTCTGCTCCTCCTGCTCTAATACCTGAAATGTCCTGGTAACATCTAATTGTTTCTGCCAGTGGCTCAATCACCATGGAAAAAAGCAATGCAGAGAGAGGGCAGCCTTGTCTTGTTCCTCGACTTATCTGAAACTTTTCAGAGAGCAACCCATTTGTATTGACTGTAGCGTACGGATCGGCATATAGCAGTTTAACTAAATGAATAAAAGTAGGACCTAAATTAAATTTTTTAAGGACAGCGAACAAGAATGGCCATTCGATCCTATGAAAAGCTTTCTCTGCGTCGAGAGAGACAATAAAGGCGGGATCATTACCTTTTCTAATAAAGTCAATAATATTCAACAGTCTACGTATATTATCAGAACCATATCGCATCCTTATAAATCCAGTTTGATCTGGGTTAATGAGTTTAGGTAAGATCACCTCTAATCGTCGTGCCAGAGCTTTAGCAAAGATTTTACAATCTGCATTTATTAAGCTGATTGGTCTGTAAGAGGCGCAGTCTTCTGGGTCTTTATCTTTCTTAAGTATTAAGCTTATTGAGGCGGTTTTCCAGGTTTCAGGCATGGTAGTTTGGGTACACAGATCCATGATAACTGGCATCAATATAGGTTGAAGTTCAGGCCAAAATGTTCTATAAAATTCAGCAGGGTAACCATCCAGTCCCGGTGTTTTCCGTGAAGGCATTGACTGGACGGCACCAAAAATTTCTTCGGGGGAGAAAGGGGCATTAAGACTGCATCTGTCATTGTCTGAGACCACCGGAAGTGGTATATTATCTAAATATGCAGTAATATCAGATTCTAAAACTTTATTTTGAGATTTATACAATTGCAAAATTTTTGAGTAATGTTCTTATGATCACAGACAAAAAAAGGAGAAAGTTTCCTTCAAAGCACCTGTGAGATGTGGTTCATATTTGGTGTGATAAAAAAAACTCTTTTTGGTCATGGTGGCCTTCTCCTGTTGCAATAACTGACCTTTCTGCTCTTCTGCAGATATCATGGTGCTCTTTGCCTCTGTGTCTGTGTTGGCGGCTGGCTCACAGGGCAACGTCTTTGCCACCTCTGCTATACGCAGCTTGAGGTTTCTGCAGATCCTTCGTATGCTGCGCATGGACCGCCGAGCAGGAACATGGAAACTGCTGGGATCTGTAGTCTACGCACATAGCAAGGTGTGCGTGTGTGTGTGTGTCAGTGTGTGAGTGTAAAAGAGAGAATCTCAACCCTGACTAAGTAGTAAAAGTGCGTTTCTTGAATCGATAAATCAAGGTCAGTGGACTGTGAATATTATTTTATAAAGGCAGGTATTCTCTGACTTGCTTTGTGAGTTCTGCTTTATAATAACTCGTAAATCATGACTCAAAATGCTGTAGTCCACAAAACCCAAGTCACAACATGTATAGTACCACTGATTTGACTGGTTTTAAAGGTGTTCTCCAGTGTTTTTCAACTTATTCTCTATGTGCTACATTCGTACAATTGATGACCGTAAGCAATAATTTTGTTTTGATTACCACAGACAATATTTTCAATTAGAGAAAAGTGAATTTGTGAAAGTGTTCCAAAAAAAAATAAATCTGACTAAGAAGTTCTTTCATAGACTAGTTTTTCTAGAAGGAAGAATTTGTGGTAATACAGGGTGATTCAAAAAGATTCATCCGATTTCAAAGCACCATATTTTTACAACCGTGAGGCGCCTAGGAACCAATCACATACCAATTGAAAGAGGGTGTCATAGAGTTTCTGACTGTCAGTATGGCAGTGAACCTCCAACAGCTCAGAGCATTTGTTGTTGGTACCAACAGTTCCAAGAAAAAGGTCACCAGCATCACCAGATCTCATGCTGTGTGACTTTTTTTTGTGGGGGTACGTTAAGGATTCTGTTGATGTGCCACCACTCCCAGCAACACTGGATGATCTCCGATATCGCATTGAAAAAGCCGTGAGTACAGTGACACCCGATATGCTCAATCAAGTATGGGATGAATTTGACTATGGCGTTGATGTTGTCTGTACAGCTGGAGGAGGTCAAATTGAGCACTTGTAAAATTACATAATAAACTGCATGCTCACTTGAACCATTTACAATTTACTGCATTGTTCTGTAATGATTTAGACGTGAAATAAATTATTTTGAAATCGGATGAATCTTTTTTAATCACCCTGTATTAGAGTTTGGTGACATGGCAAAAATGTAATGTCACAATACTTCAAGAAGTTTTGATGATACATGTTTTGTCACACTGTTTTTTCTGACATATGATAAGTTGGAACAGACAAAGCAGAGCCACATTTTAAAAATAGTGTCAAAAAATACAAATACAGTGATTTGTCTTCATCATTACACATACTGTACTGCGCTAAATCCAATTGAATATAACTAATTATGCTCTCTTTATAATCAAACATGCAGTTGGGATGTGTTTTTGTGCATATCATGGCATATTGTGACATAATTTATCACCATAATGATAAATATTGTCATATTGCCCAACATATTACCATAACATATCATCAAGTAGTATGTTAAAATTTGTGGTATTTTGTCAGTTATCATGTTTTTCTGGAACAAAGAATTCATGCAAGATTTTACAAAAAAAAATTCTATATCTGAATAATTCAAAGATATGGTGGAGTTATCACAGGGTCCCACATGATTATCCATGGATACCAAGAAACCTTAGGGTACGCAGAAGTCACTGGACCTGCTTTTTTCAGTGTAGTACTTAATGCTTGAAATGTAGATGAAACCTCAAACAAACAGCTTTGGTAAGACATTCTCATGTCTGTGCCATCCTTTAATCTGTATTGTTAGAGTGCCATGGTGTTATATAGCCATATATTTCAAATGTTTATTCATGGAATTCATCAACTGGCCAGTGTGGAGTGAAACAAAACAGATGTGGCAGATAAAAATTAAGTTGAAATGCTGGAGTGTTCCTTTATTAATGTCAGCATCATCTTATTATCTAATGTCAAACGAACCCCAATTGGAGGGGTTCGTATGTTATTGCTAATTTTAAGAATAGTTCCTAAATTTGCTTTTTTCTAAACCTTTTTATTCTTAAATGTAGGAGCTCATCACTGCATGGTACATTGGTTTCCTCTGTCTCATCCTCGCCTCTTTTCTGGTGTACTCAGTGGAGAAGGATGACAATGCAGAGATGTTTGAGACCTATGCTGATGCTCTCTGGTGGGGGCTGGTGAGTAATGTGGTCAGAAACATTAAATCTCTCCTAGTTGCTCTAGCACTGGACAACTGCTACAGACTAGTAAGATTACAGACATCTTGATGCTCTTAGAGTATCTGTTGCTTTCCTGTCTGAATTAGTGCTGGTAACATGAAAGTGGGTAAATGATCACATTAACCCTTGTGATGTGAGATATATCTCTGTTCCTCAGATCACTTTGACCACCATCGGCTATGGGGATAAGTTTCCTATAACATGGAATGGCCGTCTGATTGCTGCAACCTTCAGTTTGATTGGTGTGGCCTTCTTTGCACTCCCAGCAGTAAGTGCACAACATAATGCTGTAAGAAATATGACTTACGGAGAGGAGGCTTCTGTTATCTTTCACTATATTGCTTGTTAATGTCCAAATCCTAAGGCTTATTATTCAGTAACTACATTGATTACAATGGAAAATAATTGTGTTGTTATTTTAAAAAAGGGGAACTCCACCGATTTTGCAAAATTACTTAATCATTAAGTGGTTTAGATGTAAACAAAATCATTCAGATTAGTTTGGTGTGCAATGCGTCTTTCTAGAAGAATTTACTGAGTCAACATTTTTCACCATTACAGTGACACTTCAGCAGCTGTGTCTGATCCACTTGTAACAGCACAGCACACATTAACACACCACCACCACATCAGTGTTACTGCAGTGCTGAGAATGATCCACCACCCAAATAATACCTGCTCTGTGAGGGTCCATGGGGGTCCTGACCACCGAAGAACAGGGTAAAAGGGGGCTAACAAAGGCAGAGAAACAGATGGACTACAGTCTGTAATTGTAGAACTACAAAGTGCACCTATATAGTAAGTGGAGCTGATAAAATGGACAATGAGCGTAGAAACAAGGATAATAATGTTATGCCTGATCGGTGTATGCACAGCAGCTAATGACGACTAATTTATTTCACTCACAAATGTTTCTTACCTTGATTCCAGTTTCTGAGATGGAAAATACAACAGAGGGAAAAGCAGTATTTTTTTAGCAGCTAGCATTTGAAGAAATCCGCTTTTTATTTTGTTCACTGGTCATGAGTAGTCTTTGTCGTTTTTTGGTTTAGTTTGTGGAGTTGCTCAACTTTGGTATTTGTGTGTAGCTTCAAAACAATTAGCCACGACTTCAGGATTTCTGATACTTGTAACGTCAACTAAAAAACACACCATACTATATTTTCTCCATTTATTTTTGCATCGTGGTACAGCGCAGTTCACCACCACTCTTAACCAGCAAGGTGCAACTGTGATCTTTTGCAGCTCCTCTGATGAATATTCACATAAATTATTAATTTTGCGATGCAACGCCGCTTACCCAAACAACACAAAACGCGTGCAGGGAGAGGTACATGCAGGGAAAATAGTACCCAAAGAAAATGTAGTTTTTTTGGAATTTAACACTATTTTACCATTATCAGTGTGACATATAACAACTTATAAGACAAATGTGAGTTCACTGGTCAGTTTCGATAGCAGTTAAAATGGAGATTGCAGACATAAGGACGTCTGGTTCCTAGTGCTACAATGGTAAAATTTTTTTTTTTTACCCGATTTTTCTCCCCAATTTAGTCGTCTCCAATTCCACCCGCTAGTTAGGACTCCCCCAATCACACGATGCTATCAACGCTAGGAGGGTGAAGGCTAACACAGGCTTCCTCCGAGACCTGTGAAACCAACCACCGCTTCTTTTCGAACTGCCGCTCACGCAACGTCACTGGACAGCCGAACGCGCTCGGAGGAAAGCGCCAACCGCCAGATCTGTTACGTCAGCTAACAGACGCCTGCGCTGACTAGCATCGCGCTGAGTGATGGGGGGAGAAGGAGGGGCCATCCTACCCACCCAGAGAGAGCGAGGCCAATTGTGCTCTCTCGGACTCCTGGCTACGGATGGCTGTAGCATCACCAGGGATCGAACTCGCGATCTCCTGATGATAGGGCCAACGCTTAGATGGTTGCGCCACTCGGGAGCAATGGTAAAAAATTTTGACTGGCTAAATTTCTCTAGAAAGGGGCATTTCACACCAAACCACTCTGAATGATTTTGTTTACGTCTAAACCATAGAATGATTAAGTAATTTTGTAAAATCGGTGGAGTTCCCTTTAAGTTGAATGAGCTGAATGTGGACCTGCCTATGGTTTGTGTAAGTTTAAAAAGCATTAAGATCCTTGTGATCCCTGTCATCAATTTATTTGTTAGTCATTGTATTCCCCTGTCCATTGATCTCTCTCTCTCTTTCTTTCTCTGTCTCTCTCTCACTCTCTTTTAGGGTATCCTGGGTTCTGGCTTTGCTCTGAAGGTCCAAGAGCAGCACAGGCAGAAGCACTTTGAGAAACGACGGAACCCTGCTGCAGGACTTATTCAGGTCAGTAACATCACACTGCACATCTGCAGATCCAGAATGAGCAAATGGAGGCTTTAAAGGCTTTCTAGGTCAGTGGTCTCCAACTCTGGTCCTGGAGAGCTACCTTCCTGTAGAGCCTATTTCCAACCACAATTTGCCACACCTGCTCCAGCTAATCAACTTCTTCCCAAGTCCCTGATTGACTGGATCAGATGTATTAGAGTTAAGTAAGGAGTGGGGCAGCTTATTGGATACACGTTGTCTGATAACTACCAGTGCAGCATGCAAGTAAGATATGAATTTAGAAGCTGGAATGATGTTTTAAGCATGCAAACAAACTGTTAAAGTATACCTTCATGCAAAACCCTAATGTTGTTATTAGTAAATGATCTTCTTAAATTGGGTGTAAGACTAACCAGGTAGCATTATGCAATGTAATTATACTAAGTGCTCATGCTTTCGTTTATACTGTTAGCCATGTTAGCAGTTTTTAACATTGTGAAGTGCTTGTTAATCAGCTGATGAGTTGATATATGTAGTGCAGGGCTACTCCAGTACTGAGATTGGGAAATACTGCTGTGTACCTTTGGAAATGAAGTGAATTTCCACAAGCTGTTATGTATGTATTTCATTACCAGTCTGCCTGGAGATTTTACGCAACAAACCTCTCACGAACAGACCTGCTGTCAACTTGGGACTTCTTTGGACAAACTGTGTCAGTCCCTATGTACAGGTAAAATACACACACGCACACACACACACATACACATATTTTGTAAGCCGCTTATCCTTCTGGATCGCGGAGAGGTAAGATACAGCTCTGATCATTTGTTTGTGCAAATTGCTGCCTCTTAGTTGTCACTTCACTGTCTGCATCTATGCCACATTTAATGTTTTAGTTGAACAGTTGTTTTCTAACTGATATCATTGCTCTAATGTGTCAGTACAAATACAGTATCTTCAGTGTGCCAGTATAGCTTAGAATAATCACTCAAGCTCTTAAGACCCACCTTTTTTCAAGAGAAATAAAAGTGTGCAATTGGCATTTATGTCTTCTCCAGGGAGCTATCCCTGAATTGTGATGTGAAGTTGTCACCAGGCCAGCTTGCGAACTGGCTCTCTCCTCTTGCTCTGCCAACAGCACCCAGTTTCAGAATGGCCCATCTGACTCTAGCCAATTCTACTTTTAAGATATTAAATGAGTCATTGCTCTTTTTTACTAGTGCCATCCTACTGTACCATTACGTTTTTGGGAGATATAAAAAATAACCATTAATTTACCCCCCCCCATATGTATATATACGATGAGTTGATATATGTAGTGTAGTGCAGGGCTGCTCCATAAATATATATATATATATATATATATATATATATATTTTATATAAAATTACATTGTATATCAATAGTTCATTCAATCAACTGTTTACCATTCAATCAACTGTTTGCCATTCTACTCTACCATCACATGGTAGAGATATTAATTATTAATTTGAATTAACAAACATCTTAATATTTCTAAAATTTGCATACTTTTTATTGAAGTTACTCAGTGTTCTGTGCTGAGTGTATGTTCTTTTAATACTTTATCCAGGCTGGTTCCTCCTCTGAATCAACTGGACCTCTTGCGTAGTCTGAAGGGAAAATCTGGATTCAGGTTGGACTAGCAATATATATTTTTTTTTATGGAACTGTATGAATCCCCTTAAATCATCTTACAAACAATAATTAGTGAACTTATATGTCTGTCTGAGAACAATTTGTGTTTTGTAGATTATCTTGGACTTGGTTTACTCACAATTCTTGACAATTTAATCATTTTTTATTAATGCTAATTGTCTCACAGCAAAGATGTCTGTGTCCCTCTCTGTTCTCCTTTTCTGGAACTAAAGAAAGGACTCTCAGCCTGAAGCTTCTCCCAGGTTGGTTAAGTCATTGTTGTTTTCATGAATTCTTGGACTACAACTCTCAGCTGCCTCTCATTACAGAAGTCATTCATGTGGTCACATATTTTATGGGGAATTTCATTCCAAATGAACACAAAGTCTATAAATTCATCTATGGATACCTTAAGCTATTTAAAAAATGGTTTATAGACAGTTTAGTAGCACTTTATTTGACAGTACTGTTTTCAATATTCACAAGTTGAAAACTCAGTTCACTCTTCAAACACAATTCAGTCTTTTCTGGCACACAATAATAAATGGTGATAAATTGGGATCTAAAAAATTCCATTCCATATTACACTGAAATTGCCTCCTTTTGTCAAGTGAGTACCCTGTAAAATACCTAATGTTTTCTGTGCTGTAAAATCAAGTGCACTATTACAATTCTAAACTTAGTTATTTTTTCAGTGTTGACTATTATTTAAAATCCTTCTTATCAAAAGTAAACGTTCTACTTCCTAATCGCGGCCTCTACCATTTTGACTATTCCTTTTATAATCTTTTGTCTCTCTCACCACCCACCCAACCACACTTGCAGTAGTGAGATTTCACACAAAGACACCCTCTGTGGGTGTTGCCCAAGAAGCCCTAGGTACCGTTGCACACAGATACTAACATCTGCACGTCCACATTTCTCTCCAGCATTTGGATCTATATCTTTTTTCCTATTTATGATTTCTCATTTCTGACCCTGTTTCTGAATATGTTTTTTCAGATTTCCTCTCCGTAGTTTAACATGTCAAGTGCTACTTTTTTGAGTTAAATAGACTAAGCTACTTGTTGGTTTTACATAGGGCTGAACAGTTAATCATTTTTATGTCGAGCTGCAGTTTTAATTATATCCTACGTTTTGTAAGGTTGTCTTAAGAAGTTGTAAGTGGGGAAATTTAACCTAATTACATAGAACTCTTGAACTGCATATCAGATACACTACATTCAACATTCAAGCCTAAAAAAAAAAGATTTTCTGGTCTTCCTGAGAAGAATTTCCTGGAGTTTAATTTAGGAAAACAGTCACATTTAATTCATAATATTGATAAAAAAAATTGCTATTTGATTCAAATTGGTTATCGCAGTTCAGCAAAATGTGTAAACAAACACTCAAACGTTCATAAATTAGAAATTTGTCACACTTTAAACAGAATTTTTTAAAAAGACAAAACGTCCATTTGGAAGCCTATTCTTTTGCTCCCTTTACATTGTGAAAAAGCTCAAAGAAGTGGAAAATCAGCAGTGTGTTTGCCTGTCGGACATGAGGCCTACTGTTACAGAAAGCTGTATGAATTCAGGCTAGTAACCTTCTTTTCATGTCAGCAGTTGTGCTTGTAGGCTCGGTGCAAAGCTTTCCTCCCACCTGGACTCATAGTGCAGGGACTTGGCACATATGTCTTGACAGGGTGTTGATTTCTGCTTGCAAGAATTCAGCACATACTGTTTGTAAAGGTTTTCAGTCATCGTGGTCAATGAATCGTCTAGTTGTAGTAAGTCAACGTTTAAAATTTGTAGTTAAATGCTAGGGAATGTCCCTACCACTCATTTGAACTGACAAACCAGATGAGAGGTTAAACAACAGTCCACTCACCTTGAATTATTATGAGTTATTCCAGGCATGCTCAAATAGGGCCTACCAGGTCACATCATAGATTTCCTGGAACAATTGTTGAAAAAATCTTGCAAAACCAGGCAACATTTAACACTGTTTTCCAAATAATTTTTTTATTAAGAATTTTTTTATTAAGAATTTTAACTAGGCATAAATACAACACTAAAGAAAAATATTTCATTTTAAATCAACTAGCGTCACGAAAATGAATCAGTCAGTCAATTAATTGATTAATGTGAAGTCTTTCATGTTTTCAAAATTATTTTTACAAAATTTTGGTTTTACGTAACATTGCAATGTTTTTGTCAAATGTATGAATGACTCATTTTTGCAATATTTGAGGATACACCATGAGCTCAAATGGTTTAAATTAACTAAAAATCCTGTCTATATGCCTCTTGGGTCCTGTATTTTCTCAAAAGGGACTGTAGAGAAGGCACTATATAGAAAATACAAATATGGAAACTATAAAACCTCTAATACTAATGTCTCATTAATATATATATGTATAAGTACAGACATGCTATGAACCCTTCATGGTTTAGTAGTGTCTTCACAAAAGGTTCCAATTTCCAAATTAATTGTCATAAAAAATCTGTATGAAATCTGTTTCCTTGTTAGAGAGGTAATTCTTTCATTTCTTGTTGGGGGATCTGTTATACACAGAATGTCTTGCAGAGGCATCTAACAAGAATCCTGTCTTGCTATCCTGAAAGAAATGTAGGAATGGTACATAAATTGAAAACCAAAAATTAAAAACTGCTGAAAAATTAAATTTCACAGATATTTCATGCTCATACATTTGTTACATAGAAGGTTTTGTTGAATTTTTACTTGGAAATTAGGCTACGGGTGAGTTGGTATGGAATAACCCAACTACTAGATCTTGCGATGAGATCGACATGTTAGATACATATTTTAGACCAGGAAGTTTTTTGTTTTGTTTTTGTTGTGTTTGTTTCTTTTGTTTGTTTTTTTTTTTAACTCAAAGGTTTGTACAATCTGCATGTTTGTGCAATCTACTTTTTGTCTTTTTTAATATGATCATTAAAAAGTCAAACAAATACTGTTTGTACACAGCATGCTCTACAACATGCATGACTTCTGTTGCTCTGTTCAAATGCATCATTCATGGCTTTGGCCACATGAGGCTCTTTACTGTTGCATCGGAAATTATATATTGCATGGCATGGTTGTTGAGAAGAATCAAGTTTGTGTAATCTCTATTTTTTAAACTGGAACTAGGATTTAGGTTAGAACCCCACATAAGCCTGCAAAGAATGCAGTGAGGTTAAATTTAAGGTACATTTGAATCCAACCTTAATTCACTTGTTAAGTTACACCTTAATCAAAGGTGAAAAAGTATGAAACTTAAAATAACTTGAAATTTATCAAAAAACTGACTAGAAGTTGTTAAGCTGGTGGAAAATGACAAAATGCCCATATTCAGTTTAGTTATACTTCAGATATATGAGTTTTATTCCATGAACATCTTAAACTGATACTGTGCCTTTCTGAGCTTCATCATCTGCATTTGACACTGATGTAGCCAGATGGGGCCCAGCATCTGTCTTGGATGTATGTACTGAAACTCTTTTAAGCATTCTTGAATAGAGTGCTGACCCTAATGAAGTTCATGATAAGATCTCTAGCATGTATTATTGATTAATCAGAGTCCCATCATCATACAGTGTGTCAGATGCTCTGCTTACTCTACAGAAGCATACAGTAGTCCATCGGGAAACTTGATTTTCTGTATATTCTGTGTCTGCCATAATATAATGCTTTTATTATCATTGTGCTTTTGTTTGCTTTGTATACCCCAAAATGCTTTCCACAAAGTCGTAAACCAAGCCTTAAGGAGAAAACATTCCCCAGCCCCTCTAAGAGTGCAGGGGGAAAGGACACTAAATCACCCGGAGCAGAGGAAGGAGCAGGGGAGAGTCCTAGCAAAGTGCCAAAAAGCTGGAGCTTCACAGATCGAAACAGATCGAAACAGACCTTCAAGTTCAAAGAGGAAACTCGGCAAACCCCAGAAGGTCAGAAAATACTAATGTTTCCTTGTTCACACACACTGTTGTTTTTATACATAGTGGTCATACAGTACTGTGCAAAAGACCGCTCTTAATGCAACCTAATTTCCGGTCAAAACGGCCATTGAATACAAGGTATTCATTTTTGAGGTTCAGGAAAAAAGGCAGAAAACATGACAAAGAAATCTGCAGGTATATTTTTCCACAGCTCCAAAGTTCAGTCTTAGAAGTTGGTTGCATTTTCTGCTTCTCACGATCCAAGTAACCCCAAACACATTCAGTGATGTTGAGGTCTGGACTCTGGGGTGGTCAGTCCATTATTTTGAGAACACAAACAGCTCCTTTATTAGATTTGTAAATTTTCCTCTTTTTTTGTATGTTTCCTTTGCTCTGTAACAGATTCTTGACAGCTACACGCCCTTTCAGTATTGAGTGGTCTGCTCTATAGTGGAAGGATGGACAAAAACGAATGTGGATTTTTTACAGATCTAAAGCAAGAGTGGAGCTTGATTTTCTCTCTCAAAGATGAAATCTTTAAGTACTGTTTATCTGATGGTAACAGATTTAGTGGTCTTGCATGATTCTAAGGAGTCCCATTTTCTCTACATCTTTTAATAATTTTTAAAACTAAAAAAAAAATCTCCTCAGAAAGATCTCCAGAGCGATTAATTACTTAACTTGATGGCTGTTTTTACTGGTAACTAAATTAATAAAGAGTGCTCTCTGACTTCTTCACAGTACTGTACGCACATCCATGTTTCATCTCAATGCTGTCAGTATCAAATTTTCTATCTCCAGAATAGTATTTTTACAGGAGAAAGAAAGATGTTCTTTTAATGAATGTTTTAATGAAACGTCCAAGTAATTTTGGACAATCTCTGTTTGTCCATTCAACATGAAATCTTGACACAGTATTTTTGTTATAGTAATCATATGTATCATATGTATTATTCGTATGTAGACAAGTAAAGCAACTTTTGTAAGATACCCATATAATACAATTTTTTTTATCCCTAACCCTAATCTTAGCCACAATAACCAAGAAGTAATAAAACAATTTTTTTTAAAGCACTTCACATAGTAAGAACCATTTTGCTGGTTCTTAGATTGTAGGTTACCCATTTGTCTCTGATTTCCTACAAAATGTCAACACATTTTTGTACTGATAATGTACAAAAACAAGCATGCACACACTGTGGAACCCTGGAATAACATTAATTACAGCAACCCACGGTAATACACACACTCACACAAACACGCACATTGCATGTTCACCATCTTGTACTTTTTCCTTCTGTCTCTGTTTGAGTTTTGCTCTTTAATCTGGGTTTGTGCATTTAGCAAGGACAGGTTGTATTCACTGGCACAGGACCAGCTGTCACAGTGGTCTGCCAAATGTAGCATGTTCAGAAGAGGGTACCAATTATGCACTCCACTCATTAGCATTCAGAAGAGGGTGCAGTTAAATGAGGAGTTCAGCAGATTTTTTTTCATACTATCTGAGTTTTCATTTCCTGTACGGGGTTGAAATTCATAGGTTTAGGCTTTGTAAGTAATATTTATGATTCTGTATACTGAGACGTGCACATGGTGCACATCTTACTATCTGTGTCCATTAGCTAGATGTTTGCATTTTCATGTCATGCTGTGATCAGCTTAAAAAATATATTTCATTTCTCCCTACTCACTGTCTGCACTCTCATCGCTTCCTTTCTCATTCCTTTTGATGGGAAAAAAAGTGCTGATTGAGATGCAGGAGGAAGACTTCGGAATGAAGAGTTCTCCAGGTTAGGCCGTGATCCAGAAATATGACCCCAAAGTGTAGAGATGACACTGCAGATTCCCATAAAATATATATAATTAGTAACAGTAATTTATGTTGCCTGTAATTCAATCTTAGATTGATTTTAGTGAAGGCATTAGTTTTACTCATTTGTAAATGAAAATTATTTCTATTGTAAATGTGACCCAAATATCCTTTCAGCATCAAAACCATGGCACCATTTAATCATGATATGTCAGCATATTTCAGACTATACAATTATAACCCTATAATATCAGCACCTAGTGAGTGACACAGTCAACGTTCTTTAAACCATTTTCATCTGAAATCTTTAATCATTTCTTTTCCATGTCTTTCTCTCCACGTTTTGGCAGCAATTGAGGGGTTGATCAGTAAGGAAAACCATATTTTTTTAGGGTTTGATGCTTTTATTTAAAGCCACAATAACACACTGAGTCTGAGCTAGGCAGCCAATGAAGGAAAACAGTGCATGTCTAAAAATGGCTTTCTAATTACTGAGTTGCAGCTTGCCTTAACAAGATTGCACTTCATGCAACACCCTCTGTCATAAAGTCTGCTGACTGCCGTGTCTTACCAGAAAAAGACTGCTGAAGTTCTCACATTCTCACGTGAAAATCAAGCTTTAAAATATGCTGTTCACAGCAGTTTAATAATTAAATAATGTGGTAATATCAAAGCAGCAATAATACCTTTTTTGATTATTTGTGCTTATTTTACTGTTTTTTATGACAGAATGTGTTACAAATATATATTTGTCTTTTTGCTCTTTTCTCCCCAAATACTTTGCATTAACCTGCATGAGAATATCCTTCTGCTTTCAGAGGAAACAGGATTGTTTCCAGTATTCAGTGTTATCATCAAAGACTCACTGGCTATTATGTCATTTGAATGGAATCTGTTAAGATTTTTTATTCATATGACATAACCTGGTCCTGATATTCCTGTTACACATACTACCATCTCAACATGCTAGCCAATGTTAATGTAGCACTGGAGTCCAAGTGTGCTTGACCGTGAGTCATTTTAGGTACACAGTGTGGTTTACTATGCAGTATGTCAGGTAAGAGTTTGCATGGTTCACATTGCTGTTTTGTCTTAGGAAGTAAAATGAAGCATGTCCAGATATTCTGCCAGGAAAGGTACTCACACACCCCCAATGAAATGATTGTGCAGTAGCGATTTATAGAGCATAACTTACAGCTGTGGAGTTTTTAATATTGTAGAATACTTTGTCCCACATAGCCTATCAGTATCTTTCTAATTTAGTGAGGAACATGTGAGATTGCTCTCTAATGTCTAGAATTTGCTAGTTAGACTTTCTACCTTTGCTATAGCAGGAAATAATTGATCCTGTTAAAAGCATCAAAGAAATAGACATGATGAAGATCTTAAACAGGGTTTCTAATTCTGATTCTTTATAAATACTAGGATATTAACAGTGTGTGTGGTTGTGTGTGTTATAGAGGCGAGTCTCCCTGATGACTTTGGAGATGATAAGACTTGCCATTGTAATTTTCTGCAAGACCTGTCTCCTGCACTGAAGGCCGTCATAAAGGCAGTCTGGTAGGAGATAATCAAATTCACTGTATTAGGACAGAAATTCCACAGATCAACTTTTAACAAGGCACACATAATAATTAGGATGATATAATGCTTGTGGTTCAATTATCATAATAATTTAAAATGTCACTGGAATTTTACTATACTATTTACAGTACTGTGCAAAGTCAAAGAACGCTTTTCATGAATTTAATTTCCAGTCAAAATGGCCATTAAATACAAGTGATTAATTTTTAGAGATAATTAGAAATAATAACTTTTTATGACATAATTTTGAGGACACTTACATAAAAGAGAATGTTAAAGGAAAATAAGTGAAGAAACAGGAGTTTTCAAAACCAGAGTTCAGAAAATTATTAAAACAGAGATAAAATGGGACACCAGGCAACCGTGCAAGACCTGGTAGACCACCAAAACTGTCACCATCAGATAAACAGTACTTAAAGGTTTCATCTTTGAGACAACGACTCAACCCTTTTCTCCTAAAAGGAGATGTAGCTGCCAAGTCGTTACTGAGAAAAAGGAACAGACAAAAAGAAGAAAATTTGCAAATCAAAGAAAGAAGCTGCTGATATTCTCAGAATAATGTCCAGATCTCAACATCAGTGGATGTCCTTGGGATTACTTGGGTCATGTGGAGCAAAAAATGCAAACAACTTCTAAGACTGAAGGTTTGGAAAAATATCCCTGTAGATTTCTATGAAAAATTGAAAGCAATTCTCCAGAAAAGAATGGAAGTAGAACTAAAGAAAGAGTGGACAGGCTTGGACCCAGATTTTTCTGTAAAGCTGCTTTGTGACAAGCGCTATATGAATAAAAAAGGTGCTATATAAATAAACTTTGACTTGACTTGGACACAATAAATACTGGACATTTTGATATCATATTTAACTGAGATGTTTTTGTGTAGTTTCTCTTAAATATATGTTTTCTATTTTGGCCATTTTGATGTAAATCAAATAAATGAAGTGTGTCTCTGACTTTTTAACAGTATTGTATATTTGTCTTAGAAACATATTGCAAACATTAAAGCATAATCCTTAACTCATACGCTATAGATTTAACACCAGGTGTGTTCAAACTTATAACTGGCATTGCACTTCTAACTGTTTCTGAAAACAATGACAGTGATGGGCTATTTTCACTTGCTTGTTTCAGTGTCATGCGTTTCCTAGTGTGTAAGAGGAGGTTTAAAGAGAGCTTGCGGCCCTATGATGTGATGGATGTGATAGAGCAGTATTCAGCAGGCCATCTGGACATGCTCTCCCGCATCAAGAACCTGCAGTTCAGGCAAGATCTCCATCCAGCCACTGCTGTCTTCCTCGACCATGTTACTGTACTTGTCAGCTGGGTTTGTGACTTCCTGTTGTGCTTTCATTTACACATGCTCTGTTTGAACAGAACACTTCCTTTTCCTAACTTCCTCTTGCTAGTTCTGTTATTGGATGCTCTGCCCTCTACCGGTTACTTTCTGTTAGCATTATGTCATAGCCACCAGTTGAAAACTTAAAGCAAATAGGGGCTCAAATCTCTATCATACCCATGACACATTCAGTCATCTCTGAAGAGATGGATGTTTCACTTTCCCCAAATTTTTTCTTTGATTTTTCTCTCACATTCCAAAGTACTGATGTGAGTCAAAATTCATTTTTTTCCTCAAATAAGATCCATATATGTTGTGAAATAAAATCACTGTTCCACACATATAAAATATATTCCAACAGCAAATAGCCATGTGCCATAGCCTGTGTGTCACGACAGATGTATGTATGGAATATATTCTCACTTATTTGTCCACGGTTCTCAAAGGAGGACTGGGATTGGTATCCATATGTTGCTTTATGATGCTTTACCCCATGTCTTCTCTATGTACTTTGCCAGGATAGATTTGATTTTGGGCCCCCCACCCCCTTCGACCCCTCGCCATAGGAAGTACGTAATTAAAAGGCACAAACAGTTGACCAAATCTAAATGGGTCTGTTATTGAACAGCATTGCAGCATACATTGTAATCCAGTTTATTGTTTTGTTGCTTCATATATCAAAGTTTTCGAATGAACCTATAACGGAACTGTGAAGGGGTCTGTCAAGGCTCACTACTGGCCATGCTTATTGCTGTTTCTGGTAGTAAATGTTGTTTAGTATTTTGTTGTTTGATTATGTGTCCCACTTCCAATGAATGAGTGTCGATAACCATTCAACTGTTGTTAAAATTGCTGCAAAAATTAGTTAAAATGCTGTCCAATAATTCTGTATACCCAGCAGTGTAGCTGTACCCTGACTAATGGGGGACTAATACATTTGTGCATGCCATTTTTGCATTTGAAAAGCTATGCCATCTGATAAAAGCCAAGCATTTATGAGTAGAAGCAGTGAAGCATGAAGCATCATAAGGCATGGTACCAGGTAATATTTTGAAACATTTTTCTTCATCTGTTCACTGTTTTTAAATTTTTTTTGCAACACATCCAGAGGCCGTTCCTATTTCTTGGTTTCGCATCATATGTGTTGCCAGTAAACATGCCTGGCATTACCACTGAACGAGCAGCACGGTGTTTTGTCCTTTCCTAGTTTTTGTACAAGACTGCAGCCTTCTCCTTGTGATGTTGCATGGAGCAGTGTTCTTATGGGTGCTTTGGGTGAACTAAAGACCCCATGGTGCATGATGATAACAAATACCATGGTACCATAATGCATGCCTCATTTTTCCAAAACATGAAGACATGCTGAAACTGCCCAGATACTACTGTAAGCAGTGTTTACATAATGTTTTTTTTTATCTTTATGGTCAGATCCTTTCCATGTTGTTAATTTAATGTTAATGCACTGTAATTGTGCAGGGCTTAAATCAGTGCTTATACTTTGTGTGGGTGATTCACTGCATTGGCTCTGTATGGAAGAGATTGTTTCCTGAATTGTCAGGGTAGACCAGATAGTGGGGAAGGGAGCATCAGCTGGGGATAAGGACAAACCCAAGAGTGAAGCTGAGCCAGCAGATGACCCCAGTATGATGGGACGATTAGTCAAGATGGAGAAACAGGTAAGGGACATTTTCTTGATTCCCAAAAAGTGGAAAACCAAATTTTCTTTGTGAAATTTGAATTTGATTTACTATGTAATAGCTGCTAATCTTTTAAATTGTACCAAACACTCCCCGTTATGATTGAAGTAATCATGGTTGTGTTATCACATATATATATGACTGCCCATTCAGCCAACAACAGTTTACCATTTAGCCTACAGCAATTTTCTTATTTCTTCATCATGATTGAATAAAAAAGTCATGAGTGTTTTTACTGCAGATATTCTGCAGCATAAGTACTGAAGCGGAAGATGTGGGGAAAGCTATTAAACATTGTACTGTTCCTGGCTATATCAGCCGTTCAAAGGATCCAGACAGCCAAAATTAGAAGTTGAAATTTATTTTTTCCAACATCCTTGAAGATATCAGTCTGAACATAACAGTTTGATCCACATTTCAGCTTGGAGTGCTACAGCAGTAAATCAATCAGAACAGAGGTGTTTTTGTGTAGCAGTTTTGCAGTTTTAAAAACATTTTGCCATATATAAACTTTAGAACACAGCAGCTTTAGTGAGTGTTCCCAGAGTGTGGATTAATAGATTAAGTATATGACATGGGTGACAGGGAAATGGTAAAGGGGCCATTTCCTGAGTGTGAGTATAAGGAAAGTGCTCAGAGTCTCTTCTGGCCCACAGGTGGGTGCAATGGACCGTAAGCTGGACTTCCTGGTAAACGTATACACTATGCGCTTAGGCATCCCACGGTCTGAAACAGAGGCTTTACTGGGCTTCAAAATCCCTGACCCGGCACCCCCGTACCACAGCCCAGAGGACAAGAGTGAGAAAGTTCAGGATGAGAAGGAAGAGAAGAAGAGCAAGAGCGTTTCATCTGCGGAGCCAGGTTCAAATGGAGCTCCTGCTGATGGTCAGTGCCATCCGTCCACCTCCTGGCAGCAGCAGCATCAAAGTGAGCTGCCTCTGAATGTGCCACTATGGAACAGCAGTCGTGGGGTGTCCCCTGTGGGCACAGATGACCCCTCTCTTTACCGCATCCCACCCCCGCCTGCCCACGAGAGCAGTGAAAGTGGACGACAGCGGAGGTCCCGACGGTCCAGGGCTCAGGCCGGCGTGGAGAGTGACACGTCTCTTTCCATTCCCTCAGTGGACCATGAAGAGCTAGAGCGCTCCTTCAGCGGCTTCAGCATCTCCCAGGCCAAAGAGGGGGGCTACCTTCCTCCAGTCAGCCTGGGCCCATTCGGGGCAGAGGGGAGTGGGGGCATGTGCACTCGCGTAAGGCCGTATCTGGCCGAAGGCGAATCGGACACGGACTCAGACCTCTACACACCTGGCGCCCCTTCTCCTCTGTCTTTTACTGGGGAAACTGTGGCCTTTGGAGACCGGGGCTGGCCAGGATTCAAGTAGACTTCAGAAATGGACCTTCAGATCCTCTGAGGAGTGAATATAATTTTAAAAAAGTAAATGTGGATCTACTGCTCAGAATTTTGGAATCATCTTTCAAAAATATGGAATTATTGTTCAAAAGTTTGAAATCACTCAATAATATAACATCAGTTTTGTTGTAGATACATGAATAAAGCTATTCTAATGTGATGCTACCAGTATAAGTTTTAAATGATTTGTTGCAAGCCATAAAAAAATATTTTGTGTCCAGAATGACGAAAAATGTATTCTAGATGATTCCCTAATAATTGACAAGGCTACATATAATCAGGAATGAAGTTATAATAAGTCCAAAATGGCTCATATTTGAAAAGTGGTAATCAAATCCTGGACTAGAGAACTTGACAAGAAATTATAGTCAGTAGATTACACTGTAATTCTGTATTGTAATTATACAGAATTACAGTATGTTGTTCAGGATTTAACCCCTTGGAGCCTAAGCTTATTATTACAGTTTAGTTTCAATTCAAATAACGTTTTTAATCAGTAATCATAAGTATTCATAAGAATATGAATTATTCAGTTACTAACTACTATAAAACTAATTATGAAACTAATAAGCCATGTAGATATGAGAGGATTAATCGCTACTTTTTTCAAAAAAAATATGTTATATTAAATGAAACATCTAAGGATGCTTTCTGGTGTCAAGTTTTTAATACTGAAAGCTACACTATTGAGTAACTTAGCATCAATGATTATATGGTAAGTGATTTCAAACTTTTGAATAGTGGTGTCAATAACATAGAACACTAAATATGATGTACCCAATGGACATTCAGTGGACATGCTTGTTATGACTACTTTATGGTGATGGTGAATAATACTCGGACAGGAATTCCATACATTGGAAGCCTGACAATTCAAGGTGGCCATCTTTGCACACTTAAAAAGTGGATTCTGTGTGCATGCAGGTATTGGCATGCATCCCCTACACTTAAAATCGAGTGGGTCACCTGTTTGTATTATTTAGAATAGTTAAGGTACCAGCGCTTATGCAATATTAAAAACACCTTACTTTATGATTGTACATACATAATGATTGTTCGCTTGCTACATGAGACTAATTCAGTTGCTCATTCAGTTTTATTGATTTTGTATGTTAAGCGAATGTTATTATAGAAAATGAGGGTAACGTAGGGATTTATGTAAGATATATAATGGAAATTTAATCGCCTTTAAAGAAATTACCCCAACCAAAGATAGAGGGAGCACTTGAAAACTGAGCATGCCTTACACATAAACATTTTTTTTCTTTCACCTCATATGAACATGGCTTTTCATTTATTTTTATTGGTCCAAATAGAAATTACAGGTAAGATTTTTACAGTTTACATGCATTTTATAATCTTTATAAACATCTGAGTCATTGGTTATCACTAGTCACTAAATGTACTTTATTGAAAGTCCTTTTCTGGTCAAACTCTCATGGTACCTTCATCCGAATAACCTAGCGGTGTTTATTGTGGCAAATGCCTTTAGCTCATTTTGCTCGCTAGAAACTTAGCTTGTGTTGCAAACAAAAATAGATGATTCTGCAAGCAAAAGCATCTTAATTCCTTAAACCTATGTTTAGCTCCTTTAAGAAGACAAAGCACTGACCAGTAAGGAAATATGAAAGGATTAAGCTGAATTCGATGAACGTGATGGCTAAGGGTCATGAAGTCAAAAGATGTTTTCACATGCAATGCATTTTAGTTGAACTGAAATGGTATCTTGCAGCAAGACACCTTTACGCTTTAGTAACAAAAATGGTGCCTCACAATATTCAGTCCCCCTGATTACACCAACTGCATGGCATGTTTAGAGGAGCCTGACTTAATTGATGATGGTAACACAAGATTGTGCCTATAGAAATTAAAGAAACAGTGATGAAAAGCATCTCTGCATTCAACTGTTTTCCTTGATGCCAACACTGAAGATAATAACAATAATTACATGAAGCATTTACATTATGGTGAGACTGAAATCTTTTTTCACCTTTAAAAAGACTGTTTTAGAGCATGCTGGAAGGTTGTAATCTGTAAGGAAATAAAATTGGCTTAATCTCAACTGACTCATCAGCTGTCTGTTTTACAAGGATCAATAAGGCACACTTTGCTCTAAAATTTCAGAGAACATTCCATGGCCCTTTCTGTATATTTACACCTACACCAAAAGGCAGAATATCTTATTTTGAGTATGATATTGATTCTTCCATCCTACTGTTGTCTTTTTATCAGTGCACAGGCAGAAATGTTAAGGTGTGAATTCAGCGTATCCACTCCAGATTGTCTGTAGCCCACCAGAATGACACCATGCCCATCGCCGTCACCAGGCCCAGTGCTAAAACTGACTTCAGCACAGCAAGACACTGCAATAGACATAAACACAGAAAGAGATTTCCATGAGACCTTGAACAGTCAGTATAATTAAAATGAAAGTGTATATGTACCAATTGAAGCTCATGTAGGCTCTGTAGCAGTACTTCACATTTTATGTATTATAGCATGTTAAAAATATTTAAAATGATGGTTCAGTGAGAAATCAACTTTACACAGTTACCACAAATTAACTCAGCTAAGGCGTGTTAAACATCCAAGGTTTGCTTCTTTAGGTTTGCTTTAGGAGCTACAATGCTAATGTGGCTAACATGAAAGCTTACAGTATTAGCATTGTGCCTAAATCATCATGCTTGCCTCAAATTGTGTTGAGCTGTTAAGAAATCTCAGGCTCACTTATGTGGTTTCTGACAAACACTATCACAAACTGAACAAAAGCAAACAATAAATGGACAAACATATGTGGCATAACTAAAAACAGCTGTAGCACCAATGTTGAAGCCTGAATTTTGTTCATACTTCTGTTCATTTTTAGAAAATCATTTCAGTTTGTATAAGCAATATTGATGACTTAGGTATGCAGTTTGCATGATGCTAATTTGGTGACTATTAGCTTCTTTTACTTACTAGGCTACTTTGGGCTTGTAGCTCCAGTGTAAAACTAAAGAAGCAAACTTTGGACATAAAACATTTGATTGTTGGCTGAACTATCATTTCAAGTGATTATAAGAAATCTGCTGCAAACATAAACTAAAGTCAAAATTGGATGTCAAAGCTCTTTTTGTAAAGCAGCTCATGATCTTTGACAATCTGGCAAATTGATGCTACCAAAGAGTTCATGGTATCTTCTTAAACACTATGAGCACACTGACTCAACTGAGATAACTGAGAATCTCTTACATACAGAATTATACATTTGTTTCCATATAGTCCAAGTTTAACAGCCGAGACTTTTACCTTGTTCCTCGGAGGGCTTGCATTCTGCGTAGGGCTCACAGGTTGCTGCTCTCTTGGTTGAAGCTTTGGCTTCTCAGGGATGAAATGCTTCTCCTGCAGTTCATCATCTGACTCACTGTGGTACTACAATATACAAAACACTGTCAGTCTCAGCTGCCGTACCGTAGTTACTGTAGTTATCGCTCATATACTGGTTATGTTGATTTTCTCACCTCAGGCTTTATTGTAGTAGGAGGTATGTCAGGGTCCTTGTCCAGTTCCTCTTCACTACTATGGAATGAATATGAGTATGGAGTGCGAAAGTAATGTAGTGAGTGTAACGTCCATAGACAACCACACAAATGTGATTGGAATAATGACCACTTCAGCTTACCTCTCAGACTCCTCTTCATATTCAGACGATTCATGATCCAGACAAAAGGTAACCTTATGATTCCTGTCTATATGGGAAAAAAATAACTCATTATTCAATTTAGAAATATTTAGAAATGTACATATGTGTTGGAGAGTTAACAAAGTGCTATGGTGAAATACATACTATTTACGCCTGCTCACCTGCTTTTTCCTCTGGCTCATCCTGATCATAGTATCTATAAAATGCCTCAATCCTTGTTTTCTCCTGCTCCCAGTCCCGTGCTTTCTCTTCCCCATCGTCATCACTGTCTAACTCTTCCAGGGCTTCTTCTGCGTCCTCTTGGTTTTCTTCTTCACCTACATTCACCTCAAGCTGCTGTTGTCCAGTCAAGTCCCAGTCATACTCATCTAGGAGCAGCTCATTTTCACTCATTAATAGTTCTGAGGACCAAAACACCTCAGAGATTAAGGTGTTGGTATCTCTCACACTGTTTAAAACCTCTGCTAGGGGTACATCTTGTTCTTTGATGGTCGGATCCAGTTGGACTGATTGTAATGTTGGGTGTAACTCAGTGGGCTCTTCATTGGGTTCTTTGTTACAGTACTCTGTATATGAGAAAGAGCTTGCGTTGGTGAAGTCGCTATCCATCTCTGGGTTGCTACCATCTTTATCTTCTGTATCTATCCCTATGTAATCAATGTCAAGATCAGCTCTGCCCAAGTCCTCTATATAGTCATTCTGCTGTATGTTGCATTTCAATTCTTCCTCATGCCTCACATATCCCCCAGGATTCTCCTCTTGACTTGTGCTGTGGTCACTACTGATGTCACTATCATAGTCTGGTTGATCTTGATTATTACCATTGCTTGCATCTCTTTCATCTCCCATTCCTTGGTTCCTGGTGTCTTCCTCTGTACTGCTATCATTTGTTAGAGATTCTTCAACATCATCCTCATCAGCATTCTCACTCTGGAAGGATGCATCCACGTCTGCTGCTTCTGATATTGTCTGAACTTCTGGTTCCTTAATCTCGCTATCACTGTCAGTGGAGGTAAAATCCATTGGTTTGTCTTCCTCTTGCAAGTTGTCTTCTTCTGCATGGGATAAATCTTTCGTCTTGTTTAATTGATCATTGCTTAGACCCAAACTGCTGTCCAAGAGTGTGGACAGCTGGTCCCTAGCACTTTCTGCACACTCTTCAGTTTCACTTTGAGATAAGTCTGAAGGGTAATCTGCAAGGCTTTCCTCAATCTGTTCCTGGTCCTCCTCTGTAAACTCTCTCAGATCGTCTCCAGCACGGTACCCTGCAGACATATTTGGCTTTATGGCAGTAAAAGGTTCATCCATATTGCCATTGGAGTCGCACTGAAAAGTTTGTTCTCTTGTGCTGCAGTTCTCTGGCCCTTCTTCATCTGACCCTGATGACCTTTCTTCTGGCATCTCACTGGGCGCAAGACCTGATGACGTTTCTTCCATAAAGTTGCGGATATTCTGCACTGGATGTTCCTTCATCCTCAACAGATTCCAAAGGAAGTTCTTCGTCCTGACTGAGATCCTCTCCTTCTTCCAAGATGCTGACATCAGGCACGAATTCATGCATAGAAACATCTATTTCTTCTTCACTTTGAATGCTCTGTTCCTCTACAGTGCACTCCTCATTTGCCTGGTTAACTTGTTGCGCTTCAATCGTTGTCTTTTCTGCAAACTGATCAGAGTCCATTTCTTGAGACGGACAAAGTGCACATCCTGTCTCTACATGGGGTGGATTACTTGATGTGCTCTCCTCGCTGCTATCGGTACTATCTTCATTCTCTTCTTGTTTGTAAACGCTAGACAAGGTCTCAACTAAACTTTGGTCAGATGTCGGCCAGAGTTTACTGGCATCTTTCAGATCAATCTCCTCATCCATGACTAGCTGTAATCGAGACGTGTTAGCACCCTCCTCGAACTGTAGATGATCAAAGTCTATATCAACTTCTGAGGAAGATACAGGAATGCACAAAAAATACACAAGCATCAGTGTTACCGTCAAGGGTCCATAAGAAGGTAAAACAGATCCGGAGTCAAGAAATAGCTTCTTAAACCACCTAGTACCAGATTAGATTGAAGGCTCATTCAACAATTATTATCTTACCTGAAAATGCATCTTTCAGCAAATCAGCAATGTTTTGTTCCATCCTCTTTGTTAAAAACTGCAGATGGTGCCAAAAAGCCTTTGTGATTTCATTTGATATTGATAAAAAGAAATGTTGAGACACGTTTGATGAGTGAAAAAAAAAAAAAGAGCGGGTACGATACTTACCTCTTTGTTTCAAAGTCACTTCCTGTCAAAATCCATGAAACAGTTTATCATCACCCTACTCTTTCTGAAAACTTTTTAAAAAAAGGTAAAATGCCTATGGAAATAAAAGTGTTGTGCTTGTTAGAAATATTGTGAAGATTAAAGTTTTTGCAAATTCACTCCGAATAAACACCAACCGTGAGTTTGTCCGTTTTGTTTTTGTTGCCTCAGTAACAGCGCAGTGACAGCTGTGGTTTCAAACACGCATAGCTGAGTCCCCCTAAAAAGGTACATCCTCTTCCATCACCAGAAACAGCTTTATTTACATGCTGCTGCAAACATGGCAGCATACGTATTCGACCCTTCTAGCTCTACCTAAGCCAACTCAGCATTTGCAGTGATTAGATTTATTATATTTCCATTTTATAAATGTTAACAGATGTGTTATGAATGATTCATATTAAAAGTGTAGTTTGCTGAACAAGAACATGCATAAAACAGATGTTTTGTTCCAGATGAACTACTTTGATTCTTTTCAGTAAAGCAGTTGTACTCTTTGTGAGGCAATGAATCACGAATAGTAGTGGTGGAAAAAGGAGAAGTACCAGAACATTGAGAGTATTTTTTTATTTAGAAGTTACTATAAGAGGCAAGTTTGAAACAGCTGTTCAAGGATGTGGAGACAAATTTATATTTGATAAAATGGAAAAATCTTCTAAAACAGCAGGTTCTGGGCCTTGGAGTTACTTCAGAGATTCTTGTTGTGTCAGAGCTCATGACGAAGGAGGTAGTGGTGGCTTGGCTTTAGGTCAACTTCTACCGGATAGTGGTCACTGACTTCCAAAGCCTAGACAAACAAAAGATCTATATTCAGTTTGATGCGCAATAATAAAATACTTGTTTTGATTTTGTGGATAAGCCATCCGGTACCTCCTGCTCAGTTAAACGGAACTCATTTTTGAAGTTGAATGGTTGAGCAGACTCCGGCACAATCCCAGAAATCAGTTCTTTGCCATGTACAATTATCCTGGATTGAGACAAGGGGGACATTAAAACATTAAAACAGCCTCAAATCACTCCTAGTAATATAACTGAAAATTGATTGAAAGCTACTATAAAAGGTTTTATGACTTCAGCTTGTAAATATGTCTCTATTAAGGTTTATGTGCATCTTCCTAGTAAATAAAAGTGAAAGAAAAAACACATGACTTAATAAATGCTCAAAAAACTCATAACAGTTGAATGTGAGCTTGTGGTATACGATATTGACCTGTCATAAGCGCAGTGAGTTTTGTCACGGACTGTTGTGTCCTGTTCATCCGTAATCAGCCAGCGGAACCTTGGGTCGTTTCTCAGTCTGAGGCTCTTTAAGCCTTTAATGGTCACATAGCCACAGTCAGCATTCAGATCTCCCAGGAGCATCACATTCTAGACAGAACATACACAAAAAACTTTCTAAACAAATCTGAAAATAAAAATAAAAGGGAAAAGCATTTTTGAATGAAGAAATAATGTCTGACCTCTGTTTTCCATTTCTTTTTGATCGCTTGGAAAACTCCAAAAAGTTCTTCCATCTCTTTCATGGCTTTTGTAGGACAGGTATGATGACCAATGATGACAAAGTTTTTCACAACTGTTAAAGGAGGTTACCAGTAATATTAAATAATGTGGTAATAGTGGATTTTCACAGACATTCATGTTAGAGCTAAGTATGCAATCAATCACACCTTTTTACACCCCGAAAGGACCTATATCACACAAAACCTAATTTTCCTCATTTCTTTTCATAAAAAAGACATGGTATATATACATCATTAAAATGTCAAACTCTAACAGTCTGTATACAGAAACTAAGCTGTTTTGAATTCGCTGCTTTTGTAATGTCATGAAACCCAACGCTTTTACATATATCTGCCTATTCAGCCTACAGCAGTTTAGTCCCACCCATTCATGTTGAAGTTGTGTTTCAGCCTGGACTGCTTTTTAAACGAGGCACCATACAGAGGCAGCCAGTCAGAACAGAGGTCATTTACATACAACAGTCTTTAAGGCACAGTCATATTAAAATGAGTCACGACTGACTTTGCTATATAAACCCACACAAATGTCACAATTACTGAGATGTAAGCAAAGTCATTCAGAGTGGTTTGATCTGAAATGGTAAATGGTTAGAGAAGCCTTGATTGGACTGACTTGGATTTCATTATCATGGTGCCTACAGGACTGAGGAGTGTGCAGTGCAATTATAGTCACTTCAATTATTATCCAACACCACAGTGTATAATCCTCCTTGGCATTTGGGGGCTCCCATGTTGGCTGGCAACTCCAGCATTGGCTGTCAGCTTACTTGCCTTAATGGTATTGGTGCTAGCTTTAGTGGCACCAAAGTGTTTGGTTCAACAGTTCTTTTGGAAATGCTTTTTTTCTGGTTTGGTAATGCAGCCTTCCACACATTAATTGAGTTTTTACACATCTCCTTTAGCATCTTTGAGAAATTAGTAAAAATTCACTCTTTCCTCCAAACTCTTTAAAGTTGGGCAAGTTTTCAGATTTACAAATATGTTATGCCATATTGTAAGTTTTTCAGAAGTATCGTGGGTATAGGCCGTAAAGGACCAACAGGGTAAACTAATTTGCTACAGTGCCACCCTGAGGCAGACCAGTGCTGCATAGGTAATTAAGAATATTAAAGACCGAAGCTCTCCAGTTATGAAGTAGTACAAACAGTGACATTTCCCTAAATTTGTATTCGAGTGTCTATTCCCTAACAAACAGTTTAACGTCAGAATAAGTTTATTTTGGGGACACCCCAGAATTTTGATTTTGAGACATTTAGAGGGTCCAAGATATTAATTAGGAAGCCTCGGACCCCCCAGGACTCCCTGTATTTTGCACCTTGTCCAACACCCACAGTGAATGTATATGTGTCCTCTGAGATTTTATATTTAATGTTGATAATAGTAAAATAGAGGTGACAAAAATCTTTGTGCACAATTTCATGTAATAACTTCCTGTGATGCAGCTTATTGAAGCATTAAACTCTTCAGAGGTCTGGTTCCTATAACCACCACTGTGAACAATTCTGAGTCAGCAAGTTTCTCTAGAACCGAGATTTTCACATGAAATCATTCTGAATTACTTTGTTTACATCTTAACAATTAATAATACAGAAATATATATATATATATATATATATATATATATATATATATATGTGTGTGTGTGTGTGTGTGTGTGTGTGTGTGTGTGTGTGTGTGTGTGTGTGTGTATAATCCGACCGCCTCCCTCTGCATTAAAAGCCAGGTCAGGTCAGGAGTCACAACCCAAATGTTAAGTAGAGCCATTTTGTCCTTTCAACAAAAATCAAACCACCTTGGGAGCCACAACAATATAATGTCTCAGTATGTGTTAATGTCCTAGTATAGGTTAAAAATATAAACGAGAGCGCAGATTTACTTCGCTCTGCTTTAAGCTTATCTTTAGCCGCTTTCCTCCCATCTCCGCCAGAAAACTTTTCCTCAAAAGTAGATCAGTTTATTGTAAAATGTTTCTCAGCGTTTGACTGTTTTACGAGGCTGAAGTTGCTTCTTATTCTCCAGCTTCTTGTTCGAATTTTCCCGTTCCACCTTAAATTCTGCCTGAGGCGCCGAATGAAGGTGGAACGGGAAAATTTGAAAGAAAAGCGACTTCATCTTCGCAACTGTTTAGTGTTTGACAGTCTTTCATTGCAGATTGAACGTACCAGGAAATCAACTGCGCTGCTTATAAATGCGAATAACGCATCGTTTCAAAGTGACCTGCAGTCTGCACGCCAATTCTCAGTCGTTGCGAAACAGGGCTTTCGCGCTATGCTGCACGCGTCCCGTCTCAAAGATATTTTACTGACACAGTGACCCCCCCACCCCAAAACCGAAGTTATAAAATCACTGAAGAAAACGGGTAGGACGGCTATAATGTGCTGCGTGGACATTTATTGCCACTGGATCTTATTTCACCGCATTTTACCACAGATGAGTGGCAGCAGCGTCTCATGTGCTCCAAACCAGAGCAGTGAATGAGAGCCTTCCAGTTCACTTGCCACATCACTTCCATTTGATTTATTAATTAAAGATATTGGAATTGGAGATATTGGCCTAACAAACAACATGATTGGCTGTTTGGAGTCATTGTCAACTAGTAGTTTTAGAGACAGCACAAATAAGCTAAACCAGGCCTAAACTTGTTACTCACTAACTAAGACACAGCAGAAAGAGGCAACTTCTTTTTTCTTGTGTACAAGCAATGCAGTTTGTCCTTTGAAGGCAAATATGATTTTGGTGTTTTAAGTTATTAAAAGAAAAAAAAATGTGCCAGATAACAAAACCCACTCTGTTTCCTTCCTATGGTTTTGCTTCACTGCAGTCATCAGCTGTTTGTTCACATTTACAGTGCTGTAGTCTACTAGTGACCAGGCGCATAAGTGAATGTGTGACTACATCCTTTCTGTACAAAAAGATTTCTTGCTCTCTCCATGTACAGAATAGATGTAATATGTACAATTATATAACATTTGGAAGAAGGCACTTTGTTGAAAGGGCTGCGATAAAATCTCTTGCACTTACGGGTGGTGGGTGAATGGATGCGTATTATGAAAGGCTCCCTGGAGAAAACGCCTGTGTCATTAGACATTTGCTGGTTCAGTTCAGGATAATGGAACTGCTCTTGCACCTGGAGCATATCTTTCCTGAGACCACATTACAACAGTTTAACAAGACTTTCACATTAAGTCTAGGGATTCGCAAAACCTGAAACAACGTTATATCAGCAACACTTTACTTGAAGCTTGCTACATTACATTGACATAATCATGCCATAATTGCAGATGTCATATGCTGTCATGATTTGTCTCTTAACAGTGTCATGTTACCATTACTGGTATTTGTTCAGAAATATGTCATCATAATCAGTTTCACTGATTCGTTGATACTACTTAACAAATGCATATAATTCAGTGATCTAACCTAAACCTAATTAGTAAAGCATGACCATATTAAGTTGAATTTTGGGGTAATACATAAAACAGGCCAGTCCAGTTAATTAGAACTCTCTAAGTACATAATATTCAGTTGAGCATCTTGAAAGCTACTTAACACAGTTGCGTGAACCCATTTGACAGAACATTTTTAAGTGAATCCAGCATTTCATTTTCGGGTTATACATAAAAATAAACCATAATTTTAATTAGAATTGCTCAAATCGCTCTATTGTGATTTACTTCAATTCAATAAATGCGTTTTTCTCAACCAAATCTTAGAAGCTACTTGAGACAGTTGCATGGAGCCACTTGACATAACATTTTTAGGTAAATCCAACATTTCAACATTTTTAAACGGGCGTAGCAGGGTTCAAGTAAACTGTTACTGTCATCTCTTCTTAGATAATCATTGTGTTGACATGAGCTTTGGACACTTTTTATGGTACCTGTAAATATACACATACTGCTCTTTGTATGTCGTCCTTCCCAGTCGTTTGCTCTCTAGATGATTGTACACATGAGATTTGTCAAACCTGGGTGGAATGATGAAAACATTGTGAAAAAGATACATACGTATGGAATGATCAGTGGGATAGCATTATAGTATCTGTAAACCTGCCTGTTCAAGGCCTTCAGCAGTGCAGGGATGGCTTCACCTTTGGAGTCTCGCACCTCCTGAATCAAACTCAAGTCACAGCGGGAAATGATCTGAAAATAATTAACGTATTATCATATAAACAAATATGCGCTAGGAGTAACATCCTTAGGGGCGCATATGCTGACCGACCACTGACATGGTGGTGGCATGTTAGTGTGTTGTGCTGGTATGAGTGGATCAGACAAAGCAGTGCTACTGTCCACTCAATGTCCACTCTATTAGACACCTTGTCGGTCCACCTTGTAGATGTAATGTCAGACACGATAGCTCATCTACACAGTTTGTGTTACTCATTCTCTAGTCCTTCATCTGTGGTCACAGGACGCTGCCCACAGGACGCTTTTGGCTGGATAGTTTTGCTTGGTGGACTATTCTCAGTTCAGTAGTGACACTAAAGTGTTTAAAAACTCCAATAGCACTGCTGTGTCTGATCCACTCGTACCAGCGTAACACACACTAACAGACCACCACCACGACAGTAGTGAGAATGATTCACCACCCAAATAATACCTGCTCTGTGGGGGTCCTGACTTTTAAAGAACAGGGTAAAAGGGGGCTAACAAAATATGCAGAGAAACAAGTGGACTACAGTCTGTAATTGTAGAACTACAAAGTGCTCCTTTATGGTAAGTGGAGCTGATAAAATGGACAATGAGTGTAGAAACAAGGAAGTCTACTTGATGAAGTGGCTGGTCAGTGCAGAAAGAGATACTTCTTGCAGATGGTGTTAGGGCCTTTCAGAAGTATTACAGGCTACTCTGTTAATCACTACTATGGTCCACAGTGACGTCTTTGTTTACCTTGATCAAAATCCCCATAACTTTTTTGTTGTGGGCTTTTGCTTCCCCAAAGCTCTGGACATTAAAGGCACAAATTTTCAGAGAAAGTGTTGTTGAGAACAAGCACATTCCCACAAAACACATCAGCAAAACGGCTGGCCTCATTTTCACAGCACCTAGAGGTAAACAGAAAAAATCCTAAACACACTGACCATTAATTTATTGAGTAGGATACTCACTGTAGTTAGAGTAGAGCAATGTCATTAGGCTTGGTCTCTGGCTTTGCTGTTGCTTACATAATAGCAAATAAGTGCTTCGTAACCACTTTATTACAGCACTGTGTTGTCATAGTGTTGCAGTTTCAGCTCTACATCATGCTGTTATTACATGGTAAAGCAATTGCCGTAAACACTAAACTGTGGTTATGGGTTATGATTCTAAGTTCTATTACAGGAATGAAGCACTTACCATAAGTCACAGGTCTCCAGATACTGTAATGGTTGTCCAGTGGAGTCCATGTCTTTAATGGGCTCTGGTAGTCTTTAGATCACACAGGAAATATTGTGAAAGGCAGAAAGGCTAGTGGGAGGGGCAATGTGTATGTGTATATGTGTGTGTATGGGTGCCTTTTAAAATGAGCTGTGTCAGTGGTCCACCACAGTGCAGGTCAATCTGGAAAGCTGAAGAGAGTGACCTGCGGTCACACAATGGCCATTCAGCACCATCAGGTGCATATTGTCTCTTTTACTAAACAACATATTTCAGTTAAACTCACACCTTTGATATCACATGTAGAATAAATGAAAAAAACAACAAATGTAGATGACATTTTGGCACATTCATTTGTAGAAAACAACCAATCATTTATTTAACAAATTATTCTAATCAAAAAAGCAAAAAAAATATTTTTTTTTTTCATTTTTTGGTGTTGCAAAAAAAAGTATTACACATAACTAAATATAATATCAAATTGTTCAGCATTGTTTTGGACTTTCAGAAGACTTGCTTTTTACTCCAAAGTTCAGTCTTATACGGAGCACCGCTGGTGACATCCCATATAAGTAAAAATAATGCATGGCCACACCTTATTAACACCTTAAAATAACGCATTATTTTTATTTATACAGGATGTCACCAGTGGGGCTCCATAGTCTTAGAAGTTGGTGGCATTTTTTGACCTTCTCCTTCCTCATTAAATCTTATATCTAATCACTTTATCTCCTAAAAAATGTATAACTTACTGATTGTCACTTTCAGAACAAAACTTAACATCTCCAAAAAAGCAACTTAACAGTAGAAAGAAAAAACATTCTTAACTTTCAGTGGAAGTTAATGTAACAAGATGTTAGTCTACATCACTCTGGACATTTTCCATTTGTCATGAAATTTTGGCCCAGCATTTAAAAAATATAAAAATAATTAATAAATAAATAAATGAATACCAAAATAGAGATACAAGGTTTTGTTCCAACTGCAACGTTATACTTAATGGCAATTAAATAAATGGCAATTAAATATATGAAGGGTGGTCTCTGACTTTTGCACAGTACTGTGTTTTATGGCACATATAGACAACATATAAGAACATATTTTCTTTGGAGTTCAGGTCTCTAGTGAGTGATCAACCTCAGACTGAAGACAATATCATGTTGAAAATGGGTTTATTTTCATGTCGAAAACCTTGTTGTATAGATAAAGAAAAACCTTGATGTATAGATAAAGAAAAACAAGTAAGCAAAAGTAAACCTTATTATGTATGAGGATAACTACAGAAACTCACTGTAAACCATAGAAAGATAAAACATTTGATGTTTTGGTGCTTTTTAAACAGACTGAACTGATTTCAGCTGATAGTACTGTAGAATGGATTGTGAAAGACTTGCTAATCTATTGTACATACACGGACCTATATCATGATAAATAAATGACATAGTATTCATGACAATAAATATAAACCAAAACAACTATAAAGACACTTGTGGATGTAATAATGTCTCTCTCTTGTTCGAGGTGACTGTCAGATAGGTCTAAGGCAGACTGCATGTTGTGCAGAGGCTGCTTGCATTAGGTAGTCCTCCACTTTCTCCTCTACGACAGAGTAAAAGTCCCACAGCTGATCTCTGATTGGGGGATGGTAGATCCAGACAGCAGCCATTACCGCGACCAGCATCAGCAAGAAGAACATAGTCAGGCAGATAAAGGAACCACAGCAGCGTCTCTGCAAGAGGAGACAGAAATGCATTATCATTGATTGAGCAGCGTTCACACATACGGAGTTAGCGAGGTAACTTAATATATTACTATTAATATATGTTAATATATGCATTTTCCAACCTCTCTTTATCCTTTAGAATTAGATAGGCTGTTTTTGTTACTGTGTCTTTAAAACCGTCATATGTAAATGGCTAATGTTCTGATTGGCTGTCCTGAATTGTGCTGTGTTCAAAAATGCAGTCCAGTATGAAGCACTCCTTATAACTTCAGTGTGAATGAGCAGAGCTAAACTGCTCTAGGCTGAAAGGGTGGATATACAAAATGGGGTGTTTTTGTGTGACATCATGAAAAAATTCATTCAATATTGTTTTTGAAGTCTAGTTTTTACCTATGGATCCTATGGACGATGACACGAATGGTCTGTTTTGAAACTTTAACAATGTTTACATACTACATTAAAGTCTTTTATTTTAAAAAGTTTATTTTACGTAGGCTCTTGAAGAACTAGACATTTTCTTGAAATAAACTCAACCAAATTTACAAATGAACATGTTGTGTTAATTCATGTGGAAATTATGTACTCATTACAAACAAGAATTTAATGCATTACTTTTTCAGAACATGTCATATGACATACTGAGCAAAAGTCTTAGGCACCTAAGCACATTATTTAAAACCATTTTGCTTAGCAATAGGTATGTTTGTGCTTGTAAAATGACCATATATTTTAGTATAAATGTAAGTAAAATAAATAAATAAATAAATACTGTAAAAAGCAACAAGAGTTTCTTGTTTTCTTGTGAGCTGATTAGAAGAACACAGGTTTGGTTCTCAACTTCTCCTTGATGTCTCCAGACATCACACAGATTTGTTAAACCAGCACTCCTGATTTGATTTACTGAAGTACTGAAGAGATAAACCAGGTATTGTATAATAACTGGGCTGCCACAAGGAGAAGTTTGGAAATGGATAAGTGAACACACTGACAGACATAAAATCACTGCTTATTATACTAATTTTATTTGCATTTATTCTAATATTGGTGTTTTTGTCTAATTAAATAAACTCTTGCTGCTCAGATAAACTACTTCATCTCAGGTTTCTAAAACTTTTGCACTGTATATCTTTGGTCCAGTTTGAAGATTCCTACCTTGGTTCTGCTACTGCTCTTGCGAGCGCTTAGTGTGTTCAGCTCTTCTCGACACTGGGTCAGACGACTCTGGTAACTATAGCACTCCTGCTCCAGCGCCTCCAGCTCGGCCTTCAGCTCCATGCACTGCCATGACAACCAGGTTACCAAGACAACAGGCCTGTCACTGAGTGTCATTTAAGGTGGTAAACTGAAAGCTCTGTTGACCCACAGCACCATAATGAGCACCAGAATAGGTGCCTGCACAATTTCTCAAGTATAGGAGGCCACAGCACCAGTCAAAAACTTGGAATAATGCAGAGAAGAAAAAAAATCTAGCCAAGCTTCATAAAAAGCCACCTGAGCTGCTTTTCCAACAGGACTGATAAAGTTGCACATTTGCTGAGGAATTTCATTTCGAAAAGTTGAATATTGATGTGTAACAATTTTGGAGATATTTTTGGATAGTTTTTGAAAAGAAAAACTGATATCTTAAAAATAAAGAAAATTCATTAAAATAGGTAGTTGTCTGCTAAAAAGAACTTGTTAAGGAACTTTAAAAGAAATAAATTAATCCACAAGTATCGACTTCGACACATGTACTGGAACATGCAGCATACTATGTCTGTCAAAAACCTTTACGATGATGCTTAAGCAGGCTTTTCATACCTCTTTCTCCTTCAAGCTGAGTCTCATTTCAGCCTGACGAAGCTGCTCAGCTAAGCTGTTATCTGTCCCAAGAAGCTGGTCCAACACTTGTCCCTGCTTGTGCACATCTGTGATATTATTCCATGATCCATGACTGTGCTCTGTGAGGATTAACCACAGCCAGCATATTTCATATTTCACTATGTTGTAGCATTTCAGTTGAACTAAGTAAGAAAAGGATACTGGCAAATATTTCTTTGTTGCACTTTGAATGTGTATCAGAATTGAAAAGATTTGAGTTCAGTGAGACAGAACAAATCCACTCGAAGTCAGTGTGTCCTGCAAATATTGGTGTAAGCAGGTGTGAAGTGTACCTGCAAAGTTCTTCAATCTGTTCTCTCAGGCTGTGGTTGTCCTGCTCTAGAAGAGAAATATTGGAGCGTAACTCTGCTCCATCCTGATGCAGGATCTCACACTGCTCCCTCAGTGACTCCTCCTGCTCTCTGGAACGCTGCACAACACACAATACATTTATAAATGTAGGTAAATAGAGTAACAGGGAACACTTTATTTGAAGGCTCCCTACACAGGCACTTCATAACACATGTATACGCATTTGTAAAGCATTAGTTGAATATATATAAACAGCTTATGTCAGTAATTACAAGATGACATGAAGACATGACAAAATGAAGTAAATTGCATTGTATTGACATAAGGGACCTTAAACCAAAGTGTTGGATATTTGTTCCACTTACAAAACTGTCATGAAGCATCATTTCAAAGTAATAGAACATATAAGGAGGAGGCCTAGTTAAGAGCACCACATCTGTTCTTCGGAAGATTTTGATGCCCTTGAGCTTAAGTGATCACTTTCCCTTATATATTTTCCCAAAAGTATTAATATACATATCCCAAAAAACTGTTCTTGAGTACAAAAGCACAAAAATTACTTGCCTTTAAATGTACGCAAGGGGTGGACGATATGGCAAAAATATTATGTCATGATACTTCAAGACATTTTCATGATGGACGACATGCATCATTATATTTAGGTTTTCTGAGATTTAAGTTGGAACAGACAAAATAGAACCTGTAGTGCCACATAAAAATACTATAATAATAACAATAAACTTATAAACTACATTTGTTTTATTCAGTGTTTTACAAACTGTGCTGCAGTAAATCCAACTGAACAGGCCTAATTATGGTCACGTTTTAATGAAACATAGTTAATCAGCTTCCTTTAGGAAACCTCAGGGTTTACCTTTTAATGCAGAACTTCAGGGTTTTACTCCCATTGTAAGAGGCAAAAAGTTAGACATTTTTAATGTATAAATGGACTGTGCACTCAGTGAAAATTCTGCTTTAGTGGAGTATTATGTCCTTAATATTCTTAAATATTTGTAGGTTAACCACCACTTACATATGAATCCTCTTGGAAAGGCATGCTGAATTATTGTCTAGGTACTAAACATTTGGCACGGTATAATCTTTTGTTAATATGTCTTAAGCAAAACTAGATGTAAGTAATGTAACCATCAAAATCCACAATTAGTGTTGTCAAAATTGCTGGTGCTTGGCCCCCTGAAATTGCTTAGTGTAATTCCTCCTGACTCTGCCTGCTCACCTCCAAGTGGTTCTGTAGCTGAAGGAGCTGGTCAGTACACTGGTCCTGACTCTTCCTCAGCAGGCTGGAGCTTTGCCTCAGCTCCTCACACAGCTTCTGCCACCGTGCTGACTCAGCTTGGGCTGCCTGGAGTGCCTCCTGGTGGTAAGGAGAGGTTGCCAGTTGACAGAACTGTCTGCAGATTATCACTTCCTTCTCTCAAACTCCTTCTGTCAAATGGACTGATAGACCTTTTAATGGCATTTATTTGGAACCCTGTCCAGTGGTAAGTCTGGCACAGTGCTGATATGCATTCAACTCATTAAAAAATGCATCCTGAGATGAATGGTATGGTTTGATAGGTGTTTATCTATTTTTCTATCAACCTGCATGGTTCCAGGATTGCCTTTCAGTCAATGTGTTTGTTGTCAGCGTGGGACTTACTTGCATGTTCTGCATCTTGCTCTGGGCCTCTGCACTCTCCTCTGTAGCTCTGTGAATGGCCTCCAAGGCCTTCTGCTCATACTCCTCCTTCTCCTTCTCCATCTGCAGTACCACCTTCTTCACTTCATCCTGGGGAAGCCTCTAAAGGAAATCACCATAAGCATTAACAACACTAAGCCATCAGATGAATACTTCACTGTTTTATACACAAATCTACTATATCCTATATTCTTAATGGAAATAGTTGATTTTTTATACACTTTTCTGTAATTGACCAGCAAGTTTTGAGTTTCTGATCATCCAAAATGTTGAGCTGAGATCTTCCAAATACTCTAAGGATGTTAGATTATTAAAAGTCTCCTGTAGGCCTTACCTTCATGCAGAGCTGCAGCTGAGCCTCCAGTGCCTTGATCTTGCTCTTCAGCACATCTTCATCACAGCGAGTCTGTGGGAGGAAAAGGAAATGTGGTGTGATACAGGCACGGCTAGAACGGAAACAGCTTCCTCTGAAAGTCAGCGTAAATGCAGTCGAGCATACTTGTTTAGCTTTATCACACTTCAGTGGCACAATCCTTCTCTAGCTGAATGAATGAACCAAATGATGGAACCCTGTATATAAACATCATCAGCTTCTAGGAACTATTCAACACAATATTTGTGGAAGGACCATGAGACCACAAAGGCTGTGACTCATTTTCTTTTGTTCATATTTGGCTTTCAGAACCAAGTATCCCATATTGCAGTGATTACTGACTAATTGCTCCAGCACCTCAAACGCTGCAGTCTATTAAGGAAAACTTATCTCCAGAGGACGTTACAAAGAAGGCAAAACACAAAATGTGTCATGTCTTTGGCGCCTAACCCTCACACTCTTTCCGGTGTGAGCGAGTGTCTTTCTCTTTTTTTCTGCCCGAAAGGCAAACAGCAGCCGGATACTGGCAACCACAGAACCGCCCCCCTAAGCCTTTTATATTTATTACACAAACCAGGCAAGATGGTAAAATGATGTAACTTTCACATCAGTTCTAGACTTCAAATAAATAAAAAAATCCCCTCAAACTAACTGTCCCCAAAATACTTTCCACAGAAGTCAGTCACTGAAATATTAAGTTTGCTTAATTTGAGTTTGTTAACATTGGTTGGTATTTTAGGTTCTTCCTTACAATTTTAGCCAGACATTTGACTGGAAGGTCTAGTTTTGGGACTCACACTTTCAGACAGTACTATATTTTGAATTTGCAGTCTTTCTCAATTTTCCTCAATTTAGCACTAGAGATAGCACAAATCTAATACCAGGGGCAGCTGGAATCGGGCTGTTATCAGTATAAAATGCTGGGTCAGATATCAACTTGAAAAAAACAGAATGACTTAATCCAGTCCTGTAACACATAGCTCACTTTCACACTGTATGACGTGATTTTGTTAGCTGTGTATTTTTTCCTGTGGGTTGGTAGAGTAGTTTGAGCATGATAGTCTACTTATAGATGCTCATCTTAAGTGAAGTGCTTCAATTAAACACAGCTCATTTTAAAGCATAGTCAATTTTAAAGAAAGCTTTCTGTATCGGGATCAGTATCGCATGTCAGTGTCAGTTCCCAAGGTTTCAATATTGGTATTGTAAAGGAAAATGTGGTATCATGTCATTTCTGTTTAGCACAGTGATCAGCTCAGAAAGCAGGTCTAAAGATTGCTATAATGCTTATTCACCAGCACATTATTATTTATAAAAAAGACATATGCAAACATTTCATTTTTCATTATTTTCAAAACTGGCATAAAATTAGATGTTGTAGTAATATCATCACAAACATTAGTGCTAGATACACAAGATATTGCAAGTTAATCATTATTGTCATATTGACCTTTGCCATTAGAGGCCATCACTAATGTGTTTAATACATTGCAAAGCATATCTCAATATGCACCAGTACAATCACAATATGGTATTTTATGTGTATTATGCAGTACTAGAAAGGAATAAAATTTCAATATTAAACAGAATATAAAAGATATATATAGAATGCTGAACTACAACCTTCTCGAAACACACCCTTTCTAGTGCTAGAGTGATGATTAGCTCCACTTGAGAATAGTTTATCTGGCTAAATCTTTAAATATTGCAATATTTATGGCAAAAATCTAAAATATCGCAATGTGACTTTTTTCTCCAGTATTCAGCCCTAATCCACATACATATAATATTCACTGAAGTGGACTTTTGAACATTGTGATATGCTTGTTTTGCTGCATCACTAGCATTACAGATAAATACAGTATATTATCTCTGCAAGGTCATGTGATGTTTGTGTGGGGTTGTGTATCTGAAAATGTTACGTGTATGTGCAAAAAAAATAAACTACAATAAAGATAGTTTCAATAGAAGCTTTTGGCCTAAAACATATATTTTAAAGCCACTCATAGCAGGGAGGTACATGTGTTGGGGGTGAGGCAAAATAATCCCCCAAAAAAACATTTTTTTTGGATATTTACCACTTTACTGTCATCAGTATTACATATAAAAACTCATAAGACAGTGTAGGTTCACAGGTCATTTTGGACAGTAAATAGAATGGCTATATTTGCATTGTAGACACTGTGACCCCTGGTTCCTATCACAACCTCTGTAAAGAAATCTGAGTTGGTAAGTTTCTCTAGAATGAACCCCCTTTATCAAACCACTCTGTATGCATTTGTTTACAGTTGAATTATGCAAAAATGTTGAATGATCAGTAACATTCCTCCTCAAAGTTGTAGTATGGGGACTATAGGCACTTCTTAAGTGATTTTCTTTTTTTAAAAAATGTAAATTCAGGATGAATGGGTCAGTAAAATGTTTTAAAAGTGATTAATTTTTTGCAAAAATGTGACAAATTCTTTGCGAAAAACAGTAAAAATGAGCAGCTTGCTTTAACAACATATATGTGATCAGTGTGAGAAACATCAGCTGAACACACCTTCCACAGTAGTTCGGTGGAGCGCAGTAACGTTGAGGCGCTCCTCTGAAGGGTGGCTAGCTTCTTTTTCAGAGCCTCCTCTCTGTACAAAGCCTCCTACACAGCGAGAGAGAGAGAGAGAACAGTTCATTATCTTTAACTCAGCATTCACTATTCAACAAGCAAAACCATAAATGTTCCACAAAGAGTGAAGAGTAGAATAAACATATATCATATTAAAACCTTATAACTTGAAACATTTTTTGTGGGTTTAAATTTTTTAATTTAACCACTGCTTGAAAACATCAGGTGCCCTTCACACTGTGTGAACACCTCATAATAAGATGACCAATAGAAATGCTCTAAAAATGAGTAAAATCTGGTTAAATTCATGGACATTAAAGTTAAGAACGTTTTTCATTCTTCAAGTTTCCATTTCAGAGATACGAGGCTTTTTTATGACAGCAACATAAAGCTACAATGCTAAAATGATCAAATACAAAACAACAACAACAATAATCATTTGGAAACACTAATTTAAGGATCACATATTGGAGGTTTATTAGTGTCTTGTTATTTTTTCAGTAAAACCCAAATTGAACACTTCTTTGCTCACTATGCATTAAGCTTGAGTCATCATGCTCTGTATTAGTACATAATTAAATTAATAAAAATCAGTAATAATTGCATCATTAGTTGTAACAATAAACAATCTTGTTACTCAAAATATTGAGAATAAATTAATCACCTAAATTCACATCTTATTAGTATATAAATGGTAATATTGCTATAGGTTCTAGGTGGTGGGAAGTGATTTCTTGAGTTTATTACTTTAGAGCTAATAAGAGTTCAATAAGTTAATAATACTTCAACATGTTTTCAGTATTCCGTAGAGAGTTTTAGTCATAATTAATCAGAGGCTAAAAAGTGCTAAATACGTTTGTGTCCCATTTTTTTTAAAGTAAAGATTACTTCATGGCTTTTCTGTACCCAAAAACGTGCAAGCTGGGAATATTTAGAGTTTTAACCCATTTTAACAATCAAATACAGTCTAATTGAAGTCTTAATTGAAGTATAGAGTTTTTAGTGCTATTTTACAATCAAAATATGACAAATAAGTATTGAATATGTAGTGCAAACTCATTGTAGAAAACTTGTTTAGTGCTTTTTAGCCTCTAATTTGTGATGATTAAAACTCTGCTTTAGAATATGGAACGAATCTTGAAGTATTAATGACTTACTAATCTCTTATTATCTTTAAAGTACGAAACTCTGCAAGTCATTAACACATTCCTCGAAACTACAGGAATGAAACGCTGTCAGTTGAACACTAATAAGACATAAATGTAGTTGATTCTAATAACAAGAAAATCTAATAACAAGACTTTAATAAATACCCAATATGTGTTCCTTGAAATAAAGTGGTATCAATAATTTTACCAAAACATGCCATAAATATACAAACCTCCAAATAGTCTGCCAACTGATGAACATCCTGCAAGTGAGAACAACAGAAACAGAGCAGAAAGAAAATGTATGTGTGCATTTGTTACTGATTAAGGTAACAGCCGGATTAGCTAGTAACTAGTTGCATTCAATCATTCATTCATTCATTCATTCATCCTCAGCATGAACTGAGGGCACCGACAAGATCATGGCTGAGCCTTACCGCTTCTTTGACAGTGGCAATGCCCGACCTGCGAGAAAAGAACGAGCAAAGTCAGAAAGCTGGGACTGAATGTACAGACACATAGTACCTTGTGTACCGAAGCTAAATTCATTCATAGCACTGAGGGAGCCCACTCACTCTGTCTGAGCACTCGCAGTGTATAGTGTCCTCTGGGTGTTGGTGAGTTGAGTAATGTCTCTGAGAAGAGCTGCAAGATTAAAAAAACACTAATGTGAGCTATAATGTACAGCTTTGGGCTGATTCACTTACAGGCATTTTAGTCATGCAGCAATTCAATATGCACAGATGTGAAAGTCTTTAGTATGCTGTGCTTACATCGCTCTTTCTTTGCTTTCCCTTTCTGCCGGAGTGAATCGAGGACACCTGCAACACCCTCTTGTTTCCGTCCCAGTGCATTCTCATCATTCTCTGAAGCGGTCTGGACTGACTTTAGGGTGTAGAATTACAGTTATAGACACATATTACATACAATGCCATGTTATCAATATACAGTGCGTGAAAGTAGTCTTGAGACACTCTCTGAATGCAATTTGTGTCTTGTTTATTTTACTTTAGAGTCTGGAGTTATCATTTATTAAATTGTATGCATCATAAAAGATAAAACAAGCAGCAAAAGCGACCAGGTTTACTGACTGAAAGTCAAAACGTTTGTTTAAAAAAGCTTAAGTAAAGCAAGTAAAAGTACTTAAAATCAGTGAGACAAAAATTAGTGTCTTTTGACTTTATGTAGACCAGTATTTAGTATTTTATTTAGGTTAATATTTTGTTGCATGTGTATTTATTTGGATGACAGCTTGAAGTCTTGTAGGCATGGAGTGCAGAAGTTTGCACCAGTGATGCTCAGCCAGGTTTGTTGGATGTTGCATGGCCAGAGCACTTCCTGTCTCTTTTCATCACTATGAGGGGAATTCCATTGATTTCTGTATAAGATGTACATAATTGAGTCATTATGATGAGTGGTTTGAAGTGAAATGCTCCGTTCTAGAAAAGATTAACAAATCTAGTTCTCATCACAGTGGTGGTGATAGGAACCAGACATTCATTCCCCTAAAATCTACACCACAGAAAGTTATTACATGAAATCGTTATGAATATGCTGCTTGATGCCTGGGACACTGTTTTACGATAGATCTGAAATAAGCTTTTAGCCTAAAGCGTATTTTTTAAAACACCCTTATGGCGGAAAGGTAAATGAAGGGCATTGTGAGGCGAAATAGTCCTCCTAGTCTAGGTTTAACACTATTTTATCATTATCAGCTTTGCATATAAAACCCTGAGGACAGTGTAGGTCCACTGGTAGTTTTGGATAGTAAATAAAATGACTACATTTGTACTGTAGACATTGTTATCCCTGGTTCCCCATCACAAAGTTGATGGTGCACTATTTCACATCCAACTACTTTCAATGACTGTTTACAACTGAATCCTGCAGAAAACAGAGGTGGGTGATATAGCAAAAATATAACGTTGCCCTAAGAAATTTTTACAATTCACGATATATCATGATATTAATGAAAAACTATCACAAACTGAATATAATGATTTTTATTCAATATTTGGCATACTATGTTGCAGTAAATCCAGTTAAATGGGACTCATTTTGCTCTCTTTATAGTAAAACAGGCAGTTGGTCAGTGTTCTACATGTACTCAAGATAAACGAAACATTCAGAAAAACGTATTGTATTATATTGTGACATAATTTATCACAATACCGATATATATTGTCATATTGCCCAGCCCTAGCAGAAAATCATACATTAAAAAACATTTGTTTTGAAGGTTGGGTGAAAGTTTTCTAGTTTGCCGTTGTGCAGTTGGACCCAAAATACTGATTTATAGGTTATGATGCAGCTGAAATGATGCTGTTTTGAATGTGGTAAAACATAATGCCATACTTTAACAGATTAAATAATTCTAAAAAAACAAATGAAATCAGAGGTATCTCAAGACTGCTTTTGAGGCACTGTAAAAGATATTTAGCTAAACTTACGATATGGATATACTGTCATGAGTGGAAAATATTCACTGCTCAACGTTATAGTTAACAGATTCAGTCTCTCAGGATATGATATTTGTTTACTTTTGATCACCTGCTTAATTGAGCTGATCCTTTGACCTGCCATCAAATGCCGTCTGAATGACGTGGATGTCTGCGTCACGTACTCTTCCTCTCGTAAAAAATTACGCCTTGCCCTCGTAGATAACAGTGCACTAAAGCCACAGCCGGCAGGTCTCCTCTTACAAAACTCCTCCTGCCTTTTGCGGTGCAGTTCATTCTTAATCCATCTCGTATCCAGGTCTCTGGTTGGACTTCTGCAGGTTGTCACATTGTTTCGATCCCCAAGCTTCCTGTGCTTCACAGCACGCTGTTCTAGCTTTTGGTCGTAGTCAATAGGATGAAAGTGGTAGTCATCAAGAGTGGTCATTGTGCTCAGTCTGGTGGAGTCTGAAGCTTTTGTTTTATGCTTTATGGCAAATGCAGTCGAAAGTAATCCCAAACAAACTGATGGCTTTCTCAGCTTTAGAGGTGCATTTCTGTGATTTGAACAACACATAATCATCAGTGGGTGAAATGACCATGTAAGAAGGCTCAAATTTGCAAAACAATTGGCAGTGTTCTCTACATACATTAAATTAAAGTAGTGCTCAGTTTACCATTAGATTAGCAGAAGGTAGCGTACGTTTAATCATTCACCTCTGTGGTCATTCTGGTTGAAGAGCAGGCACTCGCTGATCCTCATAGAGCTGCAAACACAGAACAGAAACTTTCAAGCTTCATTGAATATGCATATCAAGTCAACTCAATTCAATGTGAAGAAAGTAATGATAACTAGTTCAGAGAAAAAGTGCTATTTAGAGTAACATTAATAAATAAAGGCTTTTTAATGGGTGTCCTCATCCACTCTTCTCCTCCATTCATTTTCAGCAGGCCTCACATTTTGGATATGCACTCCTTAAACATGCTGTTTGAATACAAATTGCCTAACTTCTCAGACTGCACCAACTGCATGGGCATATACAAAGTATGTAGGCTTCATCTGCCTAGACTCAACAGCCAACTTAGAACTACAAAGTTACACCAGGGACTGTCAGTTGGTAAGGATACGAGAACACAACAGACAGCAAACTGAAACTGTTCCTGCAAGAAACCCGTAACATTATAACCTTTAATCAAAAGTACCTGTTTCATGGGAGTCCTGGAAGACAAACTATTCTCGAAAGAAGAGTCTGTGAAAACATTGCAGCTAAGAAAGCAGGGATGAGAATGAGTTCAAACAACGCATAGCGGTCTACTTCTTCAGCCTTGCTAGTTTTACAGGAAGTAAGAGGAACCACACAGCTTGCACTAGCAGCTCTATCTCTGTAGCCACCCGTATTGAAACTTGCGCTGCACACGGATGGGCCCTTAGATTAGAAATAGCTGGTGCTTTTACATGGCGCTGGCTGTTCAACTGAACTGTGAGTGGTGGGGAGGGGTCACATGTCGTAATGTGTCCAGAGGTAATGAAATGTAAAAATCTTGGCTTTATTAGAAATCCAAGATGATAGGTTACCTTCAGGCCTTCACATAGTGCACAGCTCAAGTAAACTTTAAGTGGTGGGGAGGTTAGAACATAAATGTCTCATGGTAATAAAAGATAATAAATCCAAAATGACAAATTCAGTAGCTTTGTTCTTTTAAAAGGCCAATGCATACAGAAAATAAATATATGTAAAGTGTATTTATCTAATACATTTGAAAATATATGAAAATGGCCAAAAAATATTTTTGCTTAATGTACTTTGGTGTTTTAGATACATTTTGGAATGAAACAATATATTTGAAATGTATTACATATTATATAAAAAATTAATGTCCTGATATTTTCCACAGGGGACTATCTTACATTTTATTGTATTTTATAGTTTTCACTGATGTACATTTATAACGTGTAGGTCTATGTACCAAAACAATCATGATTCATTTTTATATGACCATTTTCCAACATTTTTTTATCCCTTAAACAGGTTATCTTTAATACTGATATTTATATAAATAGTGTCTGTTCTGATTGGCTGCTCTCATTCAAAATGCAGTTCAGGCTCAATCTCTCCTTATAACTTCAGTGTAAATGGGTGGGGCGAAACTGCTGTACGATAAATAGAAAGATATATAAACGTGTTGGTTATCATAACATCAGCTTTGCAGCTTAATTCTTTTTTCATATACAGACCGGAAGGGCAGTGAATACATGGAGATCTACTTCAAATTTTATTTATTTATTTATTTAGCTCAACGTATTTAGTGAAATGGATTTTGGAATATACAGAAAATATGTGCCTGTGTTTTGAAACTTTGTTACTTTTACATGCTACATCAAACTCTTTTATTCAAAAAAGTGAGCAGTTTTCCACTGTATGGCCCTTTAAGAACCCAAAATAGTTTTCTTTAAACAAACTCAAACTATGAAATTCAGTGCCCTTTAATCCTACCTTTTTCTTTGTTGTAAGGTAAAAGATGCACTTTTTCTCCAGGAATTCTGGTAACTTTTGCCATTTTGTGAATTTCGCAAAAAATCTGTATATTTCAACATCTGAGAGTTATGATGCGAAACGGTGCACTATAGACAAACTTACCAAATCAGATTTCTTTCCCAAAGTTGTGAGAGGAATCAGGGGTCGCAGTGTCTACAAGACAAATATAGCTGTGTTTTTACAACATCCAAAATGGCCAGTGAACACGTCTTCTGAGCTTTATATGTAATGTTTATAATGGTAAATTAGTGCTAAATCTGAAAAAACATACATTTTTATTTGGGGACTATTTTCCCTTACAATACCTTTCATGTACCTCTCTGCCGTCGATGTGTTTTGCAAAACGTTTTTAGGCCAAAATCTAATCCCGGGCATCAGGAAATGTACTCATAACCCTTTCATGTTTCAAGTTTCTGCAGACTCCTCCTTAATGTATTCTTTGGGGGGGCTTTTAGAGGAATTAAACATTTCAGATGTCTGTTCCTGCCACCACCACTGTGACCAATTCTGACCCTGATTCTGAATTTCTGTAGAACCATTTAATTACTCAGAAATTTCACCGGCGGAATTCCTCATTACTATCAAGGCCATCCTGCTACTAAACAATAACCAAATGCCAATGTTAATGTAGCTAACTTGAAAATGTAGCATAGCCGGTTTTGTCCTTGTACAGGATAAGGCTGAATCTCAAATGGCTCCCTCCTCCCTATGTAGCGCACTATGTGTCTCATGACGCCTTCTGCACCAAACTAATGCATGATAAGTCTAATAGAAAGACATTTATATTGTAGCCAAAACTGCAAAACTCCCTGTCGAACATTTTCTAAGTGTTTAGTGTGCAGAAGAGTGTAGAAGCCACAGTTTCGTGACCCATGCAGAGCTTTATGGGGAGCAGGGAGCCATTTGAGATTTAGCCTGAACTAACCCTTCTTGTAGACTTACGCCATCTTCTGGCTTGGACTGTGTTGAAATGACCCGGATGAGAAATCTCGCGATACGAGATGTGAGTTTTCCCCATCCTTGCTCCGTACAGAAGGGCACAGCGAGGCCGGGAGCGTCAGCGGTGTCCGCTCTAAAAACTGACATTTCGGCCTGCAGTTTCGCCCTTTCTTCCTTCAGCCATGCTGTCGAGACTTGTGCTAGTTTCAGGTTGGTGCATTTGAATCAAAAGTGTCACTGTTGTTGCTTTATGTCTGTTTTTGTGAGCGGGAGAGCAGAGTGAATGTGAAGTTGAAGGGTAAAAGCTCAGGCCTGACTGCTGCTTAGCGTTAGCTAACGTTAGCCGAATGAAACACACAGAGGGCTCTCATTAACTATACGCGACCTTCTCCCAGAAACTAACCTAAATAACGTTTTAGTTTTGTGCAGTTGGTGATGCTAATGTCTTGTTCTGTTGATGTTTTTTCTACTGAGCTAGTGCTAAAGTAGTTAAACTGTCCACACAACCAGTAAGCTAAAGCCTGTAAAGTTAGCTTGCGAGCTAAACGTCCTTCCAGGAGTCTTCATGGACATTTTATTTACGTTACTTTAGTGAACTTGCTGTATTGACAGGTAAATAAGCTGTCGTCTTGTGCATTCATCTAACAGAAGATGAAATAACGCCTGTTTTTCTTGAAAGTTGTTGCGTCAAATCACACTTGTCATTAGAGTCGTAATGCGAATGCTTTTGAATGAAAGGGTTTAGGTCAGCTTGCTGCAAACTCCCCATGTAAGTTAATTAGCTAGATAGTTTTAGCTATATTGAGTGGATTTTAAGTACATTACTTTGCACAGCGTGCAGTTTGGTTTGCCTAATAAGTAAAATTGTGAGGAGCTTTCAGTCCCAATGAGGATGACATTGTGTGTCTGACCCTAACCAGTGCTGTTCTGTTGTCTGTCTGCAGGTTCTGCCCTGAAGAACAGTGGCTCATTTGGAGCCTGGTATGTAACCGTTATGTTTGCTCAACATGAGATGCATTGTTCCTGTAGGATACATTGTTGAACTTTTCATGCAGATCTGGGCAATATGACAATATTTATCGTTTTTTTGTAACAGAGTGCATAATTAGTCCTGTTTAATTGCAATTAGTGCTGCACAGTGTGTTAAAATGTTGAATGCAAACCATTGTATTCATACTTTATTATGGTATTCTTAAATGTGGCACTACTTTTACTTTAATTTATCGGATGTCAAAAAAAAAACCAAACGAATAACGTGATACATCATGTATTGTAAAAACTACCTGAAGTATCTTCATATTACATTGTGCCATATTGCCCACCTCTATTTGCCTGTAACAGTTGGAATGTAATGTAACATAAATGTAAACTGTAGTTTGCTATTAAATGTTTTGTTAAAAGGCTGATACAAATGAAATGTTCCCTGCTTATGTCCTCATGTTCTCTTCTTTCCTCTTCTCTTCTTTTAGTGTGGTCCAAGCTTCTCGTTCTCTCCACTCATCCTCCCAGAACCTGGCACCTGTGCCCCCTCTGCCAGAGAAGGGGGGAAAAGTCCGCCATGGAATCTTCCCAGAGGAGCTCTTCACACTGCTGTACCCAAAGACTGGTGTCACAGGTAGGTTTGTCAGTACTGGACCTCTTAAGATTTACCTGTGTTCGGCTCAGTGGGACGCTTTTGTCATGTATTCCCAATGATATGCACACTGTTAATCAGTCGTGTGACGGCCCTGATTTTAGTGATCTGTTGCAGCTGAAAAGGACCAACCAACCAGTCTGCCTACTTACTTATACTTACTTAAATTCTTTCTTTCTCAGGACCTTACGTGCTGGGCACTGGTCTTCTGCTGTATATGCTCTCTAAGGAGATCTACGTCATTAACCATGAGACCTTCGCTGCTGCCTCCATTGGTGCAGTGATCATTTATGGTGTCAAGAAGTTTGGTCCCAAAGTGGCAGCTTTTGCTGACAAACTGAATGAGGTGGGTTTTGTCTTGATTACACAGATATTTAGCTGTGTTTTGTATATATTAAGAGAGTTTTAAGCCTTGGTTGTCACTGAAACAGCACAAGTGATAATTCTTACACTTTTCAGTGACTGTATATAAAGTGCTTACGTTTTCTTGAATAAAATATTTCTACTTTCTACTTTTTTACTCTCAACTTTTACATTTCTATTTCATATATTAACTGCATATCCTGAGTTTGTATTTTAAACTTTTAAACTATGAAAGTAACTGAAAGCAGTCTATTTGCCAAGCGAAACAAACTTGATAGCTATCAGCAGCTAATGTACCACAGAGAAGACGTATCACAGAGAAATTAAACATAATAGTTTAGCTTGTGTTATTTCCTCAAAGCCATATCCATGTGGGTAACGATTTATCAACTGTCTTTGACTTACTTTCCCTGCAGGAGAAAGTGGCAAAGGCCCAGGAAGTGAAAGAACTGGCTGTGACCAGCCTGGCTCAAGCCATCGAAGATGAGAAGAAGGAGCAGTGGAGAGCAGAGGGGAGACAGATGCTTTTTGATGCTAAGAGGGTGAGAAAATGTCATGCGATTTATTTTGACTTGCAATGAGTTACAGTTTACTTTTTATGTTTAGTGTTCTTTGTATTTGGTGGTAATCAAAAATTGTTATTTGCACTGTGTACATCTATTGTGTATGGATGAGTGTAGGCCTACTACATCAGGCATTCATAATTCTTAACAATATTTAAATTATAATAAAAATTTTGTGTGTCTGTTTCTGTAGCCTAACAGACAAACATAAATAAGAGAAACGTAATATATCCGATTCTGAAGTCCGATTCCTTCACAGCCAGATTGGCCAAATTTTTTTTTGGCTGATTTATAATAGCCTTTTTAAACCAGAATCTCACACTGTTTGCTAAATAAACACACAAAATGCCCTAACACTTTTTCAGTATTGCATTATTTATAACATTTTTTGCTTTGTTAGGTCAAACTGCTGAAACAAAAAAAATGTTTTCTTTTTAAATGACATGTAAACAAAGTGCTACATCAAAAGTAAACTGTCTATTTAACACAACACAACTGCAACACCGATGGAAATAATAAGTTGGCCAGTTGCATGTTTGAAACAGTTATGACCTGATCGTACAGCCCTACAAACTAGTGGCTTTTGTCTGAGAATTTCTCTCTTGTTTGTTGCAGTTTGAATCATGAATTTTACTGCATGTAATCCTTTCTCTTTCTACCCAACAGAACAATGTTGCCATGCTGCTGGAGATCAACTACAGGGAACGGCTGCACATGGTCACCAACGAGGTGAAGAAGAGGCTGAACTACCAGGTGGAGCTCCAGAACCTGCAGCGCCGTATGGAGCAGGAACACATGGTCAGCTGGGTCGAGCAGAATGTCATCAAGAGCATCACGCCACAGCAGGTATGTCAGATACAATCTCTCTCTCTCTCTCTCTCTCTCTCTCTCTCTCTCTCTCTCTCTCTCTCTCTCTCTCTCTCTCTCTCTCTCTCTCATCCATGTAGTTTTATCATGCACTGAAACAGAGAAAGGTATTTTGAATTGGTAACCCAGACGTAGTTCAGTTATTGAATAGTCCACGTCAGGTTATGAGCCTGCAAAGCTGATGTAATTTTATTAAAAAATTAATACAACATTTAAATACATATCCTCTATGAGGAACATATTTCTGCACAATTAGTGCACATTTACTGTTTATTTGCTAAATTCAACACATTTTCATATTTAATAAAATATGAAATGTGATCTGGGCCAGAGTTATGGCACATTTTGTATTTTATTTTTTTCCAGTATAACCTAGAAAATCATTAAAACATTTTATTTGACAAGAGGTGTTCCTTTGCATATGACTGTGTGTAATAATTGTACAATTAAATTGCTTACATTAATTGTGTTAAAACCAGTGAGCAGTTTCTAAAACAGTGGCCCAGTCACCCCAGACTGACTAAAAAAAAGATGTATTGTGATTATTATTTAAAAGCTTTTAATTTTGCAAACGTAATTTGTCCTGCATATTGTAATGATTCTTGACCTGCTTTAAAACCCCAAGCGTTTTATTTTATGAGGAAATATGCTTACGTTTTCTTGACAGAACAATCTTAAAAGTATCTGGGGCGTTTCACATTTCAGTCTGCTTCTTTGGCGCTGATTCCAGGCAGTGGCTAAAATTGCTTGTTGTGCTCACCGAACGTTACAGTACAGTTAGCAGATACCAAAAACAAGTTGTGTGCATTCCCCCAACAAACTGCTTTTTGATAAAGATAAATTGTCAGAATGGCTGAAAAGGGTTGTGGATACATAGGGCAAAAACTCGTCTCACCACTAGATGGGGACATTGTATGAGACCTAATATTGTAACAGACCTGATCTTTCATACTGTGACCAATAAGTGTAAATCCTTAAATCAGTTATTTTCTGAAATTAAGCTCATCCTGGCAGTATTAATGTTTAATGGCCTTGGGTGCTTCCACTGTATGCACTTGCTGATTTCCCCCCACCCCTTTTGTTTTGATTTTCAGGAGAAGGAGAGCATTGCCAAGTGCATCTCAGATCTGAAGGTGCTGGCTAAGGCTACCCAGGCCAGGGCCACAGTATAAGTTTCCGCTGAAGGACCCTTTCCCACGTCCTGCTCAGTGTCCACGATGAAGCCGCCTGCTTTTCATCATGAGTAAACTGTTTCCTCTTAAAGTTGGTCTGACTGTGTCGACAAGTGTACATACACCTATTGAATAAAATATTTGGTTATTCACTAAATGGCTTCTGTGCGTTTATTCTGAAGGGTCAGTCTTCATGCTATTTTTAGTTCTCTGCTTCCGACTTTTATACAGCTAGCTGATGATTACGTCATTGATCTGAATGATGACCGTTTCTGTCTTATCTTGGAAGAATGTTAATAGTTTCATGACAACCATCAGGTAGGAACTGTCTACGCCTATGTTGGTCGTAAAAGCTGTTAGTCAAGAGGTTAAAGTTCTAGTCTTATGTGATTCATCTTAGGCCTTTTTATTAACTTGACACGAGGCATTCCCAACCTTTGAACTGGGGATGTAACCTAGTAGTGTTTCCAAATTGACTCCTTAGGGCCCTCAAATGGTCAAAATATTTTAATAAATTGTACAGCTATACTAGAGGAAAACAAAGAAGAATGTGACCCACTAAGCCTTAAGGACTGTACAGAGAAATGTTCAACTAGAGAATTTTCCATTCCGCTGATCATCTCACTTCCTATCTGCTCTCACAGGTGCATCTGGACTTTGCACCAGGTTTTACTAAGCAGGAAGTTCATGATATTTGTCCCTTTTTTCCGCTTGTAAGGATTTTTAACTGGTGGATTACTGGGCTGGAAAATGGAGCGTTAAGGTGGAAGCTAAGCAGATTTTGTCTCAGGTAATACATTTTGTTGTACCATGTCCAGTATATTTGTGTTGGAGAAACTGAAGGAGCGATTTCTGCAGACATGTAAGTGGGTGACATTTTGGACGGCAGAGAAGATAGGCAGATCATTAATTGAGATAAATAATGCTGGTAATTAAACAAGATTCTGACAGAAGTAAGTGGGGGTTAGTGGCAAGATCTTAAGGTTGAACTTTGTTTTAAAAGAGACTAAGGTATTTTTAAATGTCTGGAGGTCATTTTTAAAGCCAGTTTCTTTCAGATTAACAGTTATGAGTTTTGTTTAAATAAAAAAAAGTGTTCTGCAATTTTAAAGTTATTTTTTTCTCTCAGGTGAAAGTGTTTGCATAGAATCTGAACAGTTATTTGTGTGGTTCGACCTGAATAGCATGAATGCTGCTGTTCCATCCTGACCAGTTAAAGAAACAAGACGTGTTGGACTGGTTTCCCAGACCCAGATTAAGTCTAAACCTAAACTAATGTTTAAACCGTTTCCTATAGTAATTCTCTACTGAACTGAAGAACATTAGTCATCTGAGTCCAAGATTAGACTAATGTAAAATTTCAATCAGATGTGTTTATATTTATGCAGCTATAGAGTTATGGCTAAAGGGATTTGCATGTTTCTGATCTTGACCAGACACCATGTTTTTTTTTAATTATTAATTTATTTATTTGTATTACTGTTTATTATTATTTTTATTATTGTTTATTATCATTATTAATCTTATTGTCACGTCATAAGTCATAAATTGTGTCTTTTTTAGTGTTGTTAACGGACGTGACGTCACGGGTGAAGAATGTACGGGAACAGCCCCGTCCCCGCTTTCCAGCCGAGGTACAGACTCCTCTCAGCACTGGGAGAGCAGAGAAGCAGTTATTAGCACAAACTGAGCTGTAGAGCTGCTAATGTGGCAAACTCGCTGTTCGGAAGCCCCCCAGCAGCTGCTCTGACTGACCCAGGGCGGAAGGTTGTTATGTGCAGTATGAAAAACGCAGACCAAAATTTAGCATCAGTGCGAAATAGTCTGTATCTAGCGAGGGTTTATTTATTTATTTATATATTTTGCTGCATACAGCTAAACTCTCCAGCGGGGTTAAACTGTTGCAGAAGTAGTGGGTTTTCATTACTACCAATTGTACTGGCGGCTGTCCTTTGCAAAGTTTTGATTTAAAGTGAATCACTGTACCGAAAGTCAGAATTTAAAACATTTCGGACTTTTAACTGACTTGGCTTTATGATTTAATTCTGCTTACTTCATGAAAATAAAAGTAGTGGTCACCAACCGGAAAACATTTCATTTAGTCACTACCAAAAACCATAACACTGCTGAACCTTTACCGAATGTTTTGGTAGTGACTGTTTCGGTACTGACAATTTCAGCTAGTTTGGAGCAGAACTCAAAAACGCTCGCCAGTACATGACTAGCAAACACAGCTTTGAACAACTGTACACACATACAATCATAATATTTTAGTAGAACACAAAGTTTATTTAACTGCAGAAATGTGTGTGTTGGTAGTTACAATTCTAACTGAAGTTTTTAAACACTGTGTCCACTCACTGTCCACTCTATTAGACGCTCCTACCTTGTCAGTCCACCTTGTAGATGTAAAGTCAGAGATGATAGCTCATCTGCTGCTGCACAGTTTGTGATGGTCATCCTCTAGTCCTTCATCAGTGGTCACAGGACGCTGCCCACCGGACGCTGACTATTCTCAGTCCAGCAGTGACACTGAGGTGTCTAAAAACTTCAGCAGCACTGCTGTTTCTGATCTACTCAGACCAGCGCAACACACACTAATATACCATCACCACATCAGTGTTATTGCAGTGCTGAAAATGATCCACCACTCAAATAGTTCCTGCTCTGTGAGGGTCCATGGGGGTCCCGACCACTGAAGAACAGGGTAAAAGGGGGCTAACAGGGTATGCAGAGAAACAGATGGACTACAGTCTGTAATTGTAGAACTACGAAGTGCACCTATGTTGTAAGTGGAGCTGATAAAATGAACAATGAGTGTAGAAACAAGGAGGTGATCATAATGTTATGCCTGATCAGTGTATAAAATACTATTATAGAGAACAGAAATAGTTGTGAGTTTGCTTATTACTTACAAGCCACACAGTGCGTTATGGGTATCCCCTGTCCACTAGGGTACATCAGTGGTACACTACTCATTGTGGTGCACTGTGGGATTGTTTGAGTGCACTGGATCTTCTGCACTATGTTTTCAGACACCATTACAAAATGACGGGAGCCCAGAATAGTGCACTATATAGTGATTTTTTTTTTTCAGTTTAGGGGAAATGTAGGGGTTAGGGTTTGGGACAGACACCTTCCCATAGAAACTACCTTATAAATGATGATTTTGTATAAATTTAGCTTATAACCGTCTTAATTAATGCCTTGGGTTTAAATTAGGGCTGGGCTATATGGCAATATTCATGGTTATTGTGATAAATTGCTTGAGACTATAGCACAATGTGGAGTATATCGTGTATCTCGTCAGTACTTGGAGAACCTTAAACAACTACATATTTCGAAAGTAGCGCATTCACATAAATGGGTCAAAGACTATACGATTTCTAAAAAATAAAACAGCAATTATAATTCCCTAAAGGCTTTTTTATGTTCATTGTGTCACCAATGCCATTTTAATAGTTATATTCAAGAAAAAATCAGCCAGTAATTATTTTTTATTGTGATTCATATGAGTGTACTCTAGGAAAATGTCAGTCTGTATACTGCTGAATTTTTTCAAAGAAATTAATTTTATGCCCATTTTTCATATAGTTATATATCCATCCTTAGACTGGCAGAAATATAACTACCCAGAAAAAATGACATTATTTAATTTTGAATACCATATATTTGATGTGTCTCTCTGTGTCAACAAAACAAATTTATTGTATTTTAATATAAAATACTGGTGTTATACTGTATAACAATATTTTGTTACCCTGAATGACACATCACTACTGCCCAAAAATATTGATTATATTTGAAGCCTTAACAATAATAATCCTGTGAAGTATTGTTAATAGCAGCAACAGTATTTTTCTTTTACCTATTTTTTAAGTTATAAAACTGTGTGAAAAACAGGATGAGATGTTTAAAATGTGCAGACTAGCTGAACTTGGATCTCTTCCATACTAGAGAGAGAGAACATGCAACATAGTTTAACTGACATGAGGTACAACTTTCACACAGGAATAAACCAGCACTGAGCATTTCAAACAAAACATTAATTAAAAACACTTCGGAAACATTGTGCACTGTAGTTTTGCTTAAAATCATCACAAAACAAATCAGCTAATAAGTTAATTAGCTAATATAATTCATAATCCATTTTTAATCCATAATTGTGTGTGTAATATTTAATTATATTATCTAATATAATCCATCAGTTAATATAAACTGCAGTGCAGTAAAACATTAACTACAGTATAATAGTGCAAATTAATGTTAAATGTAATCCACCTAGCTTTATATCCTATTGTATCCTATTCTGCTACAGACAGTAGCAAGAAACCATGATAAAAACTGCTCTTCTTCTGGTTAGTCTTTCCTCTGTAGCAGTTGGATCTGCATTGATCTTTTGCCTGTGCCATGCAGCCCTCTCCTTATTAGATGATGGCATCTACAGTATAAAGATAATGTGCCTTGGAATACCTTAAAATCCGTAAAATATACACATAAAATGATAGTAATCAGTATTCCTGCAACAGGTACATATGAATTGCATGATTAAATGTTGTTAACTAGTGAAAACATTCAGCATAACATGTGACATTGTAGTATAACATGAAACTTGTGCTGAAGGACAGAAGCGTGATACTGATACCACCTAAATAAAGTAATGACCGGGACCTATAAAGATTATCCTTACATTTCATATTTAAAATAGCTTCAATTATCAAATATTTCAGCGAGATTTACTCGCCTCATCACATAGATAGGGGATCTTCAATGGGTTATCTTTGTGATCTCACACATTGTCACATGATTACATCACCTGTTATGCTTTAAAATGGCTTTTGGCCTTTGTTATATTGAATGACATTGATAAAGTGCTAAAGTCTGGACAGAAGTTATTCAAGTTTTTAAATATTTTTAGACACAGTATGTTGCCTATTATTCTATATATTGTTGCAAACGCTTACGCAATGATGCCATTTGGGCGTTCATTCATATTTTTAGGATACATTTCTACATTTTAAAAACACTTTTGTCATTAGAATCTTAATCTGGCAGTTACACTGAAGGACATTTTGACACTTCAGAGCACAATAACTCCTTCACTTCAATAGTTTGCAACACAGTGTTTTCTGGGCCAAAAAAGGGTAAGAGCTGAGTGATTTAATATCACATTTACACATATAGCTTTTATGTTAAATGAATGGTCTGTAGTCACCTCTTTCACCCAAATACACCTTTTCAGCCTACAAGAGTTTAGCCCTGACCATTCCCACTTAAGTTATTAGGAACCTGGACTGCTTTCTGAATGAACCGCAATACAGAACAGCCAATTAGAACAGAGGCCATTTACATATATTAGTCTAAAATGCACAGGAACAAAAGCAGCCCATTTAGTTAGTTTAGGCTAAAGGATGGCTGGAAAATGGCCATGTTAAAATGAATTCTGATGGTTTTTGGTACATATAACCACAAAATCTTTATAAGTGGACCTCTGGGCAAAAAGAAAAGAAAAACATAGAAAACAAGCCCTTTATTGTAGTCTACTGAAACTTGGATCCCAGTACAGTAAGCATTTGTTGCACAGTGCTTGCTCACAACACTTCATATTTAATGGAATAAATAGGATGATGTGTCATTCACATAGATTGCCTTATGTTCTTATTGCAGAAGCTTCTCACCAGAGCTGCCTTCTCAGAAGCCTAATATGTCTCGCCCCAGTGCAAAATCCATCTACAGTGCGTAAAACCCTTAGTCCTTTCAAAATGACACAGTTCTGACCCAGCAAGTCTGGCTCTCATGATAATAATTCCATTTTTCCCTCTTACTACACAGTGCAAAGGAAGGAATATTCAGAATCCATTAACAAGCAACCTGACACGTTTCAGTACAGAGTGGAGGTAAAATCTGACCAGTTTATAAGATTATCTACCACTGCATTTTATATCTTTAGGTACTAAGTGACTAAATGCAGACTGCTACTTATGTGTGAAATCTAGGTCATCTATTCTCTCATTCTAAGTGTAAACTTTACAGTAAATATACTGTGGGCCAAGGCAGAATAGCTTTCTGGTACCAATTCAATCGCCATTGACTGGCAAATGTTTGGCATCTTCTTCAGCACCTGTTCACATGCGAGTTAGACAGGAAGGAGCTGAACAGCGTGGAAGACTGTGTGGCCAGGCTGAAAAGTCTGGACAGCCGAGGGAAAGTGTGGGGTCAAGACATGATCCTGCAGGTGCACGGTGGCAGCCTACAGCTTTGTGACATCGAAACAAAGGTTGGTCGCCTTACAGCTGTGATTACGAACCCTGATTCAGAATTTAGCTCTAATCTACCATACTTGATCTATCCAGTTATTGTCTTCACAAATAAATTAAAAATAATAATACATTTATACTGATTCTGATGGGTAAGGTTTGGGTTGGTAGTGAAACCTGCAAAACAGTAGATTTCCAGAAGGACCTTTGGTGACCACTACTTTACAGCATGTCCTTAGTTTTATTTTTAGAATGTTATCACATTTTGTAAAGAAAAGCTTTACAATGACCACGAACACCTTCTAAGCCACTTATCCTTCTGGGTCATGGTTGGAGCTGGAGCCTATCCCAGTAGTCATTGGGTGGCAGGCAGGATACACCCTGGACAGGTCACCAGTCCATCACAGGGCAGACAGACAAACATATACATCCACACCTAGGGGCAATTTAGCATGTTCAATTAGCCTGACTGCATGTTTTTGGACTGTGGATAAAAAACCCATGCATGCAAACTCCACACAGAAAGGACCCTGGTCACCCGGCCAGAGAATCAAACTCAGGTCCTTCTTGTTGTGCGGCAACAGCTCTACCCACTGCGCCACCATGCCACCCAGTGACAAAACTGATTAACAAAAATGCAAAAATAAAGCCTTTCATTAAGATAGTGTGCCTGCACTCTGACTATACTGGTTTCATAAAGGCCTTCACAGACATGCTTCCTTCAATCTGACCTGAACATCAACTTTTGTAATGCCAGTGTTGTAACTTTTTATATTTGCTGACTGTGCAGGAGGTGCTGGAGTCTCTTCCTCTTGGCAGCATCATGCAAACTAAGGCAATTCTGGACAGCTGCACTTATGACTCACTGCTGACAGTCACTTGTCAGGAGAATGGACGGAGGGCTCCAAATGTTTTCCTGTTCCAGTGTGAGGAGACTGGGGTTAGGAACTCTCTATTTCATTTGAGTACTGACAGTTATATATTATTGTACGGTGCCTGTTTTAATTACAGCTTGATTGCAATAAGACATTGTGATCTAATTTGTCTCAAGCTCATCTACAAGTAAATGCAATTTAAAAGGAAATAGACAAAGGCCCAAAGTTAACTCAAGCTTTATTATTCAGTTATAAAGCCTAACACTTACTATTCAATATGTTATACAGTTGCCTACATAAAGTGAAGCACTGAAGTGTGTTTTTGGCTTTGGCTGGATGTGAAATTTGAAAAATATGTAAGTGATACATGCAGATGGATTCATTCAGTTTTACCCATACGGTTCCAGGCAGAAGATGTGAGAGGTGACTTGGACCGAGTGATCAAGCACAGAGGAGAGGAGCCTGTAATTCAACAAAGCGAACCACCGTTTGACATCAGGTAGGCTGCAGCACAGACTGAGTAATGCGACCTGACATACTGTTAATACTACCGGATCTGCCATTATGACAGTCAATGCTATAAAATAGTTTTTACTTAAGTTCTTTGTAACTGATTTGGTTTGACTGATTTAATTCTGACCCAGTCTGATTTATTCTGCTCACTGCAAACAGTAACAAACTCTCAGATGTTTTCAAAACAAAGCAAGTTGAAAAGGCCACACTGACAATCAGCACTAAGAGACATTAATTTAAATCCTCTTGTTAACTGTTTTAAACGAGCAGTTTGGGGGGTGCATTGCCCACCAATCAAAAATCTGTTTTGCAGTGAGTAGGCTGCCGCATGCCTGAGTATGACACATTTGCTGAAATATTTCTCTTCACCGAAGACTTACCCTTCAGTAGGTCTGCAAGTTAACCACTTGTTGTACATGTGTTGGTAGATAGATAGATTGATGGATAGATGGATAGATAGATAGATATCTACATTGTGGAAAGTTGTCTGTGGCTATTGGCTTTTGACCATGGAATTAGAAACATACAAGACATAAAATGTACATGACAAAACATACGAGAACATTAGATAAAAAAGCAGATATCCAGAAGATATCCAAAAACATTCCTACAATGAACAGAAGCGCAGATTTTTACAAGACCGGCCATCTCCCCTGGTCAGTAGTGACACATTGTTTCTTCTACAGGAGTAATCTGGAGAGTATAATGGGCCAAGGGTATTCGGGGGGTTTCCGCAGACCTGGCCCCCCTCCAGTGCAGCCTGCACCTCCCCCTCCACCTGAGTACCTTCCACCTCAACTCAATACCTACCAGGACTACGGTGAGGACTATTTAAAGACTACCAGACTTTTTAAAATGCTATGCTTTTTCAATGACGATTCAGAAGCATCTATAATTGCTAAAGAACAGCAAAGATTTCATAATGAAATCAAGTTTTATATTCAGAGAGCACTAAAAAGTCATTGGTTCAAATCATTACATGAGTTGTTGCTACAACATCTGTCACGGAAAATTGTCCAATGTCCTCTGTTGTGTAATGTACACCTGACAACACATACAGTCCAGTCTATAAATATTTGGATGTTGACAGAGTTATTGTAATCACTTGGTTTAAATTACATCTGGAACCCAGATGCTGGGTTTCTTTGCTGGTCATGCTCTTTCAGGCCTTTACTGTTGCTATCTTCAGTTTCTGCTTGTTCTTGGGCCATTTACCTTCAGTAAGTGAAATGTATGCTCAGGCTGATTGAGGTGAGGTGAGGTGAGGTGAGGTGACTTGACTTGGCCACTGCAGAACATTCCACTTCATTGCCTTAAAAAAGTCTTGGTTTGCTTTCGCAATATGCTTCAGGTCACTCCCTGATCTGAAGCACCGTCCAATGTGTTGAAGCGTCTGGCTGAAACTAAACAGTTACTATAGCCCTATACACAGAATTCCTCCTAATGCTTTTGTCAGCAGTCATCAATAAATACAAGGGAACCATTTCAATTGGCACCCATGCATGCCCATACCGTGACACTACCTCCACCATGGTTGTTTTCTGGTCTTCTTTTTTTCTAGAAGTCTTCTCTTGATTGTTGACTTTGACACAGATATGCCTACCTCCTGGATGGTGTTCTTGATCTAACCAACTGTTATGCAAATGCTTGTAATTCCTGCTCCAGGTGTCAGATGAAAGTCTGCACTTTGTGCTTGTATTATTTTGTTTCAACTCCAGTCTGCTGTGGCAGACAGCTAAAATAACAATAACTTTGTCAATGTTGACCGAGTTTACACATTATCAATCCGTTGTTCTGTATCAACTCTGCAACATTGTAAATGAGGGTCACCCTCAATGTTCTTTGAGATTAAATAAAGGTTGATTGATTGATTGATGCCCAAATATTTACAGACTTGACTGTATGTGCTCACTTTGTACCTCCATTACATGCTAAACATATTAATATATGAGCTTTTTTAAAGTTGATTAAGCTTTCTGGTTTGTGTTTTTAGAAACTCCCAGAGATGATGCCCATTACAGCCCGGATATATATGAGCAAAGCCGTTCAGCGCCGCCATCCCCTCCTCCATACACAGAAGTTGAAAGGAATATGGTAAGTTAAGAACAACAACTCCAATAACAGTACAATTAATTTAGGTAGAACCTTCCACAAAATCATGGTCACTTTACAGTCGTGAGGATGCTCAAGTCTATGTTTATCTATCTATCTATCTATCTCAATTTTCTCTTTCCTTCAGGAAATCTTTAATCATGTGGTGGGTGACATCGAACTGTTCACAGATAAAGTCGAAGCAGCTATAAGACAAGAGGAGGGAACCAAGAAAAAGAAAAAGAAAGGCAAAAACCAGAGGAAATATGGTAACTGTGGCGCATAGCATGTCTGATCGGTTCATCATAGTCATAACTGCAAATACATTTGTGTAGCTTTAAAGTTCATTACTGTTTTACTTTTCATTTCTTTGGCAGGCGAAAACTTTCCCTCCATACAGGAATTTATTGGCTGTCTTCAGAAATATAAATATGCCTTCAATCTCCTGGTAAGTTTTTCAGCCCTGAAATCAATGTGAACAATTGGCCATCATTATTTAAAGCATTTAGTATTGGACACTAACCTTTTTTATTCTATTTCATTTTATTTTGGTTATTTAAACTGTAAGCTTGATTACCATTTAAAGGCCTTAATGCAAATCTTTCTGTTTGGGGCTGCATTAGTATTGCAGGTATTAAATGGGACAAGGGCCACTGTTTTGTCTGTTAAAACAGGGGAACCAAAGCACATCTGAGTTCATCCATTCCAAAAAAAAAATCTGTGTCATTCATGCAACCATGCACAATTTCAAAATCCTGCTCCAGCTTAGACTTGAATTTCTAAGTGGTTAGATCAAGAAACACTCCTGTGGTGTGCAAACGTAACATACTATATTCATTTGTCAGGGTGTAAATCTTCAATAAACACATGACAAATGGCCCCAGGTAGCGAGAACTGAAGGAAAATGAAAAGGTAAATAACCGAGTTGTTTAGTAAACCAAATATGATCAATAACAAGACATTTCTTAAATAAAAAGACAATAGCATAAGCAGCATCAATGACAGCACAGTTTAGCTGCAGAAAGAGTGTGGTTCTGTCTTACCTACAAACTAAACAGTTTTAGCTAGTCAGCTACAAGCAAGCTTTTCTAATTTAACTGTGTAGCTGTTAGCTTTGAAATCTGTGCCTGTCAGCTGCAAACAGGTGAAGAATTTGACTGTTGGTAACCAATAAGGCACTTTATAACTGGTCTGTATTCTAAATTTTCAGTAACTAGTCTGCATTCTGCCCTCATTGGAGCAGGCTGACCAGTTCAGGGGAGAGCAAACAACAAATTATCAGCGTTGAACTACAACAAAACTTACCATCTTTAGGTCTTTGCACCACTGAAGGCTAAAATATTGTCATTCCTCATCAAGTCACTTAATGTGACAGAACATTATTTTATGAGGAAGTTGAGTGAAAATTATATTTGTATATATTATATTTTCCTTAAAGGTGTATATATACACACACACACATACACACACACATATATTGTGATTAATGTATTGTCCTGTCTTTGGCTGTGGTAGGGGAAACTTGATGGACATTTAAAAAACCCTACCTCTTCTGAATATGTTCACATTCTCTTCACTGCTCTTGGCTTTGTGAGTATCTGTCAGCTCTGTTTGCTTTCAAATAGCAATAAAAGCATTAAGAGTTTGCATATTGTGGTTTGCTGTTGGTCACTTGGCTTATCATGATAGTGGAGTAAAAGTGAACTGATTATATCATTTACATCCTGCTTATCAGTGAATATTATTTACCCCTGTACTAACTGATGTGATTAAATAATTAGTTTTATTTTTGTGAAGAGATATACTTGTCCTTGTAATAATTATAATAATAATGATAATAATAATAATATTTCCAAAAAATATTAAAGATTACTGTATTTGGTCTATTATCCCTAACTCTCCAGACTCACTGACCTTATGCACTTTCTCTGAATCGTTGTCATTAGCATATCTCTAAATGGTACATTATTGATGCTTTAGCTGGTGACGCATTATCCTCTGGATGTGCCGCGGTCAGTACTGAGCCCCTTCCTCACAGAGGCCGCTCTGCAGCTCCTCAGCCAGGTCGTCACCCCAGAGGAGGACAAACTATGGACCAGTTTTGGAGACACATGGCAGGTTCCCAGGTCTGACCAACACAATGCCACAATTGTGTTCAATTCATCTAGCTCGAGAACTGCGTTTATTAGGGATGTAAACCTCACAATGATTCAATGATGACTCTTTAACAAATGATTCAGTGCATCATAAACTTTCAACTGGCTCCATGATTCAGTTCAGTTCACTTTCACTGAATACACCCTATTTACTGTGTAACTGTAAAAACTGTGTTGAACTGTAAAAGTTCAATATAGAAAATAAAAACAAAATGGCAAGCTATTTAGCTTTGATTTTTGCATTCATTTTACTAAATTTTTATTCAATTGTTTAACAGTATAGGCAGTTCTACTATTGCGAAATTGCAGTTCACTCGGCACCAATGCAATTTTACACCCCCAATTCTTATGTGTTGTAGTCATTTTGAAAATTATAAATATAATGTCTAATATTGTTTTTAAGTAGTCTAAACCCACACTCTAGTAAAGTATTGCTACTGCAGTGAAATATTAACTCAAGAAGAAGTAAAAGTCTAGAAAAAACAACTTAATTGCTACTTTTGCCACTTCCTTGTTTTTTCATTATATGTATTATTGGGAGTGGGCTTTATACATACAAGAACAATCCGTGCTATATAAAGATTAATACTACATTTATTTAAAAAGGTGTTTTTTTTTTACGGAGGGCGTGATATGTTAACTCTTTTCATACATTTTCATGTCCAATATTGTCACAGCTACTTAGCATTTTAGAATAAAGGAAATTTTATCAGGTCGAAAAACTCCTCTAGTGCCTTATAGAACTGCATTGGAGCTTCTTAATACATCCAGCAAAGGCACCACAAAATGTTCAAAAAAGAGAGTCATGAGGAACAACAAAGCAGTCCGAGACTTGAACCAACAGAACAGAATGAAGTTAAAGACAAAAAGGAAACTTGTGACCAAATGTGAATGGAGCTGAGTAAAAGAATAGATTCCTTTCCTAAAATGTATACACATCATTCTACTGAACTGATTCAAAGTCAGAGTTGCCTTTTGCTTTGAGTGACTCATTACCTTAATAATGTTTAATTTATGAGAATAATTTTTGAACATTGCATTTTGTCACTAACAAAACAATTATGACACTAGTGAAAATTGTGTTGGCCATGAGAGACAGGGATGCAGTCTCACTTCCTGCTCTAAAATGCAGGGGTGTGGCTAAAATAAGGCTCTGCCGACGGATTAAAACTCTTTTTTCATTTTATTGACATTTTTATTTACAAATTTAAATTCATGATAAATCTAAATCTGTCAACTTCAAAAGAAAGCAAAAAGATATTTACAAAAAACAACACTAAAAAATATTATTTTCACAAGTGGAAATGTAGTGAGTTAGGGTTTGGAACAGACACCTCCCAAGAGAAAGTATCCTAGAAGTAATGATTTTGTATATGTTTAGCTTATTATCTTCATTAATGCACTGGGTTTAAATGGATCATAACAGAATCCTTGTAAATATCAAAGGTCTGAATACTTAATTGGTTTTTAAATAGTTTTTACTGTGGGATTGGAATTGTATGGTCTATACATTCATATGTAGTTTGAACACCTGATCAAATTAAATGTTTTGTTGATTTTGTATGTAAAAATAAGTTAACACATCCTCTAGAGGGAACAAACATAAACATTTTTTTCTGCTAATTTCAGTGTACAATTTAAGTTTAACATTTTGGAAAAAATAAAACATAAAAACATAACAGGCCACAATTTTTGTTTTATGTTTTCTAATATGTCAAATTCAGCAAATAAATAGTAATTGTGCATTCAAATTTGGTATAGTGTGTTGTCTGTAGAGGATGTGTTAACTCACAAATTTGACCAGAAGCGTCCAAAATTTGCATACGACTTTTGCAAGAAGAAAGTATTATAATTTAAAATACTCAGAGAAATACAAAGGCATAAAAATTTGAATATAATTGTAAGTTTTGTAAACTCAGATATGATTCAAGTTGATGTAGGAATAAACTCTGGTGTTCTTTAACATTCTTGCTGTTGAACAACAGCTAAGTATTTTTCATTACAAATCACTGCCAGGTTATGTCAAATATTCTCTTTGTCTCTATTGATCTAAGATCTAAGTGGCCAAATGGAGACAAGATGGCACCATATGTTCCAGTCTTTTATGATGGTTGGGTGCCCCCAATGCCGGTCCCTGTACAGCCGCCGTCACCATCACGCAGCAACAGTCAACGCTTCCCAACCAGAAACAGCCCACAGCAACCACCAGCTCAGGTAAAAGAACATGCTTTACTGCAGTTTCTACTACAGGATTTATAGTGTTTCAGTGAAAACTTGAGTAAAGAAATAAACTCCATTGATATAGACATTTTATACTGTAACCTATACGCACTGTATTAGTTTGTTGGATTGTAAGATAAGGAAAGTGTATTAAATGCTTATATTTTAATGAGGTGACACTGTTTACACTTACTGTTTACTTTCTGTTTCAGGATAACAGGCCTTTTGGTGCCCCGCCAACACGGTAAATGAGAACATGTGACCTAAATGTATCGAGATAATACTACTGCTGTAATGGATAGATACAAGTAAAGCATACAGTACTCCTGTCTGGCAGAAATGATAACATAATGCTGTATTCAGCTAAAGCTCTTAGAATTCCAATCACTGGCTTATAATAATAGCTAAATAAGGCTAAAGTAACAAGCTTTCTGAAATCTGTATTCAGTACAATGAATACAATACAATGAAACATGTGCACTGACATGTAATGGTATAAATCCTTCCCTATGGCACTGCACTACTGCTCTACAGTTTGGAAACAATGTTTTCATAAATATAAAAAGACAAGTTCTGTTGCAGAAACAAACATTTTTGTAATATCATTTAGCTGTCATATGTAATATGTGTATACACTTTATGTCCAAATGAGCTCTTCCAAAATCAAAGGTATTAATAGGGAGTTGATTCCTCCTTTTGCTGCAGTAACAGCCTCTACTCTTCTGTTAAGGCTTTACACTAGATGTTGGAACATTGCTGTGAGGATTTGATTGCATTCAGCCACAAGAGCATTAGTGAGGTCAGGCACTGATATTGGATAATATGTTCTGGATCAAAAACGTCACTCTAACTCATCCGAAAGGTAATCACTGGTGCTCATGCAGTCCAGAGAACACAGTTTCCCTGTTCCACAGCCCAAAGCTGGGAGGCTTTATACCCCTCTAGCTGACACTGGACTCCAGAGCATCCTGTTGTATTGGCTATGCTTTTCTATAGACTGTACAAGCTGCATGTGCACAGGTGAACACCTGTGTCAGCAATGGGTCACCTTAAAGTAGCTAAATTCACTAATTACATGGGGTGTCTAGATACTTTTGAACACATAGTGGACTATTCAGCTTCAGAGTTTTCAAATAAGGTGTTGTAGTAAGTTGCAAAAATGAAGAAAATAAAACAGAGATACCTGCAGACTGAGAATAGAGCTGAAGAACAGCAAAGGACTGAAAACTCCCTTTTTTGGGAGAATGACATTATAATAGAATTAATATCCAAAATTGATTTGCAAAGGGATGTTCGAAACATGATGCAGATATATTTAAATAGAGTAGATAATTGTGTTATTTATTTTAATTGTGATATGTATTATGTGCAAAAGTCAGTGGCCACTATTCATGTATTTAATTTTCAGTCAAACAGCCATTAAGTTATTCAATTTTCATATTAGACAAGGAAATTAGATATAAAATAACCCGCTTGTATAAGTAAGAGTAAGAGCAACAAAACTATTGCCATCAGATATACAGTACTTAAAGCTTTCAGCAAGATTTGCAAGCTTTGAGAGAGAGAAAAAAATCAAGCTCCACTCTTGCTTTAGATCTGAAAAATCCACAGGTGTTTCTGTCCATCCTTCAGAAGAAAACTCAGAGCTATGAGTCTGAAAGGATCTGTGGCTGTCAAGAAACCTTGTTACTAGACAAAAAAAGAAAATTTGCCAATTAAAAAACAAAAAAGCTGCTGGTGTTCTGATGAACTGAAAACCTTAGAGGCCAGATCTCAACATAACTGAATGTGTTTGGGATTACTCGGATTGTGAGAAACAGAAAATGCAACCAACTTCTAAGACTGAACTTTGAGGTGTGGGAAAATATCCCTACAGATTTCTTTAAAAAGCTGAAAGTGTGTCTCTTGAAAAGAATAGAAGCTGTAATAAAGACAAAGAGTGGATACACTAAACACTGAAAAAACAGACATTATATTTAGTTGTTGAGGCTTCTGTATACCAGTTAATCTGTTAGATCTGTTAATTTTCTGTTTTCTGTTTTTTTCCTGACACTAACTTGTACTTAATGACTGTTTTGAGAGCAAAACCAATAAAAGAAGGATGGTCTCTGACTTTTGCACAGTACTATATGTGATTATTAATTTTTTTATTTTTATCATTTTTTTGTGCTGTAGCTCAGAAGAGCCACCACTCTACATGCGAGTGATCTATGACTTCATAGCCAGGAACCGTCAGGAGCTGAGTGTGTTGAAAGGTGAAGTGGTGCAGGTAAGACGGTGAACTATTGCAGGAACACAGAGGTAAAAAACACTGGTGCTGAATACAGTTAAGTTGTATTACAATGGCCATGTGTAACCAGAGCTGAAAGACCGGTATTAGTTTTTTTTTTCTCTCTATGTTTCCCACATAAAACACATGCTACGTTGCTCTACTTACACCAATAGTCAAACCTTATTCTCTGCTCATGTTGCTCTGTCAACCAGAGGAGAATGGGTTTCTCTTTTGAGTCTTGGTTCCTCTGAAGGTTTCTTCCTCTTGCTCTTAGGGAGTTTTTCCTTGCCACTGTATTGGCTTGCTCATGAGGCACCCAGATTTTTCTGTAAAGCTGCTTTGTGGCAACGTCTGTTGTAAAAAGTGCTATACAAATAAACTGTGACTTGACTTGACTTAGCTGAACTGTAAAACAACGCCTGCCACTTACCCTGTATTCTCGCAGGTTATAGACAAGTCCAGGCAATGGTGGATAGTGCGAAACAACCGCAAGGAGGAGGGTCATGTGCCACAAAATGTTCTAGAACCTATGAGAGAGGAGGAGCCTCCAGTAAGTTTTTCACTGCTTTGGCAGCATTCATTCAGATCAAGTATGGTGTACTTAAAGGAATAGTCTAGTGTTTTTCAACCTGCCACATCTGTACACACTAGTATACAGTAGTATACTAGTAGTATACAGTGAATTACCACAGATGATCACTTTAATGTGCTTCCTTGTACTTAACCCTAAAGGCATAACCCAAAACCTACACAAATGCATGAAAGGGGTCAAAAATGACCTGTATAGGAATCAATGGAAAAAAATATCCTGTTTTTATCTTTATTTTAAACTTAAATAATTTAAGAATTTGATGAAACACAATATTTTAATGTTTCAGTCATGTTTATTTGATCATCCACATACATAAACAGTAAGAAGAGATGAAAATAAATAATATCTACATGCATTAGAACTGACCCGGTAAATAGGCACCAAAATGAATGACTGAAAAACAAGCAATGTTTGTTTGTTTATTTATATACTTAAGTAATCTCTCAAACCATTAATCAGTTACTCAGTAACGTCTAACATTAATAACAGAAGCAACACTGTATTAGCTCTAGTAGCTATGTATTCACTCTTGCTAGCTAGAAGCTCAAAATTTATCTGGCAAAATATACACTATGAACAATAGGCCAAAGCTTGTAACAGGTTGAGACAGTTGAGTGAAAAATGGCTCCATACCTCTAAAAAGGGTGGGGCAAAACTTTGAGTTTCTATTTAAAAAGGCTGTGCTAGTGGAACTCAAGCACTCAAAGAATAATATGCTTGATAAAGGGTTCTTTGCATCTTAAAAGTGCTCTTCAGATTGATGGAGAATGTGCTGTAAGGTTTTATATAGCACCAAAAAGGGTTCTTCTATTGTTATAAGCATGACATTGTAGCAATAGCAGAACTGTTTTTGGTGCTATATAGAACAATCCAGCATATTCTCCATCAATCTGAAGAACCATTTCACGATACAAAGAACCTTTCAATCATGAAAAGTGTTCTTTGAGTGTTCATGGTTATATATAGAATGATTTTCTTTACTAAGGAACCCTTGAAGAACCATTTTTTTAAAACTGTGTCAAAATTCCATAGAAAATACTTTACTAAGACATGATGCAAAAATGTTATTTTCCGGAACTTATGACCAAGAAATATGGAAATGAAGTAAAGCTCATGAACATGGAATATCAAGGAATGAAAAGGTTTTATTGATAAAGTGTTTCAGAAATCACACCCTACTGGGTGGTCTGTGGTAATGGATCTTATGTTACAGATGCTAAAATGATATTTAAATGCTTTTGTTCTACCTCTGCTTCAGAGAATGAACAGACCTCCAAATCTGGACATGAGATCCAGCCCAGAGGAGGTCAGAGCCTGGCTGCAGTACAAGGGCTTTTCCAAAGTGTAAGAAACTGCTTCATACATCTTTGGCATTCGTACAGCATAAATGCACAGTATTTTAACAAGACCACAAAGTCAAGCTGCTTAATTCATAAGATACCAGTATAATCATAGCATACAGATAAGATATTTTTGTCAGGTGCAAAGATTTATATATTCCAGATGAGAAGTTTCAATTCATCCCCAGTATTCTAGCTCAAAAAAGAGAGTGTTTTTCCCTGTAGGAGCTCAGTGTTGCAGCTTATTCATTAACACATGGGGCTTCATCACTGCTGAAATGATCCTCAATAACCCTGAACTCTTATGCACAACTCGTGTTTGGGAGTGCCTTAATATATCAGCAGCTTATGTGGAAATGCTGCAGCTGTGATGTCTGATATCTGAATCTATGAATTTGTCTCACAGCTCTACCCACCCTGTGCACTTAATGCACTGATGATTCTTTTCTGGAGTTTACCATCTCTGCATGGTGGCTCTGGATGACTTAAAATTCTATTATATATATATATATATATATATATATATATATATATATATATACATACTATATATAGTAGCACAATTCTGCATTTCATTGGCCACTTTAATAAATAATCTGATCTGAGAACAGACCAAGTTTTCTATGTACTGTGCAAAAGTCAAACACTACCCATTCGTTTATTTCATTTCCAGTCCAAACACAGCCATTAAGTACAAGTAATTCATTTTTCAGTGTCTACTACACTTATCAACTTATTATTATTAAATTTACAGTGCTGTGAAAAAGTATTTGCCCCTTCCCATTCTCTTTTATTTTTGCATATTTGTCACACTTAAATGTTTCAGATCATCAAACTACTGAAAAAGGGTTCTGTGGTTCTGTGTGAAATAGTAACTGCCCCCTTAGCTACTATCAGCCAGTTAACCAATTAAATTGACTTCTGGGTTCAGTTTCACTTGCAACACCCAGGCATGATTACTGCCAGACCAGCTGAATCTAAACACCACTTAATCTAAACTAAAACCTGTCTGGCAATCTGAAGCTGGCTAGAAGACCCCGTTCTAAAGAGATTAAAAACTTGTGCTGGTTAAGGTCAATGTACACAATTCCACAATAAGAAAGACACTGGGCAAAAATGGCATCCACAGCAGAGTTGCAAAGTGCAAACCACTGCTGACCAAAAAGAACACAAAGGCTCATCTTGCATTTGCCAAAAAACATCTAGATGACCCCCCAAGAATTAGTCAAAAGTGGGGACTTTTTGGAAGACATGGGTCCCGTTACATCTGGCGTAAAGCTAAAACCGCATTCCACCATAAGAACATTATACCAACAGCCAAACATGGTGGCGGTAGTGTGATGGTCAGGACTGCTTTGCCACTGCAGGACTTGACGACTTGTCATAACCTGTGTAACCATGCATTTTGCTCTCCCATCAGAAAATCCTGACGGACAATGTCAGCCTGTCAATTCGTGACCTAAAGCTCAGGTGCAGTTGGGTTATGCAGCAGGACAATGTCCACCTCTGAATGGCTCAAAAGAAACAAAATGAAGGTTTTCGAATGGCCGAGTCAAAGTCCTGACTTGAATCTCATTGAGATCCTGTGGCTAGACCTTAAATGGGCAGTTCATGCTCAAAAACCCACCAATGTAGCCAAATTAAAACAATTCTACAAAGAAGAATGGGCCAAAATTCCTCCACAGTGATGTGAAAGACTCATCGCAAGCTATAGCAAACATTTGTTTACAGTTGTTACAGCCAAGTGTGGCACAACCAGTTGATAGGTTTAGGGGGTAGCTGCTTTTTCCACAAGGGTGATATAGATTTTAAATAAATCTTTGTCTTCAATAAATAAAATGATCATTTTAAATCTGCACTGTGTGTTTACTCATGTTGTCCTTATCTCATAAGGTGTGGGGCAAAATTTTTTTCACAGCACTGTATCTGTATTTGATTTGTCCATGCTTTACTTTTGCACACTCTACCATTTAAACTCCTCTATCCTTTCAATTTTAAAACCGACACAGCTGTCTTCTCCCAACAAAAGCTGTTCTCAAAGGTGTGACTGACATTATGTTACCCTTCATAGAGACTCTAACATTCACAGCTGTGCAAAAGTCAGAGATCACCATTTAATTTATTTCCAGTCAAAACAGCCATTAGACACAAGGTATTCATTTTTCAGTGTCAGGACAAGAGCAGAAAAACATATCATCCCTGTCCCAAAAAAAACCCCCTGCATGTTTCTCCATTTTTGTCGGTTTTAATGTTTGTACATCATTTGAACACGGCAGCTGTCCTTTACATTGTCTGAAAATTTCATGATGATTGGACCAATAGACGTGCTCCGAAATAACTTGGAATAAAATCTCTTTGCAGTAACTTACATTAAAATGTAACAACGTTTTCGCCTTCTCCTATAGGGTTGCTATTTTAGAGATGTTTTTCTTTGGACAGCGACCATATATTTAACAGAAAATTACACAAAATCACGATAAAATATTTCTCAGAATTTTCTCTGAATTTTACTGTGCCCACTTTTTGCCTTTATTACAGCTTGCATTCTTTTCAAGAGACTTCAGGAGACAGTTTTTCAAAGAAATCTGCAGGATTTTTTTTTTTTAAATTTGGTGTCTGCTTCTCACAATCCAAGTAATCTCACTTACAAATTTAGACTCATCAGTCCATAAAACCTTACTTCCCATTTCAGATATCCAGTTTCAGTGTAACTTTAAATTTGACTGCAAATTTTCATTTTTTTTTTGTCAATTTCATTTTCTCAGTAACCACTTCTTGACAGCTACACATACTTTCAGTGTTGTGTTGTCTTCTCACCGTTCAAAGATGGACAGAAACAGTGGATTTTTTTCAGTTGTGAAGCAAGAGTGGAATTTTGTTTATCTGATTGAGACAGTTTTGGTGGTCTAGTTTTGAAAGCTGCTATTTTTTCACTGATTTTCCATACATATTCTCATCATGGAAGTGGATTATCTTGTATTTAATCCCCTCTGGAGGATCTTCTTTAACCATTCTAGAAGCACATGAGAAACACATGTGCAACGCAGCTAAGGGGTGTTTGAGTAGTTGAGTAACTTACTTAGTTGCCGTTTTGACTGGAAATTAAATAAAGAAGTCTCTAGCTTTTGCACAGTACTGTACATCTATAGACTACTTATCTTATAGATTTTAATGACTTCTACTGCCTGTGAATAGCCTTCAGCTAAATAACCCTGCAGCAAAATACAGAACTCTCAAGCGCATGGTTAAATATAATTAGCGCTGTAGTTGTGATCATGTTGTGTCAAAAATAATGCTATCACAAATAGAATCTCTGTGATTTATACTTGAACTGGGTTTAAGTGTGTGTATTCTATGGTTTGTAGGACAGTGCGTAACCTGGGTGTGATGAACGGAGCGCTGTTGTTAGGGATGAAGCGTGATGACATACGAGCTGTGTGCCCAGAGGAAGGAGGCCGAGTCTTCTTCCAGCTGCAGGCCGTCAAATCAGCTATGGCAGTACGTAACAGCACATACACACACGCGCTAATAATAATGTAAAATAATACACCTATGGAAAGGTTATGTGTATATGTACATATGTGAAGTTTTACTTGTCTTTTATGCTCTACAGCTTGCCAGTGAGGCAGAATATAACCAGTACGGTGGCCATTAATCCAGACCTCTTGGACCTTGATGTTGGCAGGATGTGTGATTTCACCGAAGAGAACTGCACAGTGATTACATTATTAAAATGTATATGCTAGTAAACATGATTATCTGAGAAAAATGAGAACTGTACAATTACATACATCCACAAAATGATTTCACTTAAAATCTATAGTAACCTGCAAAAGTCCTCAGAAACTTTAACTGATTACAGCTTTAACCCTCAATACTGCTTATGTGTCAAGAAAATGTTGCATGTTCTTCTATTTACCTCAGTGTTGTCATAAACATGAATTTGTATGTTTGATTACTACTATCTAAAATGTTCAGAAACTTGTTTTAAACTGAACAGAAAAGGCGCAAAGTTAAGAGTCAAGTGCTAAAGTGTGTAAGATCCCTATTCGTTGGGCTATACATCCTGAAATTACCTAAGTACAGTTTTGCAGGCCTCACTGTTTGAATTTCACACATTCAGGAAAAGGAATAAGAAGTAAAAAGGGAGTAAAATGGAAATAAGTGTTCCAGCTTTTATTATGTCAATAATGGATAGAACTCAAGGCTTTTCTGGACATGTACATCACTTTAAAATTGAAATAAAACTTTCAATAAAAGTCTAACAAAGCAACAGTGCTCGTCAGTCACTCCACGACCCAAAAAAAGCCCTTCTTCCTCTATGAACAACTTTTAACTCAAATAAGTGCTGTGCTAAGGTCTTCGCAGTGTATTGTTTGTTAGTGTACTGACAAAATAAAAATGACCCTAATGTGAAGAGCGGCGACTATATTACTGGGATGTACACTGATCACTACAAACTGTTCTGTGCACAGCTACATTTAAGGCATTTTAGAGTTGTGTATGGTGTAAAACATCATTTGGCAAAAATTAGTCTTCTATTAGTATTACTTCTAGTACCAAATCTTCAAAGCACTATGACAAAGGAACACTTTGTTCACTCCTTCTTGTTGCCCCATTTAGCCATCTTGTTGTTCACTGGCGTCTTCATAAACCTGCTCGACTTCATGTAAGCAGATATTTTCTCAAGGGCCTTAAATGAAATAAAGGAAAGTGCAATGACTAATTAATCAGTTCATAAAATATATTTCCTTTTGTAAAACGTCTTCTTGTTTTATGAAGGTCAATACAGCAACACTTGCAGTTTCAAACATTATAGAAGAGATCAAAAAAGTATTTTTAAATAGCAGCATACAGCATGTGATCCAAACCTCAAATCGGTCCAGCAAATCTTTCAGGTTCTTGAAGTCGTCCAGGCACTTGGGCTCAAACATGCGGTGCTGGTCCAACAGCTCGTACATGATGAAGTCCACAAATGTGATCTACATCAACAAAGCAGAGTAGACGCAGAAATGTCTGAGCTCTACACTACAACATGATTCGCAATATGATTACAGTTGTGCAAAAGTCTGAATACCCCTGTTCAAATTACATGATTTATTTGCTTTTGTAAAATAAGTTAACACATTCTCTGACTTTTTATGTTCCTTTCTTTTTCCTTCTTCTTCTTCTTTTTTTTTTTACCTTGTCACCAGCAAACCACTTCCTCTCGCCCAAGAAGTTAGAGAATTGCTTAAGAACTCCTGGCAGCGCCTTCAAGTATGCTTGCTTATTAGTGTCCTGATAGAAATGAAAAATATAATATACAGGTTATACATCACTCTGCTCATGCAGTGGACAATAACAGATTTATAGTGTCACCAAAACAGTGAACACTCACATATTCCCTATAGCAGAGGATGACAAAACCATTGCGAAAGTCCATCGCCTGATTCTCCAGGATGTCCACTCGGATCTTCTCATCTTCTGTCTCTCCACCTAGCAGCATAGTAAACTAAACGTGAATAAAGACAAGAACCTTCAAGGTTTAGTGCAAGATGAGTTTTCAAATTACTTTTGCAACTGCTTCTAAATGACAACAGTCACCACATAGCATAAGTTATATATCTGCAAGTGCTAAGCTTAAAAATGACAATCCAATAATTAAGAGAATGGATCCTCTGCAACAAGGAAACAAATGGGAAATCTGAAAAGTTGAATGAATGAACTGAAATCAACACTCACAGAGGTTGTGCTTGCGGGCAATGTATCTCATTATGGCATTGCTCTGCACAATCTTCCTGTCACCATCTTCAAGGTAGGGCAACTAAAACGATAACTCAGTTATTTCCTTCTGCTTGTAACACCAAGACACTTTGCTTCAGCCTTTGCTTCAAAACTTACATTAGGGAAGTCCATTTGGAGTTTGGCCTTCTCTTCAAACCAGCAGCTTTTGTCATAATTGGGAGCTGAAGATGAAGAAAGATCAGATCACTGCAGCAAACCTCAATGAGGGTGTAATGATACATGCATTTTCCATTACAAGGTCAGGATTTGATGATAATTATGTTTTGATTTTACAGAGTTCTACATAGTATGACAGGCTGAACATGTAATGAGTCAGAATCATGACCTTAGAAAAGCACAACTGAGCGATGAGCAATACAAAAACCTGAAGTTCCATGTATAAAACCTCCCACCAGCATCCCAAAACTGAACTAACATCAAATGTCACAAGCACAATTAAAATATGTACAAAATCTACATGAAGGTTGACTTTAAGCATTACCTATATAACCAAGTTACTTTTTCAGTTTGTTTTTCATATTTTGTGATTTCCACAAAGCACAGTAAATGGGAGACTGTCAGCAGATGGGCATATTTTAAAATATTTTAATTTATGTTCAGTTTTCAGTACTGTACTGAAATCATTACACCCTTACATGAGATGTTTTACCTAAAGTTTAGGGCCAAAATAGTAAAGCTGTCAGCTCTGGCATAAACAGACAGAGTACACAGACATACAAGGGAAAAGACCCAAATACACCCGAGTATATCGAAGTAAACATACCTTTCTATATTAATTTTTCAGCTTTTATTGACAATAAAATTATAAGATTAATCTCTCTCTCTCAGAATAAATCAAGCATGTTTTAAATGATTAGATATTTTTTAAAAAGCAACAAAATAAAGAACAACAAAGTCTGCAATTCCAGTGGTTGTTTTAAAAATATGAATAATTAAATCATTAAGATGCAAACAAATTCAATCAGAGTGGTTTGTGATTTGATGTGAAATGCGCTGTTCAGAAAAAATTGACCAGGTCAGAACTGTTCACAGTGGAGAAGGCAGAAACCAGATTGCAGTGGAGTTTAATGCCTCTAAAAGTTACATCACAGAAAGTTACAAATATGCTGCCTATGTCTCAGAGTTACATGCGTGTTGGTGTAAGCCTAGCTCAGATTTACCACTGTTTTACCATTATTAACATTACATAAATAAAAAGTCAGACAGGTGTAGGCTGACTGGCTGTTTTGGATAGTAAATAAAACAGCTATGTTTGACCTGTGGACCTATGACCCCTGGTTCCCATCACCACCACTGTAAAGAAATCAGTCATCAGAGCTGTAACAGTGAAACCAGCAGGTTAATATGTTTGACACAACGAGCTGCTCTGCATCTCCAGCTGAATGAGCTGTCTGAAAGAAAGAAAGAAAGAAAGAAAGAAAGAAAGAAAAGTGTCTGGATTACCACTGTTCAGTTCTTCTTACCTTCTCCACAGGAGTAGAATTTGTCCTCAAACTTGGTGCCGGTGTACTCCAGCAGCAGACGGATAGGCTGGGCGAGCTGTTCAACACAAAACATAACGAATTACATGACAAGTGGGCGTAACCTACTTACTGAACACTGTAACCGTCAGACAGCAGCCATTATCTCGAGTTCAGGTTCAGTCAGTGGAGTGCAGGCAGTTTAGTACAGCTGCAGCTGAACCACGCAGACGCCAAAATACAGAAACTCGCTGCAGGATTGCATGTAAATTGAACTAATTTTCCTCTTTGCTTGCTACAAACCGACTGTAAAAATCGAAGTTTCTCACCATCAACGTGCATAAACAGGCCTTAAACGTGCTAAATCAGTAAAATCATGCAAATACGTCGCTTTTTTCTAGCATTTTCTTTCAATGCACGTGCCCCGTTGTTGGCTACACATCCTTCTCTAACGGCTGCTTCTTTTCAACGCACATTAAAGTGTTTCACAGCAACCAGTGCCTGTTCAAATCCTCAAATCTGTCTGACTTACAGCCAAACACTCTCCTGTGCTCGTTTCTTACCCCTCGAATATCCCAGTAAACCAGTTTCATCGTCATCTTGAAGCAGCTCAAGCGTCAAACTCAGTTCCTCGACAGAGGGTCAGTCAGTTCACTTAAACGGAATCCAGCGCAGCGAGCAGAGCTGCGGCATCACAGCCAATCACCGAGAGGGGGCGTGTCCCGGCGCCACTGCTCAAAGCGTCATTACGTAAGCAGTTATATGTGTAGCACATTCAGAGACACTGGTAAAATTCCCTTTGCAATGGATAGAAGTGGGCTAGAGGTCTTTCTGTGAAGTGTAGAGCAGAATAAAAAGCAGATTTATTTCCGAACTTTATGTTTTTTTTTTTCTCAGTATTAACATCTGAAAAAGAAGTCACATTCACAGAACTTAAGATACTCCTTTCTTCAACAAAAGACCCCCAAATGCCTCGAAACACACAAACTCGTTTGCAGCTTAGTTAGAAAGATGCTCTAACTAAAGATAAGGGGCAAAACAGTAAAGCTTATGTAGGTCTGGTATGAACGGACAGTGCATGAAATAGGAGGAAAGCCTAAGTAAACACGTTTCATATGGGTTTTTCAGTTTTTAGTTAAATATTTTATCATGAAATAAAATATGAATTTAACATAATCAAGCAAATTGTATATGATTCATTTAAAAATACAATGAAATAAAGAACAGAAAAATCTAGACTGGGCCCCTAAATGGTTCCCCATAACCTTTTAAGCCCACTTGCATTCCTAATAATCCACTCATTGTTTTATTTCAGAAACAAGTGATTAATTTTGTGCATACAGTCCATGAAATTATATTTGTCTCATGTGGTATGTGGCCTCATTAGGGCATTTTCTCCTATGTGATATTGTTCCATGTTCCACTTTTTGTACATTCGGTCAAAATTTGCACTAAAATACAGATCATTTATGTACCTGTATTGTACCAAATGGAAAACTTGTGAAAACAAAACTTCTGAAAAGGTTGCGATCAGTTTGACCTTAAGGCGGGCGCATAGCCCAAGCCTTTTCAATGAAGCGGCCAGGCTAGACACAGCAGTTCTGTTAGGGTGGTAAACCGCTGGGTGAAAAAAGTGTGCGGTGACATTATGAGAGAATTATACTTGGCTGGGTAACAAGCTAATCTTCTGTAGCATTAGCAGGAGCTTACTCAACACTGGATTCACCTCTGAGGAAATCTAGCCTGCATCATTAAACATGTACTCAGCTGTGAAAAGTATTTAGCTGACAGATAAACAACAGACATAACTAGACGATAGTAAATGTCAGTAGCTACAAGTTATGATAGTTATGTCATCTTTCCATCTTATAAGTTACTTCATATAATGTAGCTCACAGAGCAGCACTGCTGAAGACTACCAGGTAAATTATTAGTGTGGTAATAATTCTTTGAAGATGAACAAAATAGCATTATTAACAAGTCAACCACATTTTTTGACAGAGTTTCACTCTGGAAAACAGAACGTGATTCTGTCCTGTTTCCCATTAAATCATGTGAAAAACATTACATATTTTTTATTCCCTGTACGATTTCTACTCTGCTGAACACTGTTAAGATCAAGTTACAGTAACATTACAGTAAACCACATACAGCACAACATATAGCAAAAATACTGTAATACCCTGATGTAGAGATTTAAATAGGTGTTTCTAATTGTTTTCCTAATGTAGAAAGCCAGTTTTAGCTGCTTCCTAAAGCAAAATTAGGATTTAGTTAAGTTTTAGAGCAGCTTTCACTCACCTATGAGATCTGCTGATCACAGAGTGCAGCATCAGATCAGAACTGATAAATACTCATTCCCATGCCTTACTAATTCACGGCCATGCATTAGGATCTCGTTCCTACACCTTACTAAGTTGTGCCCACGACTTAATTATCTCTTTTCCACCCCTAACTAAGTTGTGGCCTTGCATTAGGATTTTGTTCCTACGCCTTACTAAGTTGTGGCCACGACTTACTTCTTTCTTTCCCATGCCTTATTTAGTCATGGCCACACATTATTTTTATTTTATACAGGATGTCACCAGCAGGGCTCCATAGGGGTTTGTGTGTAAATGTATAATGTTCAGGGGCTGTGCCGTTGTTATGAGAGTGATGTGGAAATTTTCTAAAAATGTGTGTTAGGCAGTGAGAAAGTAAGTCTCAGCTCCAGTGTATTGAAATAAAATCTGTTTCAGGAGATGATTTACAGTAAGTTACTCTTACCTTTAATTATACCATTGTAAGTGTGCCTAGTCAAATACAGCTGGCACTGGAGAGCCTCTTTTCTCATGCTGAATGAAGAGTGTGTGAAGTAGTGTTTAAAACCTGATACTAGTCTAAAACGAGTCTTTAAATGGTAATCAGGGCTTAACAAATTAAAAATTAGCTGTTTAAAAAGATTTTTAAAAACACAAATCCAGACAAAACATGTTTATTTAACAAGTTTAAGCCATGTTAACATTTTATGTTTACTCGTTGTCTTTGTTACAGATTCCATTCTTTTCAGGAGACTTGCTTTCAGTTTTTCCAGAGAAATCTGCAGGGATATTTGTTCACACCTCCGAAGTTCAGTCTTTGTTGCATTTCCTGCTTCTCACAATCCAAGCACACATTCAGTGATGTCGAAGTCTGGAGGTCCGTTCTTCTGAGAACACCAGCAGCTTCTTTGTTTCATTCGCAACTTTGTTCCTTTTCTCAGTAATGGCTTCTTGACAGCTACACGTCTTTTCAGACTCATAGTATTGAGTTGTCCTCTCACAGTGGAAGAATGGACAGAAACACCTGTGGATGTTTTCAGATCTGAAGAGTGGAGCTTGATTTTCTCCTTTCTCAAAAAGATGAAAGCTTTAAGTACTGTTTATCTGATGGTGACACTTTTGGTGGTCTGCCAGGTCTTGCACAGTTGTTAGGAGTCACGTGTTCTCTGTATCTTTTAAAATCTCTTAATATATTTTCCTTTTTTTTCTTTTTTTACTTATTTTCCTTTCTCATGCAAGGTCTTTCCTTTATTATATTACTCTCCCCTTCCTTCGGCAAGTAGAATATCTCATATCTAATCTCCTCAGAAATGTCTGCTAAAAATGAATAATTTGTATTTAATGGTCGTTTACATTTCATATTTATGTGTGTGTGTGTGTGTGTGTGTGTGGGTGGGTGTGGGTGTGCCATAGTTAAGTGTGACTTAATGTACAGCTTCACTATTATGTTTGAAAAAGCTGTTTGCAGGCTATTCTTCAGTTTATCTGGACCAGAGGTAACCCCAACCCCCCCCACTTTGCCTCAAACACTGACCTCTAAACCCAGGATCAAGTACAATAGGAACTAGAGGCAGAGGTGTAGCCAGGGGGTGGCCAGGAATGAAGCATGGCAGCCCTTCTGGCCACCCCTATTATGGAAAGTGAGACAGCCAGCCATCATTAATAAAATGAAATCAATGTATGTCATTTGCATTTATGCAATTAGAAGCTTATCTTGCTGTGATAATTTATTCAAACAGCAAACAGGTGAGTGAGTGTGCACTGGGTCCCTTCAGCAGTGCTGATCTGTGAGCTACATTATGCAGTAGGCTATACGATGGTAAGATATGTTAACTAGCAAAAATTAGTCAGCTATAATCATTTATAACAATAATATCTTTTTACAGTTGAATACATGCATGTATTGTAGGTTACCTTATACAGTGCTGTGGGGCTAGCTTTCTAATCATTAGACTCATATATAACCTGTAGTGAATGCAACCTAAATAAATAACTTCTATGGCCTGTCTATGTGAAAAGAGTAATGCATTTAATTTACCTGATTCAAATACATAATTTCCTCATGAATGACTAAAATATGTTACATCAACACAGTTTTGTCTTTCTTTGTTAATTTCAGCAGTAGTTATATTGATGTAAAAAAAACATTGGGACTCAATGTTTGGGACTCACTAATATCCTCCTAAGTTTTTTCTTAAATTTGTTTTTGAGAAAGGTCCTAAGGAAAAGTCTACATCAGATTCATGACGTGTTAAACTGCAGAATAGTTCGCAACTTTGTGGGTGTAGATTCAATTCCTAAGTAAGAACACATTTCAAATAAGAAAACATTGGTAAATTGGTAAATCTTTGTGAAAACTAAGTGGGTTTAAGGAAGAAATTCCTTCTTAAGAACGTTTGGTAAATGAGGACCATTGTCATTTTAATACAGTAATGCTATTTTATTTATCTTCTTCTTAGCTTTTTGCCATCCTGAGAAAATCACTGGTTCTTACATTGCCACCCCATTCTAAAAGTTCTATATATGCCCCTGACTTAAAGGTCTGGTTTGGTTGAAGGGTTGGTGGGTGTGAGACAATGTAATGGGTGTGAGATTTCTGACTAAAATCTTCGTGTTTCATTGTATATAACAATATCAAAATCATGAACAATGAAAATTGATAATGTTGGCATATAAAGATGGCAAAAGATCCAAAATCATCTCAAAATCTTTTAATCAGGAGATACCAGACCAGAGGAAAATAGACTTGACTTTTGATATGAAATTCTCATTCGCAATAAATAACAATGCAATCACAATAATCCAAGTACACACACATACAAAAAGAACGGATTCCAATGGTTAAATCCACCAATAAAACATACAGCATCTTCAATAATAAACACGGAGCACTACCAGGTCAAATCAAGATAAGAATACAACACACATTTATAAATGAAAGACGAGGGAGGTTTGTTTGTAATGAGGTTCAGCTCACGGACACAGTGTAGAATAGCAGCCCTGCTGCATGGGAGCTTCATCCATGCAAGCCATCACAAGTGTCCACAGTACACTGTACAATGTCCATGATCCATTATCTAAGTCTCTATTTGAGCTCTAGTCAGGATTGGCAGCAACTGCCAGACCAGTTTTATCATGCCAATGCTATAAAATTGAATTGGAAATGCAATAAACAAACAATAACAACACAAAACTGCAGCAAAACAGCAATAAGTACATCTGCCATGCTTGCTGGTAATCAACTTGGAAGAAGTCCTGGTGTTGCCTTGGCAATTCCTGACTGGAGCTTTGACCATTTGTGGAAAACTGACCACTAGTTGTTGACAACATGAGGTGTTTCACCTTGAGGAATGGCATTTGTGCAGGTAGTACTGATGCTAGGCTATGTAGTTCCGAGCCAACGCTGCATCTGCAAAATGTAATTTCCACACAGGCTGCATCGAATTTACATAATTCAAATGTGTACAGCATTTCTGCATGTGTAAAATATATTACATCACCACAGTTGTGTCTCTCAGTTTGCTTGCTTTTAATTGTGTTGATGTATTGTATTTTAATAATATGGAAATGATGTACACATTTGAATCAGGTATGCTCAGTGCATTACATTACTTCAGTGCAGCCAACATTCATCTCTAATGTGCCTACTGTTCACTCGGCACTGCGCTCATGCACAGAGAGCCTTCCTCCTCAATCGTCTCCAGCTCCTCGCTCCTTACTGCCTGTGTGATCAGATTCAGCTCCTCACACATTGTCTCGAAGCGGTAGGCCACGCGAATGTCCGGCACATTGGTCCGGCGGATGTCGTTCCCTTCAGGGCCTTCTTTGATGTAGCTGGGGCCCAGCCAGTAACTCTTCACCTAAACAGAGAGGAAGCGCTAATCATGTATTCTATATATATTTACTGTGTATTTGCACAACAGCTCTTGTATTTGTATAATCATTAAAAATATCTTACATTGGTAGTTTGGTGAGAAAATCAGATTTACCCAGTTTTCCCTTTAGCCCTAATCGCCAAATGTAGTTGATCACTCAGCACATTTTATGTCAAAAGCTTGCTTTTTTGGTTTTGCACTGTAGATTCATGACCACTAATTAGCACTGGGCAGACTGCATACCTAAATCACCACACTTGACAATACGGCAAAAATCTAATATCGCAATAGATATTTTCACCATACACGATACGTCACACTATTTTTTTTTCAGAGAACAAAGAAAAAAGAACGAGTAGTGCTACATTTTAACACATTACTATCAAAAACTGTGAACACAATGATTTTTATTCAATATTTTTTCATACTGTATTGCACTAAATCCATTTAAACAAGACAAAATTTGCTCTCTTTATAATGAAACATACAGTTGGTCAGTGTTCTGCCAGTACTGACGATATTCCCAAAATATTGAGAAAAGCATATTGTATTGTACTGTGACATAATTTATCAGAATAATGATATACATTGTGGTATTGCCGAGCCCTACATTGCCATATGCAAAAGTATTGGTGCCCCTGGTCAAATTATGTTTTAGTTGATTTTCTAAGCTTTAATAAATACACATCCTCTAAAGTGAACACACTTGTGCACATTTTAATACACAGTTACTTTTTTATTTGCTGAATTTAACAGAAAACATTAACACATTAAATGAGGTCTGTGTGAAAGTTATGGGATATTTAATATTTTGTGTTTTATCTTTTCTTGCAAAATATTAAACCAAATTGAAAAATGAATAGAAACTGTGTGCTAACGTTTGCTGAAAAATGCCAGATTTAAGTGTGTTCTCTGTAGAGGATGTGTACTTCCACTTAGAAAATCAACAGAACATGTCATTTGGTCAGGGGTGGTCAAAGTTTTGCTTTCAACTGTATGTGGTTTCTGACACTGTGTGGCACACTGTTATTTAGGACTGAACAATTTGGTAAAAATATCTAATTGTGATTTTTTTAAACAATATCGTGAATGTGATTCAAATATGATTATGTTCTTTAGACTGAGCTTCGGGTGTTTATTTTTTATGTCATGATCAGCTGCAATTAAGATAAGGGGAAAATTGAGCAAGTCTGATTTTTCACTAACCTCTTGCTTTAAAATGTAAACCAACTAGCTTAGACTATACCCCGTACATCCTTTGGTTGGCAACCTCTGTACATTTTTACCACATCTGAATAATTCATTAGCTAACTATCTAACCCTCCTTGAGCCTAAGTGTGTCAGCAGTAAAAATACAATAAGAGAAGAGAATGGAGTCTTTAGGTTTGATAACCAGTGCTATACATCAAAGCTCTACATGCCATATGCTATGAAGATGCCATGATATACTACACTTAATGTACTAGATAATTGTGCAGTAATCATGAAAAAGATAATTCTTGTTGATTTAGGTGGTGGGAGTGATAAATGTTGAGTACGTGTACATGACTTTGTGGCAGAGTGAGTCAGCACCTTGTGGGAGAAACCACTCATGAGGACGCTGTTTCTGGCCAGTTCACACATATCACATGAGCTGAGCTTCCACACCTGAGCGGCTATGCTGTATTCCTCCATCAGCGGCTCCTGCAACACACACGTTTGGCTGGTGAATAACGGCAATCCTTTTTGCTCATTTTTAATGTTCAGTGTTTAATGTTTATTTTTAGGGTCTACTAGAATGGATTTACATGCCTCAATGCTCCAAAAACACATACATTTTCTCATACTGTATCTCTATTCACCCTTTTCCTGAAACACTCTATTAGAGCTCCTCTTCCCTTAAGCCATCCCCACCCGAGCGTGCTCTGATTGGTCAGCTTGTCCACTCTTTTCTACTTGGTCCACTGCCAGAGCAGTTCTGACCCACACATTCTGCCCCTGTCTTGCAGTCTGCAGACAGACCCTTCTCTCCTGAGCAGCTGGAAACACCAGTGTGGCAATTTTTCCAATGGTGTTAGTTCTGCCATATCAGTTTGAGCCAGAGTCAGATCCTGAAAGTCTTCTAGACATGGCCACAAACCTGAACAAACTCTTCCTGGACTCTAGTAGACTTAGTAGACCTACAGTTGCTGTGCGTTGTGCGTTGCTGTGTGTACGAGACTGTGTCATTGTAACAAAGGAAAAGGGCTGGAATTCCAACGTGGAATAGGAAAGTGGTTTCTGTGGAAGAGAGTTTCTACCTCTGGCGTGTACTTGGGGTTTGTAACTTTGCAGACCGTTTAAATCATATGGCTATATAACACACTAAAGGAAAGGGAAAAACCAGAAAAAACACAACAGGTCCCCTTTAATAAAAAGTTTTCATGTCAGCACTCAAAGCCACTCAGGCGCTTCAGCGGTTTAAAGGGGAATTCAACTCTAAATTCAATTTCTTAACATTTTTGACTTCTGATTAGAACCAAAGGTTGCAATGTTTACATTGCAAATATTGCCATTTTATTTATAATTCAAAATAGCCAGTGAACCTACCCGTCTTTTGAGTTTTTATGTAATGTTTATAATGGTAAAATAGTGGTACATCTGAAAAAAGTTTTTTTGTTTCAGACATAAGACAGCATATTTGTTTCTCTAGAATGGAGTATTTCACACCAAAACACTCCAAATGACTATGGCAAAAATTTGAACAATCCGTGGAATTTGCCTTTAAACCAACATTGCTACCAAGGATTTTCAAAATGTGTTTTTAACAATCGCTTGAAAAGACTGTCAAATTATTGTTTAGGCAAAACTTACTTTTCATGAACCCTGCAGAAAACACAAAGCTGAGTGTTGTAAAATATACCCAAACATTACTCAAAAGATTTCAAAAGAAGGCAAAGAGTATTAAAAAATGTAAAAATAAAATAAAACAGTATCTATTGGAATAGGTTTCAGACAGATTATCCCCTTAAAATATGTATGTTACATACTAAGGCTTATTACTTATAACTACAGGGACTTCAATGTAAACTGGTTAGGCTATTCTTGGGTTATAGAAGTGAGTAATAAAACTTTGGGCCAACCGGCAGGCCCTGGTCTGATAAGGGGTTAAGAGACAATTTCAGCTGCAAATACAGCCATTGTTCCAGGTTTGACTGATGAACACAAATGGCAGTGTATCTGTACACTCTTCAAAATAAAGTGTTCTTAAAAAGGATTCTTTGGAGAGATGCCACAGAAGAACCACTATTTGTTCCCTAAAGAACCTTTCAATTAAGTGTTGTCAATGAGTTCTTTTAAGAACTATTCATCCAACATTCTTTAGGTAACCCAAAGTGGTTGTTCTATGTCATCTCTCCAAAAAAAACCTTTTGGCACCTTTTTTTTGAAGAGTATACAAATACGTTGCTGCTTGTGTTCATCAGTCAAACCTGGGGCACATTCAATCTGAAAACGCTGCGCACTGTTTTGCTACGGTTTCTGGGTTGAACGACATGTTTCATCAAAATGGTGGGCAACTGGCTTTGAAGTATGTTTTCTCTCATTTGATGGGTGAAGCGATGTCAGCCATTCAGCAGTGACACGTATAGAAACCCCACCATACTAAAAAGGCAGTGCACACAATAGATTCTAAGAAAGTCCTCTACAAATGCAACTGCAGCAGCTTGGTGTGCACAACAATTGAAGACGTTAAAAGACATGTTTGTCGTATTTTATCGATAGAATATGCTAGAAGGAAGCCAAGAATGGCGTTCTCAGCTGCCATAGTTTCAACAGTGCGTAACACAACAGACTGTTCAACGCACCACCATTTCTGTTTAAATAAACACTGTGGTACGTTTTGACGGGGCTGAATGCAGCCCTGAACATGCTGCAAACAAACTCCACTCTGAGAACTGCTGTTATATTATAGATATGTCTCTTAATTGAATAATCTGAAATCGAAGTGACTGTAAACAAGTTTCTTCAAGGTCTAGTATCTAGGTAGAAGTACTTGTTGCTGGCTGAGAAGGTGCTCACCTTTGTGAAATGGAACTGCAAAGGGTCATCAGTAGATAAGGAAACCATGAGGCCTCTGGACAGGTACTCAGGCAGCGGGTTACGATGGTAGCTGAGAAACAGGCTGTTGTTGCTGAGAGGAGACATAGCAATGCCAATCTGAGCCAGATAATACAGATACTGCAGCACTGGAGCCTGCAAAGAAATACAAATATACACTATCAGGACAAAAGTATTGGGACACCTACACATTTCACCTCCAGGAGCTTTTGTGACATCCTATTCTAAATCCATAGGCATTAACGTGGAGTTGGTCCCCCCTTTGCAGCTAGTCCATCTCACTTGCACAGAAAGACCACACTGGTATATCTTTACTGGTGCTGGAATATTGGAATTGCTCAAAGGCTAGTAACACTGATAGTGAGTAAAATCATACAATAAATCATATGAAGATTCTTTTTAAAAGTTGTCACGTCAGTAGAAATGAAGTGTCCTAGACGGGTCCTTTTCTCACCTTCCTGAGCAGCAGCCCATGACAGATGTTCTCAGAGAGCATGAAGCCGGACACCAGATGGTGGATGGGTCCTGCCTCACCACAGTGCGGCCTCAGCACGAACGTGTTAAAGTTCCTTCTCCTGTAGGAAAAAGAGGGCTGATTTGTGAACACCATCACATTCACAGTCACAGCACAATCACAAATGATAATAAAGAGAATTCTGTTTATATATTGTCACCATCAAAACAAAAATGTATCTCAGAAATGGTAACTATGCAAAAAGGGGAAAATATGTTCTTATCTTTTAAGTGTACCCATATCATGAAAAAATGAACTTTCTCACTTAATTTCAACAAAAGTAATGTAAACATGAAAGATTCAAAACATACTATTCTCTTCTAAGACTATACAGTCCATATATGGAAACTAAGCTGTTACAAAAACCAACATATTTACATTTACCTGCCTATTCAGCCTACAGCAGTTTAACCCTGCCTGTTGATGTGTGTTTTGACCTGGACTGCTTTGTTGAATGAGGTGCTATACAGGACAGCCAATCAGGACACAGTCCATTTACATATATCTTAAAGGTACAGTAACAAAGAGCCTGTTTAATTCTGAGAGAGCTTGGAAAATGTTCATATAAAAATGAATTGAGGTGATTTTTGGTACATAAAACCACACAAATGTCATAACTAGACCTCAGGGGAAGATAACATACTAGAAAATGCAGGATATGTGCCCTTTAATGCAATGATATTGTATTCCAAGTCATTCTGGACCATTTCTATTGACTCATTCAGCAAGATTTTTTCACACAATTCATCTTTGTGTGATGGTTGAAATATTGTTCACAAAAAAATCAGATAAAATATACTGCAACATCACCAAATATGCATTTCTAAGGAGAATCCTTAGAAACATGAGCGTGCTGTACAAAGAGCACTTATAATAGGCCTGTTTTTTAAATTTGCATATTAAAGTGAGAATCTGGCGAAAGCCACATTTACATAAGTTGCTCCTTAACCCAAATGTAGTCAATCAGTTAAGAAATGTTTTGTTTCTTTAGTTTTGCTTCTTTAGTTTTACACTGCTGCTATGAGGCTAATGTAGCGAACAAGTGATGGAAAATTATAAGTACCAATTAGCACTGTGTGAGCTGCATGCCTTAGTCGTCACATATTTACCTCAAACATGTCTTGGCTGATCAACTACATTTAGGGAAATTGTGTAAACCATAATTTTAACAGCCTTGCAGTAAGCAGTGGATCAGAACTTACCTGCGCAGGTGGTTGAGCACAGTCATGTTGGCGTACATGTAGTAGAGATAGTAGGAGTAAGGAGGATTATCCTCCTCTATCCAGTTGGCAGGTAGAGGACTGTCCAGGTTAAAGATGTGCTGCTCTGGTTTGGACTCGTCGTCCACGCTGTCAAAGCCAACCACCTGAAGGACACTGCAGTATTTAGTCTCAGAGCACTGATGAGGTGCTTTGTAAAAGAAAATGTGGTTGCCATGTTGTAGGCGAAACCACTGTAGCATAACTGCGGTTAGTCTAGATTTTTTTTAACAGTGTAATACCCACAGTGTCAGTGATGAAGCTGCATGAGATCAGTGGTAAATTGTGCCATGAGAGATGACCTAGGAGTAAAACACACATTCTACACTATTTTGTCACAGGGTGAAATTTAAAAAAATAAACTTTAATTCACTGACTGGTGAACGTATCACACGCTTTATAATATCTATATTTTTAGGCCAGGCAGTAATGGGATCTGGTTGGACAATGTCTGATGTGTATTGTTGTATAAAATACAGTGTTGTCAGTTAATTACTTACATGCTGCAGGAAGAGGTGCAGCTCTGGGTGGCTACATGGGTTGATAGTTACTTCAAACAGGGGCAAAAAGATGTTCTCCAGCATCTCCTGGAAATTGCAGAGCTGTTTTTTTGTGTGGTAGACATCACTGCAGAGAAGGAACACAGGCAACCACGTTACCAAAAACCTTGCCTTGTGATTTTAAAGCTGCACTATGTAGGTTTGGCAGATTTGGATTGCATGCAAGAACATTTTATAACGTTGGTTGTGCTTCGGACCATCAAGCATAGATGAATCTGATGTTTGTCAGTGTATTGAAAGAGTATTGAAAGAGAGCTCAGTGTAAATTTAGGTGAAGGATGTGTCTTCTGAGGATGTAAGTAAATTATCTACTATTGTGATCGTTTGATTTTACATTTGAGATCTAAACATCATGCCAGACCTTCTTTTTAAGCCTGTGTGACGTTAATACGTGAAGACGCATGACGTGGTCCGAAAGATTCCTGAGAAATCTGACCCGACGCCTCTGACTTTTAAATGATTCTTTCTGGCATGTTTCTTCTCCTGACTCACTAAAGCTTCTAAAGCTTCTTCTTTTAATTAAAAAAATGTAGTAGTGTTACTTAAAACTGCAGACATGTAAATTTTTTCCTACTTTGCGCACAGAACAGCCATATTCTATCTGATCTATACTGTTGAAAATACCCTCTACATTTAATTTTATACACTGTGGATATGTATCTATCTTTTACAGACTGTACCCTGTAAAGTGTAAAACAAAAATTCAGTCAGGTGTCAGATTTTGCAGGAGTTTTTCATGCTACGTCATACGTCTTTGCACATTAATGTCACACACACAGAATAAAAAGGAAGGTTTGGCTCAATGTTTAGGTCTCAAATGCAAGATCAACATTATACTGATGAAGATATGATGACGATAGTAGATAATGCACTCAAATCCTCAGAGGACACATTCCTCACAGAGTTTTGTCGGAGTTCTCTGTCAATACTCTTTTAATGCGCTCGTAAACTTCAGATTTATCTACACATGAGGGTTGGTAGTGGTCAGTATAGTGTAGTGGGTAACACTGCTGCCTGCCAGGCTGCAGACTAGGGGTCAATCCCTCATCTGTGCAAGAACCTCACACTATACCAAAAAAGAGTACTTGGGCAAGCCGCTCTGGATAAGAGCATGTGCAAAAATGCCACTGATATGTAAAAACTGTTTACATTTATTTTACACATATGCATTTCATTCATGCATTTGTTGCATGAAAAACAGTGGAATCATTTATGTCGTATCAGGTAAGACATCAGCACTCACAATAGCCGAGGCACCTGGACAAGCCAGCGGACGTTGTCGGAGTAGACCTGGTGTGTGACTGCCCACTGGGCCAGTTTATCCCACTCATCCCTTGAGCGGCCATAGATGGAGAGGCGCAGCTCAACGTTCTGATATTTACTTTCCTCAAGGTCCGCCATCACCTCCTGAAATGCACCGACACGTCATGGTCAGCAGAGGGAGACAAACAATGCAGACAGTCCACACAGACTACACAAAACATCATAGACAACATGATATACATACGAACACACCAGATATGGTGTAATTAGGCTTGATATTATTTAGATAAAACATTTTTGAAATCTGAAATCTATTATCATAAGCTATAAGCTTTTCTAGTTCTATAAAAATCTATCGATTATTAACTGAAAAACCACAAGCTATAAGCTGTTTTTATAAAAATCTATCTAATATCTACTGAAGAAGCTGCAATCATATGCAAAAGTTTGGATGCCCCAGTGAAATTATGTTTTGTTGATTTTGAAGTTACACATCGTCTACAGTGAACACACTACTGCACATTTTAATGCATGATTACTGTTTATTTGCCGAATTTAACATATTGGGAACACACCCATAAAATGTGGTATCATATGGTAACAAGTAAATTAACTAGTTTTGTTCAACCTAAATAAACACTTTGAATGAACGATTTTTTCAATCAATGTATTTTTGTGTTAAAACTAGAATAAATCTAGTTCTATTGCTTGTTACTACATGAAGTAATTTTTTAGGCTGAACTGATGAGCCATTTTTTACAGTGTACGTTATTTTTTTTTCAATATGTTAATCTCAGAAATTGTGCTCTAGTATTTGTAGGCAAGTGCCATATTTAAGTTTGTTCTCTTGCTAAAATTATTAAAAAATCTATCCATTATTTGTTGAAAAAACATAAGCTATTTCACTGATCTTCTAATGACACGTAAGCTACTTGTAGGGGGAAGGTATGTTATTTAATATGCACTTTTACAATTCACCATAGCCTTTAAGTACTCAGTGGCATCCAAGTTAGCAAAGGCATTCTGGCAAAAATGATGAAGAACAGTACAACAACAAAAACAAACATCAGTGAGAAGAGGCAGCACACGAGTGCACAGCATCCCCTCAGCTGGAATGAGCTTTCATGCAAAACAACAAAAAATCAGCTGTGTTTCAGTTGTGTCACTATCCATTTACAGCATAACTGCAAAAGATACCTTGATGATATGTCCAAAGTATTTCCCTTCGATATGGTTGTCTGTTTTGATGAAGATCTCTCGGAGGATGGACTCTCCAATCGGGTTGTATTTGGCATTGAATTTGTCAAAGCGATGGAAAGTGTTGCGATCCTGATCAGTGAGAGAGAATCCAGACATCTGGAGTTAGTTATGTCTGTTTTGACATTGTACTATAGCTAGTCTATGTATAAAGCCCTTATGTGTAGACAGAGGAGTGGATGTGTTTCCAGCATATCATCACTGTCCAAAAACAGTTTTTGATATTTATTTTTCTTTATTTATTTTTTTATCATTTGATCACAGCAGCTGCCATTTACATTGTGTAAACATTCCATGATGAAATGACCAATAGAAATACTCCAGAGTTACTTGGACTAAAATCCCTTGTCCTTGCACTAAAAGTAAAGAACATTTTTGTCCTCTCCTGTAAAGTTTTCCCATTTTCAAGGTGACTTTTTTTTGGACAGTGATGATTTGTAAAATCAGCTCAAAGGAGTTCCTTACTGCATGCATGTCCAGTGTGTCCACACTGAGGTCAAAGGCTGTGAGGTTCATGCTCTCAAAGACTTCCATGAGCGTCTGTTCTCGCCCTTTCTCCACATGAACAATCTCCTTAGGGTACTTCTTCATGGCTCTCTTAATGAAGCGCAGCAGGTGCTTTTGATTCATGCAAGACGAAGCATGGATGTGAGTGTCCACCTGAGGAGAGAAAAGACAAGGTGGGATCAAAGACGAAAGGGTAGGTATCACAGTTAACCCTCCTAAGTCTATAGCTTCAGATACTTTTTTTCACGTTTGGTTTATTTTTCACTCATTGCTCAGTGAAACAAGCAGAGAAATTATGAAACTGTCAAAACAGCACATTCTAAATGTTCCATCAATACCACATTTGCATGAGACCAAAACAAATTTTGACAGTGCAGACTCGAACTTGTGGTTTTCAAACATAAATGTAATAACCTTGTAATTACTTATGTAATTACATATAAATGATCATGTAATGTAAGTTGAATGTACAGACAAATAAACAATAAGACATGTAGACTTCTAAGGGTTAAGGGCAATGTCAGTAATTGTATAGTGTACAAACATTAGTTGTTCTACAGAAATTAGCGCTGATTCATTTCACTTTTACAGACGAGTGTTGTATGAGTGAGAGATAACGAAGCTGACCTTGCGTATGTTGTAGAAGTCTCTGTGGGGAACCTTCTTCTGCGCTGCCAGTTCCTTCATCTCATTTAAGAGGATGTGCATCTGAAACTTTGAGCTCAGGTACTGCAGTCGACGGTAGCAGAAAGATTTCCTATGGCCAATGAACAGACATCATTGAAGACCACATCAACCTTAAAGACCAACCAATAGTCCTGACTAAGGCTGAGAGAGTGATTGATTTTAGATCAAAATCTGAATTGAAAGAGTGCAACATTCGAATTGTAAGAGCTGCAAATTTAATATAGCTCATATGATCATCATTGTTGCCTTAAGGTGGAAGAAATTAATCTAATAACAATGAGCTCATGAACTGCCTGTAGATTATTAAGATTGATCAGAAGCAACCAAACAACCACATGATGTGGACAACACAGCCACAAATAACTAGCAGTCTGGCACAGCATGTTCAAGTCTCAAGCCAGAAAAAGTATATTCTGGTCTTTTTGGCCAAAAAAAAAAGAAAATAAGAAAATAATCGCAATTTATATCACAGTGGCACCACTGATCAGAAAAATCTTAATTAGATATTTTCCCCAAATCATTCAGTTTTATTATTCCTAAAACATGGAATTCAATATATGTGTATATGTATATGTATGGTACCAATTCACAATAAGCCTTTGTGAACAGCTAAACATTGGTTTACTAATCATTATTAATTAGGTCATAAACAAAAACAACAATTTAATGATGAAGTTATCAGCAGTTATAACAGATTAATAAAAAGGGCAACAGTGAGCTATTATAACTGATCATTATGAATAGCTCATGAAGTTGACAGGTTTAATGCTGACTGATGTAGAAGACAAAGTAGAAAAAAAACAGCAAGATCTGAGGTTTAACAGTACAGAAGCATGTGAGCATTATTTGGCAAGCAACAGATCACTGTTTCCCTTTGTGTTATAACTGCATATTAACAATTTATAAGGTGTTTATGATGTAATTAATCATTTTTAAAAAACTCATTTGAAACCATTCCTAAACCTTTCATAAAGATAGTCTTATTGAAAAGTTGTACCATATCATCTCCAACTTTTAGGCTTTATTTTAATTTTGAAAATTCCTCAACATTTTATCATCAGTTCACCTCAGTCAGTCTCAACTGAATGCAGAATGCAGCTCTGCACTTTTCACCCCAAAGTTCATCCTGAGGTCTGTGCATCACTTACACTGGTCCATTAATGATGAGGGCCATCATGACGTTCATGTCAGCGATATACTCCAGCAGGTCAGGGTAGGGTAGATCCAGCTCTGTGGCCCTGGCAGAAAGAATGGTAAGAGAATTTTAACAGTACATTATAGTTTTTACAGCAGATATTAGAACAGTACGCTAAAGGAATCAGGAAATGTGACTTAACAATCCAGATTAAATATCAGCAGTACTAAATGTGGTCAGTGCTGCTGTGGTAAACTTGAGTATGATTTCAAATGGTGAAAGTGTAGAAGGCAGCAGGAAGATTTCTCACTTCTCCATGTTGCTTTTGTGAGTGTACACGTGTACAACACCATCCATCATCTTGCAGCTGTAGCCCATGTCTGGAGGCAGGCTAGCGGCGTCTAAGCCCTCATAGGGGTGCGTCTCTGATACAGGAGGGTGGACTGGAGCATCTGGGGAAAAATATAATGCTTGGTGTTTGGCAGAGAATGTATGGCATGTTCAAATGGCAACTTTCTTACATTACCTTACATTACACATGCTCTTTTAAAAAGGCCCATAAAGGCCCAAACACAGACACAATCATTTTTACATGACCATTTCACAATTAAACAGGATGTGTTTAATTCTCATGTCTTTAAGACTAATATATATGTACAGTAAATAACCTCTGTTCTGATTGGCAGAACTGTATTATGTCCCACTTTAAAAGAAATCCAGGGTTGAAATATGGAACAAAGCCACTTCTTTTGGATGTCAGGATCCTTTGGAAAGCTGCTGAACAATACAATGTCTAATTGCTCTCCTCACATGTTGCGCATATTATTTACAGTAACGAATGTATATATATTTTGTACACACCTAACACACACACCTAAACAACACGTGTAGCCAACTTTAACATTCATTCATCATCTAAGCTACTTATCCTTCTGGGTTGCGGGGGTGCTGGAGCCTATCCCAGCGCACAGTGAACAGAAGGAAGACAACATCATGGACAGGTCACTAGCCCTTCACTGGGCGGACACACGGACATACACAGTCACACACACACTCACACCTAGGGGCAAATTAGCCTGACTGCATGTCTTTGGACTATGGGAGGAAATGGGAGCACCCGGAAGAAACCCATGCAGTTACACAGAGAACATGCAAACCTTGTTCACCCAGCCAGGGAATTGAACCCAGGCCCTTCTTGCCATTAATAAGTCTTATAAGGGGATAGGGGAATGGAATACTGCATATTATTGTGGAATATTATTTGCCAGTGGAATATTAAGGTAATGGCTATTGTGTGTAGTCCTTCCTGATATCTCTTCTCTAGAGAAGCCAGACTGAAAACAAGGAAAGTTGCAAAGATTTAGCAAACTTTAGGCAAATCTGTTCTCGCCTTTCCTCACGAGAGAGGATGCCCAGGATGTTGAGATCATGCTGGTAACTGCCATAAGATGTTACAAGAATGATGTGACATGTCCTCTTTAGGACACGTTCCAACTGCGTCGATAAGGATTGAGTAAATCCAGCATGCCACACAGCCACTGCATACTGCAACACCAGTCTAATGTAGCCAATATATATGGCTAATAAATCAGTTTGAACAACGCTTGATGCGCTTAAGAAGAAAACTTTTTGCTGGCTCTTGTCGTCATAGCATTTACTTGCTCTTTCCACTGAAGATTGTGCTGGATGACAAATTCCAGTACTTTGATTTTAGGCATCACAGAAAGAGGAATGTTTTTAATTTGAAGAAGTGATGTAGGTGGTGGATTTTTACTGAAAGTTATTTGCATGGCCACACATTTCTTTTCATTAAGAAGCATGGAGTTGTTGGTGGACCAGGTGTTTAGCTCATCAAGCACATCTTGCAGGGTGGAAGGCTGCAGCAGTTGGCTAGTCTCCAGCTGGCTAATATCATCTACACATTTCCAGACTGAGCTAGGAGTATAAGAAAGAGCATCATCCATCAGGATAACGTAAAGGATTAGTCCAAGGAGAGTTCCCTGGGCCACTAGTGCACTCTTTGAGTTCTTTTAGACATAAAATCATAAATCCACAGGATTAGTTCAACTTCAGGCTGTACTACCCTACACAGGATCTTACTGACTACAGTTTTCTGGTCAACGCTGCCAAAGGCCTTACTAAAATCTGTAGCTACCAATGAACCAATGAATTGTCTAGAAACAAATGTAAAGTCCTTAAGCAGCCACTGAAGGTCAAAATATTCAGCAGTTCTTACCAACTGGGAAGTCAAAGAGATCCTAGCTGATCTAGCTGTGCAGGATGAGTTTTTGGTATAGTGATGACCACTGCTTCTTTCCACTGACTAGCAAAGAGGCCCTCCCTAAAAGAGGAATTTAAAATAGTGCTCAAGGGAACACTGATCTCACAAGCAAACTCCAGGATTTTCTGAGGGAGTGCATCTGGGCCAGAAGCCGTACCAACAACAGTATGTTGTGAAACTGTGTCAGTGTTGACATAATACATCAAACCTTTATTTTAAAAAAGTGAGGAAAATATTTTTTTCCATTATTGAATTCACATCTATAGCATTAGTAGTCATTACTGTTATCATTAGAAACAGTACTTAACAAAGAGTGAACTATTTCCTTTACCTGCAGTAACGGCGGTCTCAGGCACCTCCTCATACATGTTGAAGTCCAGCGGCCTGTCGCCCAGCTCCTGCAGGTACCGCGCTGTGGTCCTGCAGAAACTCTGTAAAGACAGAGCCATGTACTTCTCTCTGATGAACAGAGCCTTCACCACACACTTAGCAGCATCCAGCAGGTCTGTGAAGGGAACCTGGAGAGATGAAGTTACATCATTTAATCGTTTACAATATTGTAAATTAGATTATATCAGAGGCTTAACTAAATCTGCTTTAAATGAGGGTTAGGGGACGGGAGCTATTATAGTGTAGCTTTGTTAGCCATTGTTTCACCATTAATCAAGCTTAGTGCTCTCCTCCACTGGAGGTTTCATAAATAGCACTTTGTTTTGATGGCCCACTGTAGATGCTTTACTTTCTTTACCCCACATTTAACTAAATATGTATTAAAACCAATTTAATTTTTACCTAACCCTAAAACGAACACTCACTCTAATCCTAACCTGAAACTCAACCCAATACCTAGCCCTAATGACGCTGATAATCACTGGTAGTTTAATAATTTGAGCGTTTGATATGATATAGAAGATGAAAAGTCTAAATAAGTGTGACCATTCTGTCATTTTCTTCTTCATCAAACAAGATGCAGCTTTTCTTTCTCACTCACTCCACATTTCTCCTCTCCGGAGATGGTGACTCTCTGATATTCTCTCTCCGGTATGAGCTCTCGCTCTGGGTACATATCAGTGGGGACCTGGTTCTGCTCCTTCAGGTACCTTAAGAAAGACAAGAGGTGAAATGAGGGCTTCTCATCAGGTTTCGAAACACTTTTGAGTAAGAAGCGAAAACCAGTCAAGGAGAATCAGTGAACTCACTCCAGATCCGTGGCACTGTCTGTCTTCATAAACTCCTGCTTGGCTCGCAGGAGGATGTCAGGCTCAAACCTGTGAGATGAGGACAGAGAATGACTTTCCTTTGAATTTCAAAGACTACAGAAAGAAAAAACCTAAAAGGGAAAGAGACTTGAGGAAGAAAATGGTGATTTCAGCAGGCTGTGATGTTCAAACCAAAATGAATTTTGAAGGGTTTTAGTCCAACTTTACCTTGAGAACAGAAGACAAGCTTAACTGGTGTAAGGAAGATTTTGAAATCTGTGAATTACATGTCTATTCTTTGTAAAGGATTTCAAACAAATCCTTCCTTTTCTTAGGGGTACACTGATAAGGAAAGATTCTATATTAGGGAAAATAGTATTTTATTACCCTGTTTTCCTTGTGTAGCACAAGCAACGCAACCATTTGACTAAATGGCCAATTACAAAATGTGTACAACTCAACATTTGTGGCCCTTATAGACAAATCTGTTCAGGGAGTGCTTGCATGCTTTCTAACAGCTTTACAGAGCACTTTTTTTGCTATTTGCTCAAAGAAACAGTTAAAAAAAAGATGGGTTACATCCAGTCAGAGACTCACTATTTTAATCAGAATGTATCGACTCTCATATGGTCATTGTGACAACCAACAACTTTGTCAAACATATTTTATGTCAGTATCATGCAGCCCTAATAGATGATAGGAAATATAAATGGGTCTTTCACTTTTTTGTTGTTTTCATAAATAAGAGTTTTTAGATTTTTTCATGTTAAAATACTCAAGTTGTGTATCGCTCCTGTTGGAACGAACCAAATAGTAACTTTACAGGAGAAGGAAAAAACATGCTGTACTTTGAATGTAAGTCAATGGAACCAGACTTTTTTAGAAGCAATTCTGGGCCATTTCTTTTGGTCCATTCTTCATGAAACTTATACACAATGTAAAGGGCAACACACATTGTTGTCAAAAACTGTCAAGTCGTGTCTAAAAACTGAAAAACGACAAAATGGAGATACAAGGTTGTGCTCCAATTGTGTTATATAGTATATGAAAACACCACAGCTGCAAAGCAATTGTCTCCTCATGAGACAATAATGAAGGAAAGAATGAAGGAACGGATGGATGAATAAAATAACATGCTTATTAGCGTGCTGTGTGCTGAAGTCAGTGTCTGCATGCTGTGGTTGTGTGCTGTGATGAAGGGCAGTGGTGAGTGAGTGAGGGATGGACTTTATTACTTCACATCCTGGCTGATCTGTCGCTCCAGTCGTTGTCTGCGCTCCTCCAGCTGCTCTATAGGACTGTCCTCAGGAAACTCATACGGGGCGCTGCGCATTTCACTCTCTGCCAGACTGCGCGAGAACAGCTCCTACACACACACACACACACACACACACACACACACACACACATCCAGCACAAAAAGAATGTGGGGATATATAGATTTTTTAAATGTTTCCAGTAAAAATGAGTAAGTGTTTTTGAAAGCTTGCAAAACCTAAGCATAATCAAGACTGGCCAGGTTTATTGTACATAGAAATATTAATGACAGTGCTATCTTGGTAATAACGTCAAACCCCACACATTGCATCTCCTTGTTGTGATGTCAGCACTCATCAGCGCTCAGACGTTTCAGCTGTGTAAACAGCCTCTGGGACAAATGATTTTCAGTATGCGCTTTTAACAAGGAAAAGAAAAAGGTCAAATCATTATTTAGGCAAAACAGCCACTACTCCTCATACTAGGGACACGCCAATACGGGAATCGTAGGCCAATGCCAATACCCAATATTTTTTGTGTACAGTTGTATGCAAACGTTTGGCCACCCTGTTCAATTTATATATTTTGGTGATGTTCTTAATGAAAATAAGTTAAAACATCCTCTAAAGAGAACACACTTAAATGTGTAATTTCTCTTCAAATTCTAATGCACAATATCTGTTTATTTCAGTCATTATTTTTCCAAAATATTAAATTCATCATATACACTTGTGTATTAAAATGTGCAGAAGTGTGTTCTCTGTAGAGGGTGTGTTAACTTACAAATTTCACTTACAAAATCAACAAAATGTCATTTGACCAGGGGTGCAAACTTGCATTTAGCTGCACATATTCTGCCTTAGCATCACAGAAAAATATAACATCTGCTTCTGTAAGCTCACAAAAGCAGTAAAATGAGTAAAATGCACATATTTCAGCATATTATCCCAGCGTCGCCTACAAGCTTTCCTCTTTCGCAGTGCAATAAACACAGTGTAGCAGAATATTCCCAAAGTATTAGTGAATAAGCAATTTTCCCCACAGTTTTGACAAAGTATGATGTGGCAATCACCTCAGCAATTTCTTTGTATTTTCCATCCATGGAGGTCCGCAGGTCAATGGGTCCGTGTTTGGAAACCGGGATGCCAGGCAAGGAATACTGGGAAGTTAGGAGATGACGGCCACCGCGTAGATCTACCAGCAGGATAGGAAGAGAGAGACATTGCTTGAGAACATTTCCAGTACGTCCAAATTACGGTATGACAGACATGTGCGGAAAATAAATACCATTCCTGCTTTTGCAGTCGTTCCTGTTGTCCCACCGAAGAGGTGGAGAGACAGAAACGGGTCAGACACTGCAGGCCAGCCAAAGCTCAACAGCTGCTTGTGTCTCTAGTACAATGGAGCATTTGGGTGGAAGAACATTACTGTGTTTGTGTGGATGTTTTGACCACAGACTCAGGAACTGCTTGGTAGGCATTTACTAACCAACCAAGCCAACAGCTCCAATTCTCAACGTCAAATCTGATGATGAGGCAAATTTCTGTAGAGATGGTCAAAACCATTTGGATGGTTTGCTTAAGATTTGCTTCAAAATCCAGTACTAGGGCCTAAATTTCATATTTCAAAGCTGGGTTTTCAGCAAACTACCTCTTACAGTATTTCTACATCCAAGACATGTTTGTTTACAGGTCTCTTTAAAATCAACGTGAATTAGAACATAACACATTGTTCCTTCTGCACTAAGACGTTTCCAAGTAAAACACAGTATTAGAGGGGTCTCTGAGCTAGCTGAGTGTTTTTGCTGGATGGTAGGTGGGGGTGGTTGCAGGGGGAGGTGAAACCAGATAATACTGGTTAATATTATTTTTCTCATTATTACATTTATTATCATTTATGACATTTTGGTGGACAATTCCAGAGAAACAAGAATTTTGTCTTTTAAATGATCATATGTAATATGACAGGACACATTATTTCAGCAGAGTGAAGGGCTGCACAGGATGTATTGTTTTGCTAATATTGGCCTTTGTAATGCTGATTTCACGGAAGGCTGCAAAATGGGCTCTCTAACCAAACATAAAGTGTTCATAATGTGCTGGGAGCGTCCTGATCAATCACAGCCCCAGGTGAGAGTTTCTGTGGATGAATCACATTCACATGTGACATCTGGTCAAAAAAAAGCAATAATGCAGATCTTTAACCACGTTACCTGATGAGTTTCCCACTGTGCTTTACCACACTACAATATGAAGCAGTATCGCCACGGTCAGGTATTTTGTCCATATTGTTCAGTCCTGGGTGTGAACTTCTCCTCACCCCTCTGATCACTGCTGCCCTTCTGTGTGATATCAGCCTTCATACACTGCACTGTCTAATGAACTATTCATGAGCCTCATGAATATTACAGTAACCCGCACTCGCCCCTGAGCCACTGAGACACAGGAGCTGCTGCCCACCACCAAACACACACACACACACGTAATTACTATAGATAGTGCTGCTTATATGTTGTGTAGAGATGCACCGATATGGGAATATTTGGTCGATGCTGATATTTTTAATGTACATATCTTCCAATGCAGATAAACATTTATAAAATGCAGAAACTGGGACTACAACTACCTGGATTAGCATGACAGAGCAATATTACGTTTATTTCTGTAGGATTCATGTTTAGTTAACTACAACAATGAGTAAAAAACTATTACTAAATTAGTTTTATTAATACTAAACTATTACTATTACTAAAACTATTACTACTAGATTTTAGTTTTTTTTAGTTTTATTTCTGTAGGATTCAGGGCTACTGTAGTTAATTGAAACTATTGCTAAAACAAAAACTAGCATTGATAAAATGTGTTAACCGTGTTAACAGTTATAAAAATAAAAATGACAGTTCAAAAAAAACACGAAAACTAAACAAAACTATTATGTCCACTGCAAAACTAACTAAAACAAAATAGAATTATTGAGAAAAAACTTGTTTTTCTTTTTCAGTGCGCGAATGAGAGTTTAGAAGTGTATTTCTGTGTTTGGCTGTCTTTAAGGAAAGCAAGCCAAGCCAAGCTCAGTCTACAGTTTGCAGAAAAGTTTATTCAACCCTTATCACATAGATACTGACACTGCGTTCATCATAATACTGATAATTAAAACTAAAACAAATAAAAACTAAATTAAAACTATTATTATTCAAAAATAAAAATGAAACTAAACCTGTTAATGCACCCCTAAAATGAACTGAAATGAAAGTGAAATCAGCAGAATGAAAAACAAATAAAGACAAACACTAATGAAATTTTCAAAACTATAATAATCCTAGTGGGGTTATAAATACAGTAAAAATGAATAAAATTCAAAAGTTTTAGCACAGTAACCCATCATCAGCTAAACAGTCTGTTCCTCTGGAGTACAATGAATACCTCATTAAATATTGATTTGAAATGTCTGTTAAAATATTGGTCAAATCTAAGCATTTGTCTGATGCTGAACTGTTTCTGTAAGCGATCATGTGTATCTACTGCTGATGCTAGAATGCATAAGGCTTTATATATGGGAAATATGAGAGCAATGATTTCTTTTCAAATCAATACCAAGTAATACTAAAGCTAGTATTCCAATTCCTATAACTGATACAATATCAATATATTTTTGTCAGGATCGATATTCAAAAGAATTGGAGTTATTGATCTGCCTATCCCCAGTTTATATGCAATGATACAACTAAAGCACACAAAAATGGTACTGAATGAATGCAAAAGAACACAAGACAGATCCTGTTATTGTGAATAAAATAACAGACACAATATGGCATGTTCTACTGCTAATTACAGGGGAATTCCAACCCTTTTTCAAAATTTCTGCATAATTTAGTTATAGGGATGTATTAAAATCATTCAAATTGTTTTGATGTGAAGTGGTTTATTTTAGAGAAACTTACCAGCTGAGACTTCTTTAAAGTGGTGCTGATTGGAACCAAGCATCCCAACATCTACAACACAAATGTTGTCATTTTATTTCCCATCCAAAACAACCTACACACGTCTTCTGAGTTTTTATATGTAATATTGATAATGTCATAAAAATGTCTCAGGTACCATAATTTTAATATTTTTCATTATTTTACCATTATCAGCATTACATAAACAAGATCAGAAGACATGTAAATTCACTGATCATTTTTGAATAGCAAATAAAATGGCTATATATGTGTTGTAGACATTGCGACCCCTGGTTCCTATCACTACTGTACAGAAATTCAAGTTGGTAAATTTCTCTGGAATGGAGAATTTTACATAAAACCACTCTGAAGGACTTTGTTTACATCTCAACCACTGAATTAAGCAGATTTTTTTTTTTTTAAAAGAGTGGAATCCCTTTTAATCCCTGCATTTTCCTGTATGGCTCTGTTTCCAGTGCTGCAGGTATTAATCTCAAGCAGATTAGGGCAAACTACTGGGACTATAATCATCCCAGCCCATCACTGCACTGAGCTTTAGATGAAAACATCTGCAGCAAATAATGGTGTTACTGCAGGGTGATCTGAAGGAGTCTTTTAATACAGGAATAAAGTGGAACTCCACCTTCAGAATTTCCAAGAAATTTAGCAGCTTGCTTGAATGAGTCATACCTTCTCTTTACTTCTTACATGTCTATGTTTTTATGCCAAGTCCTTAAATTCTATAACCTGTTCACTTCTTCTAATAACAGAACACTTTACACTGTTAGAAATAAAGGTTCTGTGCAGGTATGTTTTTTGTTCATCAAGGTACAAACAATGTAAATGTACCCTCAAAGTTACCCTCATAGGTCTATTTGTGCACCTTAAATAAGTTTTTCCAGTGTAAAAATACATATTTGTATCTTTTCATAACCTAATGTTTTAAAACAGAACAATCAAATAAAAAGCCTGGAGATGAGGCGGGCTGTGTGGAGTCAATACAACTTAGAAAATATAATTTCAATGGATTATGGGACAATTTTGTTCCCTGACTAAAGGTACTGAGATGTACCCTTGAGGGTACCACCCCAGTTACAAGAGGGGAACTGCCCCAGAGACAGTTTTTACCATTTTTCTAAGAGTGTATATATCTACAATGTACATATTGAGACTTTACTACCTAATAAGAGGCCTAGAGTTTAATGGGTGTGTCAGAATTGCCCAGGCTGCAGCCAGCTGGAGCCAAAGTGATGAATAATTTAGTCATTTGGCCAAACTCCTACTTGGTGCTATAAAGTATTACCACACCCCTATAATTTAAAGGAAAGGTTCAGTCAATAATGCTATAGTTGATGACAATGAATGACAGTGAATGATCACTGCTTACCATATTTCAAATGACATCATGCTCATTCATGACTATTAGCTTTCATGTAATATTAGCAACATAAGCATGCATGGTTGAACTACCTTAACTACATTCTTAACAAAAATGATCATAGTTCTAAAACAAAGGGTTCTCTGACTTGTAACAATAGTGATGCTATATATAGGTTCCTTAAAGAACCATATACAACAGGTTTTCCAGGGTAGAGAAGAATCTTTTAACTGAACTGAGTTGATTTGAATGGCTCTCTGAGTTGTTCTCATGGTTCTGTATATATATAACATTGCCTTTATTAAAGAACCTTTGAAAAACAGGGATAAGAACAGGAATACAGTACTAAGCAGAGATGTATGTTGGAGTCATATGACTTAGACTCAAGCCCGACTCGAGTCATGAATTTGATAACTTTAGACTCAACTCGAAAATTGAGAAAGACTTGTGACTCGACTTTGACTTCAACACCAGTGACTCGGACTCTGACTCATATTTGAGCAACATGACTCGGAAAGACTCTAGAATCTTCTGACTGCACACAGTCGATTATTTTTCATGTGAATTAATTTACTGCTGTAAACTGAATAAACAGCAATGTCGTCAAACGTCTGTTACTGTGCTTATGCTCAATTTTTGTTTACTTCGGAATTTCGGACTAGGGACTCGCCTTCACTGACTCGGGACTTAATCGAGACTCGACTGTCTTGACTTGGAACTTGAGCGTGAAGACTTGAGTCTTACCTGTTACTTGCAACTTAGTGACTTGTTTCCACCTCTGGTAATAAAGTTACTACTAACTAATATTATCTTCACAATTTTATATAGTATGCTACTTAATCATAAGATGCTATACGTCCAGAACGATTATCATTCACTAGTAATGCAGCTTAAATGTACAAATCATTTTATATTATAGACTGCGATGTATTAAAAGCAGTGGTGCTGCAATATGTAAATAGCTGAAACTGTACAAACCGACTGTGTTGTTGAGATATTATGCAGAAAAGCTCGGTGACCAGATTGCTCACTGTCAGGCAGCTCTGTGCTGTGCATTTTTGCTCAGTGATTTAATTGAACACGATTAATGTTGGGGTCATGAGGAGAGCACTTAGCTAGTTAAAACGTGGGGGCTGACGCTATGGGCAGATGGAGAGGATAATTATGACAGTGGCAGTTCATTATCAGAGTACATGGGGAGACAGAAGCACAGCAGGTGAGCACAGATTCTCTCTCTGTCTAGCTTTCTTTCTTTCTTGCTTTCTCTTTCTCATTACAACACCCCAATTTCATACCTCCCTATAAGCTAAACGTGTTATTAGTTAACACAGGCCTATTATTACGCCTCCAAAGTACTCTCACACATTATTATATCATTTTCAACCCTGGGATGAGGGACAGTGGGGGAGTAAGAGTAAGATGAGAATGCGTATGCTGACTGCAGAGGGCCAGTGTAGGGCTAGCCTACCGCCACAGACAGATGAGCCTGCTGGGTTATGTCTAATCTCTTAATGGCTGCTATATTTGGAGCCGCGGCCTCCATGGTTACGCAACACCCATCCTCTTCACAGGATCACCACACAAAAGCCAGAAATGAAAAACACACTCCACTCACTCTGACTAAGCCGGCTGTGGACCATAAACATGAACAACAGAGGCTACAAGAAATGGAATTCTACTTCAGAATCAGACCAGGACACTAACATAAACCAGTTTAGAAGGGTGGCCTGTAGGAGCCTTTGATGTGAAAATGCAATTTCCTTTGAATAGCTTATGAACGACCAAGCATAATAGCTCATGTCTTACACATTTATTGTACTTTATACTTTACCCCTGAGGTCCACTTTCAACAAATACTCCTTAGAATCAAACAGGCTATTTGATTCTAATGAATATTGATGTAAGATGAATGGCTGCTCTGTTATGCCTCATTAGAAAAGCACTAAGAGATGAAACACTCCTTAGAACTTCAGTATGAATGGGCAGGGCTAAGCTGCTGTAGGCTGACTAGGTGGAGATATCTAAATAAGTGGGTTCTTGTGACATCACAAAAACAATGAATTCCAAACAGGCTGTTTTTTTACAGCTTAGTTTCCATATATGGACTGTATGGACTGGGAAGTAAATGGTATGTTTTGAAACTTTAACAGTGTTTACATATTGCTTCAAACTCCTTTATTATTTTTTTTTTTTAAATGTCTTTTCCATCATAGATCAAATGAAAGATCAAATGAATTTGTTTTTAGGGCTGAAAACAAAGAACTGTGGGAAATATTACAATCTGAATCTCAAAATCTTAAATTTACAAAGCTTTTTTGTGGAGATTATGGTTTCATGAATACGTTTTAACTGACCTGCTCTTTGTTTACAAATGTTAATGTAGTGTAATGTTAATTTATAACACAGTTGTAAAACAGCGAGTGGTCAAAGCTCAGACTTATTACTACCTGTCCCCCCTCTCCTCTCCCAACCCGGAACTACACAGAGGGATCGAGGGGAGAAAAGGAGCAGGAGGAGCGGAGAGAACGAAGAGATATTGGGGAAATGGGACAGCTGATTCCTTTCAGTGTCCTTACATCTGATGTCGAGTACTGATGAGCTGAGCCAGTCACACTGTTGTAGCCTCTAATACTCCTGCATCCAATCACGGCTGCTCCACAGAGCCAGCTGATTTACTGTGCGGTTTTCTACTCCATGCTTTTTTATTTTGTTTTACACCAAGTACAAAATACACAACACCAGAGATTATATAACCACAAACAAAGCACGGAACTGAAAGTATAGTAGCTCCATGTTCGTCTGTCCTCTCTAAGTGTGCATGCACTTTAAAATCTGTAAAAGACTTCCTGGGTAGCGTACACTCATGCATCCTCTGTTGGGAAGATTCCTCGGAGGGTGTTAAAAGCGGCTTCACTCGCCCCCTCCGGTACTTGGACAGCCGGTAAAATGGCATCACAAAATCGGTTTACAGGTCATGGAGGAGAGGAGGACAATCGGTATTTGGATACAGCCTATATATCTTAAGCACTATTCAGATGGGATTAGTTTTTTCATGGCAAGGTGGGATAATTTTATAAATTAAATGGGAATAGCTACCCTGCTAGAAAACATACACCAGCATAGCTTTTTCTTACTTTAAGAAATATGCCTGAAACAAACAAAATTATTTTTGAATACAGCAAGATAATTTTACTTGTTAAAGTAAAATTACTTAACCCCTTAAACGGTTTGCATTGAAGTCCCTGTAGTTACTGAATAATGTGCCGTAGTATGTAATAAGCCTACAAGTAATGTAATAAGTCTAAAGTAAGTCAAATAATCCTGATAATTTCACAACGATCTCAAAATGAGCAATATTACACATATCAATTAGGATGTGTGGAGTCAGTGCCACTGAAAAAATATAATTTCAGTGGATTATGGTACAAGTGACACGAAGGGTACCGCCCTAGTGACAGTTAACTGCAGGGTACTGTTCATAAGGCTACATGACACCTACTTAAGCTTGTCATGACAACTGTCCTAACTCTATATAAATGTTCAAAAATGCTTATTCCAATAGACATCATTTTTGATCAGTTAGCTAAAGTAGCCTTTATAACAGATGATGCTTATTGGAATAAGCATTTCTAAACATTTATGTAGGGTTATGTCAGCTGTCATGACAGGCTTA